CTGAGTCAACCTTGGGCCGGTCAGGATTGAACTCCTGGCTGTGGGCAAAGTTAGCCTGCAATTTTGCATTCTAACTGGAGGGAGGGAGGGAGGGAGGAAGGAAGGAAGGAAGGAAGGAATAGCGCTTAAGACTTATATATTTATTTATTTATTATTTATTTATTATTCAAATTTCTATACCGCCCTTCTCCTTTCGGACTCAGGGCGGTGAACAGCCAAAATAAAACATTTATACATAAAGTACAATTAAAAATAAATTTAAAATAATTAAATTTGGCCCATAGTTTAAAATTTGTCAATATACCGCTTCATAGTGCTTTTACAGCCCTCTCTAAGCAGTTTAGCATTTTGCCCCCAACAATCTGGGTCCTCAAGGAATGGAAGGATTTATATTTGTTGTAGAATATAAATCTGAAAGCTCTGACTGGATGGTGTCGAATGATTTATATTCCTTCATCCCCATCCAGTCAGAGCTGAAGAAGCCTCTTGGATGAGAAGCGAAACGTCTTCAAAAGAAAAAAAACCAGAAAGTTCAGTTGCCTCTTGAAAAAGCACCTTTGGGACAACCAGGACTTGGATGACAGAGAATCTCCGTAGACATTCGGTAGGTCTTCTCATCCTGGCATGGGGACCAGAGCTGCTGCTGCTAATAATAATAATACAGGTGGTGCTTGACTTATGGCCACAATTGAGCCCAAAATTTCCCTTGCTAAGCGAGACAGTTATTAAGTTAGCTTTGCCCTGTTTTACGACCTTTCTTGCTACGGTGGTGAAGTGAATCAGTGCTGTTGTTAAGTGAGTCACACGGTTGCTAAGTGAATCCGGCTTCCCCATTGACTTTGCTGGTGAGAAGGTCGCAAAGTGGATCACATGACCCAGGGACACTGCAACCGTTGTAATATGAGTCAGTTGCCAAGAGTCCGAATTTTGATCCTGGGGAAGGCTTGCAGCAGTCGTAAGGGTGAAAAACGGCCATAAGTCACTTTTTTTTTTCAGTGCCGTTGTAACTTCGGTCACAAAATGAACTGTTATAAGTCAAGGACTTCTTGTAATAATAACCCTGAACGGGTCAGGCTGATCAATTTAAAAAAGGGTGTTTTCCTGCAAAATACTTTCAGCTGCCTCCTGCCAGCGTCCAGCTTGCATCTCGGGGTTGAAGGAGGGGAATCCACATTTTGCTCCATTTTTTTTTTCTTCTTTTTTTAAACTTGCTTATTTATCCTTTGGGAAAAGGGGAGAAAAAAGGGCTTAATATCCCTCCCTCTCCTTGCTTATTTTAAGCATCGAGTTAGGAGGTGCTTTTTTTTTTTTTTTCTTGGCACAGAAGCCGGATAATTAGTTTTGTGTGTAGGGGGGGGGGGGGGGGGGGGGGGGGGGCAGGGTTGTCTCTGGTTTTATTTACAACATTGCTAGTCTAGGATCCTTGCCAAGAATAATCTGAGTACCTTTTAGTCCTAGGAGGGTGTCTTAAGAAAGAGGATGTGTGTTTTTCATTTAAAAAAAAAAAAAAAAACAAGTTTCTGAAAACTTGAGAGATGGTTTTAAAGGAGGGTTGTCCAACCTTGGTAATTTTTTTAAGACTTGTGGACTTCACCTCCCATAATTCCCCAGCCAGCATAGCCAGGAGTTGAAGTTCACAGATCTTAAAAGTTGTCAAGTTTGGGCACCCCTGCTTTAAAAAGAGCCTTGGTAGTACAGGGGTTTAAGGCACCCTGTTATTAAGCTTATTAAGACCAGCTGCCTGCAATTACTGCAGGTTCGAATCTCGCCAAGGCTCAAGGTTGACTCAGCCTTCCATCCTTTCTAAGGTAGGTGAAATGAGGACCCAGTTTGTGGGGGCAATAAGCTGACTTTGTATAAATATACAAAAGGATGAAGGCTATTGCTGAGCACATTGTAAGCCGCCCTGAGTCTTCGGAGAAGGGCGGCATATAAATCAAATTAAAAAAAAAAAAATCTTCCTTTGGAGGAAGATTTTAGAAGTGTTGTTTGTCTAATGTTCATCTGTTTGACTCTTTGGCTTTCAGTCTTTGGCTTTCCTCTGTAAGTCTTTGGTCACACAATTTAGGAGACAATCCTAAGACACTTTCCCGTTCAGTTCTTTGGAGTCATTTCCAGCTAAGACCAACACAGAGTTGCTTCAAGCTGTGTCACCGAACAATCCCAGCTAACAAGTCAAGGTGTGTTGGAGCAGGGCAGAAAGGTTGATGGAGAGGGTTTTGTTTTTTCTGGTTACTGCCTATTTTCTTTAGATTTTGGTAGTCCTACTGAGACTTGAGACCTACTGAGACCTGAGGGACGCGATGGCTCAGTGGCTAAGACGCTGAGCTTGTCGATCGAAATGTCGGCAGTTCAGCGGTTCAAATCCCAAGTGCCGCATAAACGGGGTGAGCTCCCGTGACTTTTTCCCAGCTTCTGCCAACCTAGCAATTGGAAAGCATGTAAAAAAAATTCAAGTAGAAAAATAAGGACCACCTTTGGTGAGAAGGGAACAGCAATCTGTGCACCTTTGGCGTTGAGTCATGCCAGCCACATGACCACGGAGACATCTTCGGACAGTGTTGGCTCTTCGGCTTTGAAACGGAGATGAGCACCTCCCCCTAGAGTCCGGAATGACTAGCACATATGTGCGAGGGGAACCTTTACCTTTACCTATATAGCTTGGTTGTTTTCTTGCAGACATTTCACGACCCAGTTAGATAACATCATCAGTGCTAGAAGGAAGTGGGGCTTGCGGAGAGGAGGATTGTGGGGTCCTTGTTGCTCTCGGAGCTTGGTTGTTTTCTAGCAGACGTTTCACGACCCAACTAGGTAACATCATCAGTGCTCTGATGGTGGTATATGGTGCTCTAATGGTGATGGTGATCATCAGGTACTGATGCTCAGAGAACATCAAGGAAGCATCAAGAAACGCCTGCAAGAAAACCACCCAGCTTAGAGAGCAACAAGGACCCCACAGTTCAACCCAGAGCTACAAATATTCTCTCCTTTCACTTCTGAGATGTTTTGGAGATTAAGTTTGGTCATAAACTTGCTTCCCGCCCCCGGTGTTCCACCAAATTCCACGAAACTGCAGTGGTGAATTTCAACCTGGCGCATTGCTCTCGAGTCCCTCCCTTTGAAATCATGTCCACCGCTCAGACTTTTCCTGCTGTCGGGATGCTGACCTCTGCTGACCGGTCTCTGCATTAAACCAGGGTTGTTGGTTTTTTCTTAATGTGAGACCTTGACCAGTTGAATTGGAAGGGTCATTGGAGACACATTGGCAGCCAAATATCCCGGCGTGGAGGGTTCGTGTTTTGGTTTCTCCTGCCCTCCAAAACCATCAGCATGCTTTTCTTCAGCTACTCTACGTAGATATTCCTTCCTCTTAAATATTTTTGGTGTGAAGATACAAAACCTGTATACAGAATTGTACAGAAACCTGAATAATTAATTCTATCCCCAATTGTTTCTGTCTACCCGATACATTCCAGTAGAGTAGTTTGGCTCCAAGTTTCTTGTCTTTAATGTGGTCTTCTTATGGGACCAAGGAAGCATGCCTTCTCTGTCATGTCTCCTAGCCTCTGGAACCAGATCACCCCAGAAGTAACTCCCATCATGCTAGCCTGTGGTTTGTACAACCATGGTGCATCGAATCAACAACTGTTGGCTGAGTTCACTCATCCTACTAAGCTATTAATCGTGGTTTTCAAGCCCACAAACAGGGGTGAAATCCAGCAGGTTCTGATAGGTTCTGGAGAACCGGTAGCAGAAATTTTGACCAGTTCGGAGAACGGGTAGAGCAAATTTTGAGTAGTTCGGAGAACCGGCAAATACCACCTCTGGCTGGCCCCAGAGTAGGGTGAGAATGGAGATTTTGCAATATCCTTCCCCCAGGAGTGGGGAGGGAATGGGGATTTTGCAGTATCCTTCCCCGCCACGCCCACCAAGCCATGCCCACCATGCCACGCCACGCCCACAGAACCGGTAGTAAAAACATTTGGATTTCACCACTGCCCACAAAGGTTTAGGTTCAACCCAACCAGACTCATGATGGCTTAGGGCAATGTTTCTCAACCTTGGTAGCTTGAAGATGGGTGGACTTCAACTCCCAGAATCCCCCTGCTGGGGGATTCTGGGAGTTGAAGTCCACCCATCTTCAAGCTTCCAAGGTTGAGAAACACTGGCTTAGGGTCATGATGGCGAACCTATGGCACGCATGCCAGAAGTGGCATGCAGAGCCATCTCTCTGGGCACGAGAGCCATCACCCGTTACTCTTCCAGGTTCCAGCGCGCCAGCCAGCTGGTCTTCACGCATGCGGGAAAACCGGAAACCGGAAGTGCAGGTGCACGTGCGCTCACCGGGAAAATGATCTTCCGGTTTCCTGCAAGCGCATGCACCCCGGCCACCTCGTCTTCCAATTTCTGGCGCGCATAAGCACGCAAAAACCAGCTGATCGGTGTGCATGCACATGCCAGAAACCGGAAGATTATCTTCCCAGGGCGCGCATGTGCACCGAGTGGCTGCTCTTCCAGTTTCCAGTGAAGATGCACTGATTTCCCTCTCGCTCTCTTCCAGGGAATGTGAGAATGGCGGCCTTCAACCATGAATTGATGCCTTGCTTGAAAGCAAGACACCCCTCCCCCCATTATTTATTTATTTATTTATTTATTTATTTATTTATTTATTTATTTATTTATTAAATTTGTATACCGCCCTACTCCCGAAGGACTCAGGGCGGTGAACAGCCATAAAATAAAACATATAGATACAAAATTTAAAATAGAGATAAAGCAAATTAAATAAATATGGCTGAACCATTTTAAAACCCCAATAGTTTAAAATCAAATTTAAAATTCCCATGTAAAAAGAGGAAAATTTAGGTCAGGCCAGCTTGATGAAATAGGAACGTCTTAAGCGCGCGACGGAAGGTACGCCGATCCGGGATCCTCCGTATCTCCGGGGGGAGCTCGTTCCATTAATGTACCCACTCTTCCTTTTGTGTCGTCCTTTCCAGAATGGGGCAGATCAGGTCGCCTTCCACGTGGCTGGTGGGTTTTCCGCTCTGGAGCAAGTCCTTCAAGTTGCGACAGCGTCCATCAACCTGAACTCCGTTTCAAGAATCCCTTTGAAGTAAGTCTGATGCTGCTTTGCCAGTTTTTAGACCGCTCCATGAATGAATGTCATTTGTGGTCAGGATGACTTTTCTGGCTCCTTTTCTACCTGGCTTTCGTTTTCATAGCTGTCCATCCGTCAGATGGTTTATAGAGATTTTTTTTTATGGCCTTGTCCTTCTTCAGAAGTTCTACCTGGCTCAAAATAACATGTCCAGAAGTCGGGGCTTGCATCTCAGTATCCTTCCCCTGCCACGCCCACCAAGCCATGCCCACGGAACCGATAGTAAAAAAAATTGGATTTCACCACTGGGTAGAACCCAAGGTGTCTTTCTCTCTCTCTCTGTCTCTCTCTCTCTCTCTGTCTCCTTCTCTCTCTTTCTGTCTCCTTCCCTCCCTCCCTCTCTCCCTCTCTCTCTCTCTCTCTCTCTCTCTCTCTCTCTCTCTCTCTCTGTCTCCTTCCCTCTCTCTGTCTCTCTCTGTCTCTCTCTCTCTGTCTCTTTCTCTCTCTGTCTCCTTCTCTCTTTCTCTGTCTCCTTCCCTCTCTGTCTCTCTCTCTCTCTGTCTCTGTCTCTGTCTCTGTCTCTCTCTCTCTCTCTCTCTCTCTCTTTCTGTCTCCTTCCCTCTCTGTCTCTCTCTCTCTCTGTCTCTCTCTCTCTGTCTCTCTCTCTCTCTGTCTCTCTCTCTCTCTGTCTCCTTCCCTCTCTGTCTCTCTGTCTCTCTGTCTCTCTGTCTCCTTCCCTCTCTCTCTCTGTCTCTGTCTCTGTCTCTCTCTCTCTCTGTCTCCTTCTCTCTCTCTCTGTCTCCTTCCCTCTCTCTCTGTCTCCTTCCCTCTCTGTCTCTCTCTCTCTCTCTCTGCCTTTTCAGTTGCTAAAACCCAAATTGGAACCAGGGTAAAAAAAAAAAATTCATTCCTGCCACAGAGTCTGCAGCCGGTTCCCTGTAGCAGAAGAAACGCAGGTATCCTGGGATGTTATCTGGAGTGTTTCGAATAAAGTCAGGAGCGAGTGACGAAAGACAAAAAACAAGGAAGTGAAAAAAGGAAGCTGCTAAAACAGAGAGAGAGAGAGAGCGCTTCGGATTGTGCAAATAGAGAGCTCTTTGTGTGTGAGCTCAGAATCTCCGCACCGCCTTTTGGCGTGGATCTTTGATTGCAGGTTTAGGACAAGCAGGCAATTAATCATAGCTAAACATCGGCAGGGACCCGTTTTGTGACTTTTAAAAAGCTCATCGGCACTTTAACCCTAAAATGAAGCCTTTTGATATAACCCTGCACAGGTTTTTTGTTTGTTTGTTTGTTTTTTGCAGTCACAGCAGATTTTTAAATCACCAAAGTTATTGCAAAGAAGGTGATCGATTTTTCGGTGAATTGCAACTGGTTCATAATGTAGGATCTGGTCCTCTGTAGAAATCAATGACTATCAGAAACAGATTATTGGGGAAGAGCAAACTTTTCTCTCCACTTGTTCCCTTACATTGGTTTTATGTTTTCCGATAAATAAGTACTTTGCAATCGATTCGTTTAGGGAAAAAACAGAAGTGATTCGGTGTAGAGATCAAACAAATGTGTTTGTTTTTAATTCATATCAAATGTTTCCTTCAGGAGCTGAACGTTACTCCCCAAAACAACCTTCAAAGCCTAAATTTTTTTTTAAAGTTTTAGAGCTGAGCAAATATTTGAACTTAGTTTCTCTAAATGCAACCAAATACTCTAAATTCCGTGTCCTTTGTAACTCTGTTGGATCAAAGCATCTTCCTTCCATGCTGCCATTCAGTGTTTCTTTCATTGGATATCTTTATTTTATTTAAAAAAAACAAAAAAATTTTTTTTGAAAAATGGTTTGCAAATGCTCAACATCTCACCTTTTACAGTTACATAACGGGAGACAAGAATTTATCTGTGCAATATAACAAAAATGGCAGATTTATAAATCTCTCTCCAGCAAGCGTCTTAGAATAAAAGCTGAGCAGAGACTGTGCAAATTAAGGCACAAATTAGATTTGGCATCAGGGGTGTCCATAATCAAAAATAACCAAAGATGTTCCTTCAATGACTCTAGATTTTTATTCATGAAATCATTTGTGTTTACTAAATAATGCAATAATGTATAATCTCAGTGTGATTCATTCTTCCAGTTAATTTCAATGCAGCCCCTCTTAAAGAAAATTAAGCAGTTTTATTGGGATTTACGATCAACGCAAAACTGCCCAAGTTAAATGCTATGCCATCAGCTCTTAAAACTGATTTAGTGATACTCAAGCTTGGCTTAATTCAGTAGCAATCCTCAAGCAATTCATGTTAGGTTTAGGTACCATCATAATCTTTTCTTTTTTCCTCTGGGGGCATTTGGGCAGGGTGAAGTTGGAGGAAATTTTAAAATAATAATAATAATAATAATAAAAGTAATCATAGTTCCCCTTAACCAGCCAAACTGCAAAAGGACTTATTGTTAAGTGGGTATATCACAAGTTAAAACAATAAACCTGCTTGAAAACATCAGCTATTTGATGCTTGTCTGGGAGTCTTTGAGAAAAAAAGTGGTGACAGTTGACAGCTGTTGTTTTTTTAATAAGATTAAAATAAAGAAATTAGTTTTACTGACTTAAATCTCCCATTTAACACATCCAACCTCCTGGGGCTCGCTCCCTCCTGACATTTGCACATCTGAATTTTCAAAAGCAGCAGCATAACTGAACTTGTGCCAGGAATCTTTCTAAATTCTTTCTAATTATAGCCATTAACAAGCTTATGTCACCCTGTCTCCCTTATGAAGCCAGCAGCCCACCCCACCCCACGCCAGATTCTCAAGTCCCACCACGTTGCCGTGAAAAATAAATGGCATCAGTTTATTCGCTCGTTTATATCGAATCTTTTTCTGTCTGCGGGATCTTCAAATGTTGGAAACCTCCCCAACTCCTCACATTATAATCCCAGAGGGGGAAAAAATCACTGGGAAAACGACAACTTCAGGAATGTTGTTTTGTTAAATTTGGGATAATAATTTTGAAAGTCTTAAGTATCCTCTGCTTTCTGGAATAAACACTTAGATCAGCTGATGTTTTAAAAGAACATGATAGCGGGGAGCTCAATTCTTGATTTTAAAAAAGATAGCCATAATTCGTTTTAAATGTCCTTTATCTGATTTAAATGTATATGTACGTTTGGTCGAGAGAATGTTTCTTTATTATCAAATTCTGTAGCTTGATTGATAGTTTTCACTAATTGGCTAAAAACAAACTATCCCAGACAGAATTATTGATTATATGCAGGATATATTGATGTCAATTCAGATCCAGACATCAAAGAGAATGCTTATATAATTATTATATTGAATTATTACCACCACAATAACTTAGTACTCTCTGAACATTTTTAATAACTATTTTACATATTTCTTAACTTCCAAGTTTAAACTCTCTAATGTTACATTCAAATCAAACTATAGTGTGTATGTGTGTTTTTATTTTTATGTATTTATAAATCCAAGTCAACCTATTGATACATGGGGGGTGGGGAACCAATATAAAACCAATAAAACAAAATATTTGTGCTCAGGGTTGGAGTCCTTGGTGCTCTCTGAGCTTGGTTGTTTTCTTAAAGACATTTCATTACCCAAGTAGGTAACATCATCAGTGCTAGCTGTTGTACATTTATATAAGCAGAGCCATTATAAAAAAACATCCCATATTAAACATCTTTAGCCTAACGCGTAAAATCTGGACCCTCTCGGAGGGCTGACAGTTGGCCCAGATGTAAGGTGGATAGTGCAGTTTTTACCAACAGCAACCAGACCAGTTAAAACAGGATGAGGACAGAACGGGGGCCAACACTTAAAAGGCAATATCCAATAGTTAAACCATAATTTGGTGAAATAAAGGTTAGGCTTCATACAAAAATCTTGGCTGGATTTAGGCAACCAGGGTTTATGCTTGTCGCAAGTTGTCTTAGAGGCAGAATGTTATTTAACCATTCACAAATTCCAAATAGACTAAGATATCCTATAATCCCATAAGCAAACAGACAAGTCTCCTTAATCCCAGTGAGATTAAAATAGAGTCTCCAGGACCCCTTTTGTCTGGCTGCAAAATGTCATCAGGTGGTAAATAGTCCTTCCATTTATTTTTTTAAATCAAAGGCAGTCCTTAAATTTACCTGCCCCTGGGCCTATTGCATATCAATGGTGGACAAGAGTTACGCTTGACAATGAATGAACTTGGAGTTGGCATGGAGTCCCAAGTAAACTTTGATGCTGTGTAACATAAGAAAATTAAGGATAAAGGATGAAGATGCTGGAGTAAACCTCCCCTTCCCCTTCCCTTCCTTTCTTCTATGTTTAATCCTCTCAATCTCCAGGATCAGGAATTTCAAAAGGTTGAGAGAGGACCTGGAAAACTACAGACCACCAATTCAATATATTAGACTCACCTTTTCAGCAAAAAAAAACCCTGATGGCCCTTTTTGCAAGTTGCCAATCTTGAAAACTTAGGGATAAAAGAGAGCCACGTTATTCTCCAGTGGCAAGAAAATATATCAAGAATCTTGTAGCCCCTTTCCCAACTGATAAATGTTATGAAAAGGCATAAGTTTCATGAGCTGAAAGCATACGGCTTTTAATAAAGAAAGCTTGTCAGAAAAGGTGCTACAGGATTCCTGATTTTTCTGAGAATTACGGGCACTCTAAACTACCCCATCTGGAGAAAGCAAGTTAAGAATGTCTTTCCTAAAATATACCTAAAATCAAATTTACAGAAGGGCTGCATGGTTGACCAGTAATAAGCCAATTTCATTGTGCTTGACTGCCATCTGACTCCTGGTGAAGTCCTGTGGAAGAGCATCCTACAAATAGCTTTCTTTGTTTGCTTTCCACGCTCTTAAGAAGCGTAAATGGATCCCCAGAGATTCCAGGGGAAGGAATCCCTCTTGGTTTGGCTCTAAAGAGCTCTGCTTGCCCGGGTTTCCTCACATTTAGGCCTTCTCAAACCTGGTTTGCAAATGTGGTTTTCTCTCCTAAACTATTCCCAACTGGGCATCATCGATTGGAGAGAAAAGTGATTTTTTTTATCTCTTTGATTCCCTGCTGATCTTGAAAGGAGGTTGGCCAGCGATCAGTTCCGTCTCTAAAATTAGATGCCTTCTAAACATTCTTAAACATGAACCGGAAATAATTAACTTCGACGAGGTTTGCAAAACAGTTTGCTAACATAAATTAGCAAATATTGTTCGACGGATGGCCATATCTACTTCATACTTTGTCCTATTTCCTACATAGAAAAATTTATTTGAGAAACTTCAGCCTTTAAACTTTATATTTTGTGTGTTGGATACGTTTACTGCCTCGAGTTATTTGTAAAAAAAAAACAACAATAATTCAATCACAGCATGTCATAGCAACAAAGCATTTTTATATTACAGATATATTGTCTTGCCTTAGTCTTGCCTTGCACGAGTCAAAAAGAGGGCTGTGATAATTTTTACAGACCCCTCGCATCCTGAACATAAATTGTTTCAACTCCTACCTCAAAAGACGCTATAGAGCACTGCACACCAGAAAAACTAGACACAAGAACAGTTTTTCCCCGAATGCCATCACTCTGCTAAGTAAATAATTCCCTCAACACTGTCAAACTAGTTACTAAGTCTGCATGACTATTAATCTTCTCATCGTTCCCGTCACCCATCTCCTCCCACTTACGACTGTATGACTGTAACCTTGTTGCTGATATCCTTACGATTTATATTGTTTCCTAGTATGATTTGATTGCTTATTTGATTGCCTATGACTATCATTAAGTCTTGTACCTTATGATTCTTGACCTTATGATATCTTGTCTTTTTATGTACACTGAGAGCTTATGCACCAAAGACAAATTCCTTGTGTGTCCAATCACACTTGGCCAATAAAGAATTCTATCTATCTATCTTAATTTTTTTTTTCCTTTAATGTGATTAAAATTTCACTTTTATCTCCTAGATCACTCTGTAGTACAATCAGCGCTTATTATCTGGCCTGCAATAACTGTCTGGAAAACTGCTCCTATGTTCTCTTCAGCAACAGGATTACCTTTTTAACGGATCTGTTGATGCACCAATTAATGGTAGGTAAAAATTTCAAGTTTGAATGAATGCTGTTAGCATCCCAAATGCTGGAAAAATCACCTGGTGGAACAAAACATTTTTTTTAAAAAAAATCTGGATTTAAATTGGGGATTCGATCTGTTTTGGAAGGGGATGTATTTCCCTAAAAATTAGGTCTCTAACTTTGGATGTTCTACTTCAGGGATCTTCCTGAGCATCCAATTGGTGGCAGTGGTTAAAAATCCTATTTGTGCAATATGCATTTACTGCAATGATAGTAGAACTTGACTAATTGTCCCTTAGGCTTGTAGTCCGAATAAAAATATGTCAGTCCAGAAAAAAGAAAATTAAGAGAGAAGGTCATTTTCCTCTAATGTTTCTACCCGTTCCACCTCCAACATTTACCATCTTTAGTTCTTCACTTCCAGATGACAGGAATGGCAAAAATGGCAAATATTAAACGGGGCTGCAAATCAACCCTCCTGTTTTGTTTTTTTACTACAATTCACGCCGATTCTAGGTTAGCGCAGTCTCTGGCCTTCTCAAAAGCTAAAATTACATACCTTAATGCACCTACGAGAAGCAGGGTTTTGCAAATCAAATTTACCGAACAGATAGGCTTTAATGGAAGGGGAGAGGGGGAAACTGTTGACTTCCCCCTTCATTTTAGCTGTCATTAAATATTTCATCAGGAGTTCATTTTTAATTCATAGTGACCCTCTCATCATGAGATATTTAGTCTGGAATTGCTGCTTATAAATGGTGATGGGGAGGGGTTTTTTTCAAGAGGCAAGTGGTTGGCTAATTGAAAAGTTGTGTACGTGCCGTAAATAATTCACGCTGCCCTGTTTGAGCCCGAGAACCATAGGGCGATTGATAAACACTTAAGTGTGGGTCCTCGGGGGAGGGGGCAGGGGGGAGGTAGCCCACCGTGTAGTTAGACAAATGGAATCTGAACACGGCTTGTACATTCGGCTGCTCAGCGGTCTCATGTCCTCTTGTTTCTTTTCCAATTTGTCCCCCTAAGGAATTTGCGTATACAAAATACCCCCTAGGACTCTGGTTTGAAGGAAACCACAAGGCAGGTAGTCCACGACTTAACAACAGTCCAATTATTGACCGACGGAAGTTTACAAGGGCACAAGTTTTCTTTAATATTATTTATGGTTTTATCAGAAAAAAAATAAAATACAAAAGACCAAAATGAGCAAAATGAAAGAAAACAAAAGCATCCATTCAGCCCTAACAACAACAACAAAAGAGGGGGGAAAAAGCTACGACCTTAGAAAGCATTCACATGATCAAAATTCGGATGCTTGGCAACTGGTTGGCAACAACCTAACCAACAGTGCATTCTCTTTGTTGGCTCCTCCTTCAAACCCCCCCCCCAAAAAAATGGATCTATTTATTTATTTTAAACCTTGGCACAGCCAGGAGGAGGCAGAATTATTCCAAGCGAGGGTCTCCGGCCAAATTCTCTTGCCTTTGTCTTGCCATCCTGCGAAAGGATGCTCCGTTGATGACAAGTTCCCTTTCTAGTCGTAGTGAAATATTCCTGGAATAGGGCCAGCCACAAAAATCTATCTCGAAAATGAGGTTAGCCCAGTTCAGAGATGGCCAGCTGGCAGTCAATTGGGCAGCTCCAAGCCCACCAACCCACCCATCAATTTTACGTTGTCTGTAAGCCCCTTTCCCTTCTGATACGTTACCCTCTTTAGCAGGCGGTGGAGTGAAACAAGCATTCAAGGCAGACTCAAAATAATTCCTTCCAATGGGTTGTGTTTTCTCTGTCCTAGATTCTGTGCGAAAGGTCTTGCCGAGTTTACGTGCGTGTGCGAATTGGCACTTTATTCTCCAATATTTGATGGACAGGTCCCAGAAGACACGTACAGGAGTTAAAGCTTTTGCTACTCAAATGGGGGGGGGAAATAATAATGATTAAATTCTCCCTCCAGCCGAACATCCCGGCACGCCCGCCAAGACATTTTTTTCCAGAACTGCCATTTCCGCTTGAAACCGATCCGTGAAAACCGAGTTCTTTTTATTTTTATGGGCTAGATATTATTACCAAGTCGATTCAAATAGGGCTGTGTGTTTTTTTTCCTTCCCAAATTGCACGGAACAATCCCACCGTTGCAGGAAGGGACGATGCTTCCACTTGGAAGCGGCAACTGCCCCCCCCCCCCAGCACCTGCCGGCCGTGAATTTTTGCAATGGGGGGGGAGGTCTTAAAACTGGCCATTTTTCTCTGTTTTTTTGCAAAGCGTTTTCTTGCTCCGTCCCTCCCCCAAACATCTCCTAAAGACATCCCTATAAATGTGTTGGGCAAAGAACCTTGGGGGCGGGGGGAATACATTATTTGGGTGGGGGGGGTTGCCTTAAGTTGGCAGAAGAAAGAGCAGGCAGTGTAGGAAGACTCGTTCTTTTGTGTGCTAAAATAAACCCAGTGTTTCCCCCCCCCCCCCCCCCCCCCCCCCCCCCCCTCCCTCATTCCCCCCCCCCCCCCCCCCCCCCCCCCCAGTTTTCCTGCCTGCTTGGAGTCAGTTGCTTCCATTCCAGGCAGTCCTCGGTTTATGACCACAGTTGAGGCCGAAGTTTCTGCTCCTGAGTGAAACTTTTGCTAAGTGGGTTCTTCCCCATTTTACGACCTTGCTTGCCGGAGTTTGTTAAGCGAATCCCCGCAGCTCTTAAATTAATCACAGGGTTGTTAAGTGAATCCGGCTTCCCCATCGACTTTGCTTGCAAAAGGGGATCGCGTGACCCCGGGAGACTGCAGCCGTCATAAATACGAGTCAGTTGCCAAGCGTCTGAATTTGGATCATGTCTCCATGAGAGTGCTGCAAGGGCCATAAGTGTGAAAAACGGTCATAACTCGCTTTCTCCCCCCCCCAGCCCCCAGTGCTCTCACTAAATGAACTGTTGTTAAGTCGAGAACTACCTGTAATCAATTGCCCGTTGATTCATCTCTTCCTTTGCTTATCCTGACAAGGAGCTTTGCCCACCATCCCTACTTTCATCTTCACAACCATCCTGTGAGGTAGGCCGGATGGGGAAAATAAATTAACTCCGGAGTTAGAGGTGCTAAATTTCTGGCATAAATCCATTAGGGCAATTTTGCTTTATAATTGACGTTGTGCTTAAGTGTTTTGAGATACCTTGCTTGCTTTAATAATCATTAGCCCAGCCCTTTGCTCCCAAACACACACACACAAAACACACACACACACACACACACACGTGTGTGTGTGTTCCAATACCTCAGGGGCTGCCCCAAAGAAGAGGGAGTCAAACTCTTCTCCAAAGCACCCAAAGGCAAGACAAGAAGCAATGGGTGGAAACCTTCCTCCTCCTCTTTCTCCTTCTCCTCCTCCTCTTCTTCCTCCTTCTCTTCTTTCTCCTCCACCTCTTTTCTCCTTCTCCTCTTAGGGGACTGGAGAGGCTAAAGCATATGAAGAACGGTTGCAGGAACTGGGTATGTCTAGTTTGATGAAAAGAAGGACCAGGGGAAACATGATAGCAGTCTTTCAATATCTCAGGGGCTGCCCCAAAGAAGAGGGAGTCAAGCTATTCTCCAAAGCACCCGAGGGCAGGACAAGAAGCAATGGGTGGAAACTAATCAAGGAGAGAAGCAACTTAGAACTAAAGAGAAATTTCCTGACAATGAGAACAATTAACCAGTGGAACAACTTGCCACCAGAAGTTGTGGATGCTCCAACACTGGAGGTCCCAAAGGTTCTTTTTCAAGTGGCAACTGGGCTTTCTGGTTATTCTTTGAAGACGTTTCGCTTCTCATCCTAGAAGCTTCTTCAGCTCTTCTTCTTCTTCTTCAGAGCTGAAGAAGCTTCTTGGAGGAGAAGCGAAACGTCTTCAAAGAATAACCAGAAAGTCCAGTTGCCACTTGAAAACCCACCTTTGGGACAACCAGGACCTGGAGGACTGAGAATCTCCATAGACATCTATCATTGGAGGTTTTTAAGAAGATGTTGGACAACCATTTGTCTGAAGTGGTGTAGGGTTTCCTGCCTAAGCAGGGGGTTGGACTAGAAGACCTCCAGGGTCCCTTCCAACTCTGTAATTCTATTCTGTATACACGTACACACACGTTTTAATTCTGGAGAGCCATGAGCTAAAAGTTCTGTCTTAAGTCCTCCCTGCCTTGCCGCCGCCCAGCCAGGTAAGACCTGCACTCTTTATCTTCCCTTCCACCACCGAGGGTCTCTTGGCCTCAACCCTGACCTCGAGAAGACCACCCACTTGCCAGGAGCATCTCTCCCACCTCCCTCTATTAATTGTTCCCCTTTGTGCAAAGAAAGGAGCACATTCTCTTCTTCCAAAGTGCCCATTTTCCACAAATAGGTTTCTGTTCAGACAAGCCTGGGGCCTTTGTGTCTGCAGACACTGTAGGAGTCCCTCTGATTATGACAATTGGGGGGGGTGGGGGGAGGAGAGGAGGGGGTCAGACACACAGACAGGGATGGGAGATAACAGCCTAAGGTGTACGAGACATCCCCTGGGGGCATCTGACTTAGACGCCCCAGATTGGGCTTTTAAAGAAGAAAAATAGTCACAAAATATTACCTGTGGCAGCAGCCTTAAGTATAAAGCTGGAGATTTATTTAATTTTTTTTTTTTAAAAAAAAAGAAACCCTCCTTGGCGCTTCCATCTGTCATAAATTCCCCCCGCAAGGCTTAAGCGTTGGAATACATATGTTTATTCCAGATGTTGCAAGCTCAAGATACTCGTTTGTTTCCAGATCTTGCTTTTTTTAAAAAAAGAAAAGAAAAAACAACTTTTGGATCTTGGAACTTCTTCCTCGCGGATTTGAGGCTGAGTCATATCTGGAAAAGGCTAGCATCTCATCTTAGCCACAAGTTCCTAGGCCAGCCTTCCTCACATCTGTCGTTTTCCAGATGTGTTGGAGCTCCCTTTGGCTGGGGACGATGGGCGTTACAGTGCAATAGATTTGGGACGGTTCGTAGGAAGGAGTGGCTACTTCAGAGTCTGAATTTTTTTTTTTTTAAGGGCCTTTCAGAAAAATCAGTCTTTAAAACCAGGACATGAATTAGTGGGTGAGGATTTTTCTTCTGCTCGCGGTTTCCTTCTTTCAACAGATTGCTTCACGCTAATGCCGAAAGAATGTGTTTCTTCCCTGTGCAAAAGCCCCGTTCAAAATAAGTCATTGTTTTGTACTTTCCTACTTCCTGAAAGAAGGAAGGCTCCCAGCAAACAGCCTCTGAAGGATACGGGAAAAGAAAAGAGGGCAAAATAATACAAAAATAATATGAAAGCCACTCAGACTTTCTCCTCCTAATTCCTCTAAGAGGCTCTTCCTGTTTACCGTCAAGATCAAAGAACTTCCACGTTCTGTACAAAACTGGTCTCAGACGGTATCTGTTTCCCCAAAACAAGGACCACCACTTTCCTTCCAGCCTCCAGGAACCCTCCAACTGTCTCAAAGATGCTTTTTCCAAAAGGCAACTGGACTGTGTTACTCCTCTGAAGAAACCAGGAAGTGAAGATTTCTTGAAACTTGCACACGCAAATCGCGCGATCACCGGATCCCATCGCTGATGAGAAGTGAAACATTTTTGAGGGAAAAAACCCAAGGAAGTCCAGTTGCCTTTTGGAAAAGCATCTTGGAGACTAACTATGACCTGGATGATGGAGAATCTCCAAAGATATTTAACCCTCCAATCAAATCGTCACTGAGCAGATGGTTGTAAGTTGAAGACTATCTCTATTCAGAAGTTGCACAGAACTGTTGACCTGTTAAGGAAACAGCTCAAGTGGCTTCCAAATTTTAGCATTTGACTTGTCCGTCGAAGGGGTGTTGTGTCTTCGAAGAACTATTACATCCATGCAATTAGACATTCCAAGTCACTCGTCCGGAATTACTCCGCGTTGTCTAAAATTACCTGGAGCAACTTGATCTTTTTCTAAATATTCAGGTAGTTTCAGCTTGCCTCCTCTGCCGTTCGGCATCCCTTGTACGCCAGGAGCATATTAATTCTCCCTGCGAGGTGCCAAAGTCGTCTTCTCACTTCCTAACTTGGCTCGTCCCCAAGAACGGACAATGACAATGAATTTTAAGTACCGACTCCAGGCACAGAGCTAATCAATAATGTAAAAAAAAGCAGTTGTTGGATTTTTTTTTTTTTGTCTCCAAGTGTTACCCGGTTCCCTCGAGAGGGATACGATGCTAACTGTGCAACAGCTGCATTTTACGATCTAGCTCACTCTTGTGCGGTTAAAACGGAGAAGGTTTTCTTGGTGAAATCATTGTGAAATTGGCTTTTTTTTTCCGGTCAGGTCTTGAGTTGAGAATGCAAAGTGGCGTGTTTTGGATTCTCCTGCTTAAGTTCCATTGCATCCTTCCTGGTTGGACCACCTTACTTTAGATCAGGGGTCTGCAACCTTAAACACTCAAAGAGCCATTTGGACCCATTTCCCACAGAAAAGAAAACACCAGGAGCCACAAAACCCTTCCCGTACCTGACTATTTCTTGAGCGGCCACAAAATTAGCATATGTAGTTGAATTAAACGTTCTGTTTTCTTCTGATACTTTTCTTTTCTTGGATTTATCCACGGTTGGCCTACTGGGGTGTTTGAAAAGCTCAATAAATTGTGTGCCGGTGGGTGTCGCACATTGGTGGTTGTGACGCATATTTTGAGTGACACGGAGCCACAGCAGAGGGGTGAAAGAGCCACATGCAGCTCCAGAGCCACAGGTTGCTGACCCCTGCTTTAGATTAATGAAAAACCTACTGCTGAGGCTTTATTCATTTATCCTGATTAGTATTATCACTGTTTTAATATATCAAACTGTCCAGAAATGGTATTAAAGCAACCAAATCAAAATTTGGATGCTTGACAACTCATATTTATTTCGGTTGGAATCCCAGGTCGTGTGATTCCCTTTTGTGACCGTCTGACGAGCAAAGTCAATGGGGAAGCCAGATTCACTTAACAACTGTGGCATGAAAGTTCGTAACAAGACACTTAACTGTCTCGCCTAGCAACATCAATGTTGGGCTCAGTTGTGGTCGTAAGTCAAGGACTACCTGTAAAAGGGAAGGCCAACCGCCCTGAAGAAGAAAAAAAATTAATCCTGATTTTAATCCTGATTTTTTTTTTCTTGGATTGATTTAATCCTTGAACATCTTCAGAGGCTGGCCAGTAAGATGCATTCTCGGTGCATTTAACTGAATGCAGACATTGAGTAGGAACTGTTAAAATAAGGTGCTTGAAAATACAAGGCAATTCCCATCTTAATCACCCAAGAACGTTACTAGTTCGAACAGACCCTATTCCGTGAGATCAGGTTAAAAGAAAAAATACGTATGGAAGTTTGTAGCTCTCTTCTGATCATCTGTGAGCTGAATTGTCTCCAGGTAGCATCAAGTCAGACCAATTTAGCTTAAACACAGAAAACTGGACAAACGAAAAGACTGCAAAAGAACAGATAACGTTGAGATAACCTTTTTTTTTCCTGTTGAAGACACTGGCACGCATTTTTTAAAAATGAAATTCTGATGTCCTTAGTTGGCATTGAGCAAAGGAAGTTGCGCCATACTTTTAAGCATCAGAAGCTGAAAATTAATAGCGGGGAACAGAATGGTGTGTTGTTTGGAAAGTTATAATTTAAGGATGAGGTCGGATTTGCTGGCAAAATAATGGAGGGGAACATTCTGAGCACGATACCTATTTTGAGGTAGGTTTATTCTGCGTTGCATTGTGTTTCTGTGCAGGTGTATGTCCCAGATGATCACAATGCTACCTCAGGAAGAGCAATTAACAAGCAAGCTTTTGAAGGCCTAATAACTGGAGTGCTCAGGACCCTGGCTGTAGTGTTTGGGTCTCTGATGTCCAACCTACCGAACGCTAATAACCAAATTTGCGTGCCAAAATTGATTCAAGATATAAAAAACAAGACCTCCCAAGCTGAAATTTTTAACAATAGGATACAAGACCTCATCAGGTAAGATCAGTTCAGATGTTCCTGTTTGGTGTTTTCATTCCACTCTTGATTGTGCCTTCCAGAGAGGTTGGGACTACAGGGCCCATAATTCCATCGGTCAAGCTGTTTTGGTATTCTTGAGTTATTGTCCCAACTCTTTTGGAAAGTACGCTACTATTTTAAAGATATTTTAATCCTGCCTTTATGATTTTGATAAGTAACTCAAGGGGGTGAATATACCTAATGCTCCTTTCTCGTCCTATTTTCCCTTCAACGACGACCCTGTGAGGTGGGTTGGGCTGAAAGAGAGGGACTGACCCAAAGACACCCAGCCAGACTTTATGCCTAAGGCAGCACTAGAACTCCCAGGCTCCAGGTTTCTAGCCTGGTGCCTTCACCACTACAGCACACTGGTTTTCTAAACTAAATTATGGTGAATATGTTTTGTTTTGTTTTTTGTTTTTTTCAATCAAATTTCTATACCGCCCTACTCCCGAAGGACTCAGGGCGGTGAACAGCCAAGATAAAATACAGATAATACAAATATTAAAAAAATCCCTTAAAATTATTAAATATTCGGCCAAAACACAGATTAAAACACCCAATTTATAAAATCACGAATTTAAAAATTTAAAAGATGGGAGTTAGGCCAGGCCAGCTTGCTGAAATAGAAAAGTTTTGCGAGCACGGCGAAACGTGCGCAGGTCCGGGATCTTCCGTATCTCTGGGGGGAGCTCGTTCCAGATGGTAGGTGCCCCCACAGAGAAGGCTCTCCCCCTGGGAGCCGCCAGTCGACACTGTTTGGCCGACGGCACCCTGAGGAGCCCCTCTCTATGGGAGCGTACTGGTCGGTGAGAGGCTATTGGTAGCAGAAGGCGGTCTCGTAGATACCCCGGTCCGATGCCATGGAGCGCTCTAAAGGTGGTAACCAAAACCTTGAAGCGCACCCGGAAGACCACCGGGAGCCAGTGCAGCTCGCGCAGGAGGGGGGTCACAATATGTTGATATGCATACATGGGAATGAATGAAAGGCCCAATGTATGTGTGAGTGAGTGAGTGAGTGAGTGAGTGAGAGCCAGTGGTAGTGATTAAAATGCTAGACTGGGGAGTTCTAGTCCTCCCTAAGTCAGGGAAACTGACTGGGTGGCTTTGGGGCCAGTCGCCTTCTTTCACTGGAAACTTGAAAAGCTTCTATCTATCAGTGTCCTCTGGATCATCATAGTAGGTTATAGTCTATTGCCTCAAATAAAAAGGCCTTCATCTTGCAATGGATTGATTTGGGAGGAGATAGAAGAGGAGGAGGAGGAAGGAGGAGGAGGTGATAGAGGAAGAGGAGATGAAGAAGAAGGTGAGGGAGGAGGAGGAGATGAGGGAGAAGGTGAGGGAGAAGGAGGGAAGAGGAGATGAAGATAAAAGTGATGGAGGAGGAGGAAGAGGAAATGAAGAAGGTGAGGGAGGAGGAGATGAAGAAAGTGAGGGAGAAGGAGGGAAGAGGAGGAGATGAAGAAGGTGATGGAGGAGGAGGAAATGAAGAAGAAGGTGAGGGAAGAGGAGGAGATGAAGAAGGTGATGAGGTGGTGGAGGAGGAAGAAAAGGAGGAGGTGATGGAGGAGGAGGAGATGAAAAAGGTGAGGGAGGAGGAGGAGATGAAGAAGAAAGTGATGGAGGTAGTGCAGGAGGAGAGGAGGAAGAAGAAGAGGAAGAGGAGGAGCTGGAGGAGGAGGAGGTGAAAAAGAAGGTAATGGAGGAGGAGGAGATGAAGAAGAAGGAGATGATAACGATGGTGATGATGATGATATATGAACGGGGCAAGATTGATCCGTGGAACAAGAATGCAACCTGCATTGAGGGCATTTCTTTCTCCTCTCTCCCTCCGCTAGCTACATGGTCAACATCGGCTTAATAGAGAAGCTGAGCTGCTGCTTCCTCTCTATCCAAGGCCCAATTGACGAAACCCCCAAAACGGCGGCTTTCTTGCAGAACTGCACCGCGGCCCTGCACGGGATGTGCCAGCTGTGCTTCGCTGTCAATGGCAGGCAAGTGTTGCGGCTGTAGTTTTCGCGGTCCCTAAATCGGGCGATGATGCGCCTTTGGCAAAGCGCCAGGGTCCTGAATCCTAACCCCGAAACCCGGCCCCTTTAAGCCCCCGCAAAAATACCTGCCTTGAAAAATATGTCTGGAACGACAGGTTGGAAGAGACTGAGGCCTCCTGGGTGGGGTGGCCCCAGAGTGGGGTGGGAATGGGGATTTTGCAGTATCCTTCCCCTGCCACGCCCACCAAGCCACGCCCACCGAACCGGTAGTAAAAAAAAATTGGATTTCACCATTCTTGAAGCCCCTTCAAGAAACCTGTTTCCCAAATCCCCGCAAAGTTTAAAAGAGTTTAACTTCTTATTACGGGAGAGGGGGGGGGAAAGAAAATAGATATGATGAATGAATACAACTTAGGCCAGCCCTGGCGGCTTATATCTCTTCCTGGGCCCCGGCCTAAGCATCGGTGAAGTCAGAACGTTCCGAAATGGTTTCACCACCAAATCTGATAACGCTTCTGTGAGGACGCCTATAAAAGAATCTGATGGTAAATGACAGGTCCTTGTCTCATCCCACCAATCACGGGCTTACAAAGCACTCACATACCCAGGGGGTGGGGCTGCTGGGGGTTCGCAAGGGTTCGGGAGAACCTCTAGCTAAGATTCTGTGCAGTTCGGAGAACCCCCGAATCCCACTCCTGGCTGGCCCCACCCACCCCTCCCCCCTCAGGAGTCCCCATGCGGCCCGTTTTGGATGCAGGTAAGTGCAGGGCACGCGCAGGGGCTCGGGGAGGGGGGGAGAACGGGCCTATCAGAAGTTCGGGAAGGCCATAAACGGGCCCCGTTTCTGGCCTCCGGAGCCTGGGGAGGCCGTTTTCACCCTCCCGGAGGCTCAAAAAGAACCTCCAGAGCCCGGGGAGGGCAAAAAAGCTCCGCCTCCCCCTGCCATAGTACAGGAGGCCAACTAGGCCAGACCCACCATGGCCACGCCCCCCCCCCCAGCAACCGGGCAGAAAACCCCTTGCTAAAATTTTTTGAAGCCCACCCCAGCACATACCTACACATTGACACACACACACGCACACACACCGTCAGCAAACAATCCAGAAGTGGAACAGTGGTGGCTCTCCTTCGATGGGTTTCTTTTTTTTTTCCTTCCCCTTGCATAAAAAAAGAGAGAAGGAAAGGTCAGGTCAAAGGGATAGAGAGGGATATAGACTTCTCTGCATCGTATTTTATTGCCGTAATTAAGTTAATGTCTGGTTTGGCTGCTTGGTGGCCCATAAAAGAGAAGGCGCGGCTGGGGATCGGGTGGTGCTGCCTTTTGCTGCCCAGGAGTCACATTCAGCCGATGCCGGAATCTACGGGCGAAAATCCAGGTAGCCCTCGACTTTTACAACAGTTCATTTAGTGACCGTTCGAAGTTACGACGGCGCTGGAAAAAAAGGGGCCTTAGGGTCATCTTTCGCACTTGTGACCGTTGCAGGTCACGTGATTGACATTTGGATGCTTGACAACTGACTCACATTTATGACAGTTGCGGTGTCCCCTTTTCCGACCTCCTTACAATTAAAGTTAACGGGGAAGGCGGATTCACTTAACAACCGGGTTACTAACTTAACGGCTGCAGCAATTCACACCGCAACCGTCGTAAGTATGGGTCAGTTGCCAAGTGTCTGGATTTTGATCACGTTGACTGTGGGGGAAACTGCAGCGGTCGCCTTAAGTGTGAAAAAGTTACGTGATTGATTAGCTCTGTCCCTGGAGTTAGTACTTAAGTGTGGAAAACGCTCCTAAGTCACTTTCTTCAGTGCAGTTGTAACTTTGAACAGTCACTAAATGGATTGTCGTAAGTCGAGAACTACCTAAAGCTGACTTATAGGTAGTCCTCCACTTACGAACTGTCACTTAACAACCGTTCAAAGTGAAAACAAATTTCCCAAAAGATGCTCAGGACCTCAGAGTTCTGTAGTTCTGAATGATGCCCCCTCCCCCTGAGGTCACATGACTGAGTACACAAGCCACATTTCTCTCTCTCTCTCTCTCTCACACACACACACACACAATTTTGCTTATTTACTAAAACCGCCTTTTGCGGAGAGGTGCAGAATGCCATCGTTCTTCCATTGTTTTAGAAGCCCAAACATTTTATTTTGGCAGATCATCTCCAAGCCTTGTTGAACTACAATTCCCAGCAACTTCCTTGCTCTTGGAAGCAGGCTGGTTGCAACAGCTGGAAATTCTAGCGCAGGACTATCCAGAAATGTTTTCGCTCAGGATTGGGATTCCTCTGTTCGATCTTGCTTCTCTTGCCGTATTTATTTTAGATGTTAAACCTGACCGCCAGCAGCAACAGTGCTTGGACGGGGAGATGGAGCGGTGTATAAATTTAATAAATAAATACGAACGATCTTGTGCTCTTTTCTTTGACAGGTCCGGAAGCATCTTCGCTGAGACCCACCAGGATCCCACCGGGCTGGCGGCGGCTTTCAAGGCCACGGATCTGGTGGGCGTTTTGCACATGCTCTACTGCGTTCTCTTCCACGGCACCCTGGTGGAGCCGAGCGCGGCCAACCCCAAGGAAAGCTTCATGGCAAACACCCTGCAAGTCGCTCTCCAGAGTTTGCGCTTCTTCAATAGTTTTGCTCTGCTGGATCTCTCCGCTTTCCAGGTAAGGTTTCTCCCAAATGCGCCAACTGCGGGTTCGGTGCTCTTCTCTGTTTTTGTCCGTGTGGCAATTCTGCGCTGCCTCTTCTAACCGACTGGCAAAGCGTGGCCCACTCCAGTTCTTGAGCTCCATGATAGCTAACTCGGGTTTTAGCTGAGCCACACAATTCCCTCATTTCCAAAAACCTCGGTTGTGATCTGAATCAAATCAGGTGTTCTGACTTAGGCTTCCACAGCAGCACGAAGCCGAGTCCTCGTCCCGATAAACTCCTTTTATTTAATTGTCAGTGAATTCCTCTCGAGCAAAGTTTTTCCTCTCCCACAGTCTTTCAAGATAGTTCACAATTACTGACCTTTATCAGGCTTTGAGAGTGGCCAGGCTGATATCTTTCAGACTCCACACTGCAACCGACAATACTTGGCAAGAATGCAGGAACAGATCTTCACCCAAATGAACTAATTGTCTCCTGCAAACACCCCTCCCCTTTCGCTCCTCTTTTATTCCTTCTGGGAGGGCCCTTCATCATCGACCCTTGTTCTTTAGCTGTTCCCTTCTCCTGGCAGCTCTGCGCATGCGCACACTGGGAACAGGATTCAGCTGTTCTTCTGCCTCACTGATGTCTGACTCCGAAGGCAGCTGATAACTGGCATCCGGCCCTGGCCCCCTCTCTGCCTCTGACGCAGAGCCCTCATCAGAGCCTTCCCCAGACTCCAGGACTGGCCCTTGTTCCTCCCCAACCTCCTCACTCTCCGAATCTGCTGTTGTATCCACTGGCTGTTGGCGGGCCACAACATCAGGTGCTGAAAAAAAGATTATAAAATCAGATCCAGTCACATGGTGACCCACTTTACTAACAGTCTTAATTACCATGTTCCATTAGAGTTGTAAGTCAAGGACCCATAGAGTTCAGAAGAGTTTGCTTTCTTAAAAGCCATTTGACTTTCCATTGCAAGACTCCTTTCTCTCTCCGGAGGCACCGATCCAAGTTGGACGTTCCTCGCCCATTTCTCAAAAGACGCCAGTTTTTATTTTCACTTACTAAAAGAGCATCTGCATTTCTTCCAATTCAGTCGTCGGTCACTTTCCCCCTCTTTGTTATTTTACCCTGTTTCCCCCAAAATAAGACCCAACCGGAAAATAAGTCCTAGCATGATTTTTCAGGATGCTCGTAACATAAGCCCTACCCCAGTGGTGGGTTTCAACCGGTGTTACCACCGGTTCACTTCATGCACACGCTTCATGCAAGTGCTTCACGCAAGCGCAGTGTATTAAGGAACAACTGAGATGCAGCAATCCTCTCTGCCGCACCTTTCAGCTGGGCTAAAAATGACCGAATATAAGGTATGCATAATGCAGGGGAGGGTGGGAGGGCCAAGCTAAGCGTCAGAGAGAACCGGATACTGGCTCGCCCGAACCGGGGAGAACCGATAGCAACCCACCACTGCCCTACCCCAAAATAAGACCCAGTTAAGATCATCAGCCAGATGGATGCATTTAGTACTGTATTTCCCCCCCAAAATAAGACCTAACCAGAAAATAAGCCCTAATGTGTCTTTTGGAGCAAAAATTAGTATAAGACCCGTATTTAAAAAGTCTTGGTCGCGCATTTACGGTCCGAAATGCTCAAGCACCCAAAAAAATAATAATAATAGTTCAAGGGGAATACAAAATTCCAGTGGCAAAGTTTCTCAGGATAGCATCCATTTATCTTGGGCGTCTAAACAGTGGGAAGGCGTCAGGGAGAAGCAAGGCAGGGTACTGAAACCGCCATTAAAAGTGGTTGCGGAGGGAATGTGTAGTTCCTCAGAGGAGGAGAAGAAGAAAAAAAATAAAAGAATGTTAATGTTTATATACAAGCTTTCGTGCCCCGGACCACTGGTTATCGGAGGAGGCTATAAACAGAGAGCCCGTCGATTGGAGCGTCTGTTGGAGAAGAAACGTTGACACATCCATCTCGAGTAGTAAATGATCAGGAAGGGGAAGAGGGCACAGCGTTTCCTTCCCCCCCGTCCCCCTTAGGGGCATCATGGCACGGATGTGCCCAGCCTTTCAGTAGATTTCAGTTGGGCCTGGGCAGCTTCGTGGCATCTTGGTGGCGTCTGGCCAAAAATGAGTCTAAACGATTAAGAGGCTCTTTCTCCTTGCCTGGCTTGTAAGCTAAACAGATGACATAAAAGGTTAAAAGGGGGGGGGAAAAGGAGGAGGAGGAGGGAAGAGAAAAAACAATGCCAACTTAGACACCCACACTAGGAAGAAAAGTCAGACTGATGAGAGAGGAGAGTTTGGGAATTTCCACCATCTCCTCCTCCTCCTCCTCCTCTTCTTTCTCCTCCTCCTCTTCCTCCTTCTTCTCTTCCATCTTCTCCTCTTCCTCCTCCTCCTCCTCCTTCCTCCTCCTCTTCCTCCTTCTCCTCTTCCTCCTCTTCCTCCTTCTCTTCCTCCTCCTCCTCCTTTTCTTCCTCCTCTTTCTCCTCCTCCTTCCTCCTCCTCTTCCTCCTCCTCTTCCTCCTCTTCCTCCTCCTCCTCTTTTTCTTCCTCCTCTTCCTCCTCCTCCTTCCTCCTCCTCCTCCTTCCTCCTCCTCTTCCTCCTTTTCCTCCTCCTTCCTCCTCCTCTTCCTCCTTTTCCTCCTCCTCCCATCTGTTCCTGCCAGTAAGTACAGTAGGAATCAAATGACTGACTACCCCCCAGCCTGGAGGATCCAGTGAGATGATGAATTTGGGGCTAGCCAGATTCCGCTCTTCTCCATACATTTTTAACCCATCGTCCGCCAAACTAAAACAACCCCGAGGCAACCACGTGCCTCCTCCCCCCCCCTCCCCATGGCGCTTTTCCCACCGAGAGGCTGCTCCCTCCAAGTGGGCAGGCTTTGATGTCCCTGCCTCCTGCCTCTCTTCTCCCCTCTGACCCCACATCGCTTTTTCTGGCTGACATGTTTATTAAATAGAGCCTCCGGGCTGCACCGATAAAGCGGCCTTATCCCGAATCCCTCTGCCGTATAACCTGCCTACCCGTTGTTTTTTTTCCCCTCCTCCCACGTCCAACGCACATTAAACCCCTCGGCTAGCCAGCATTCTCTGCGTTTGCTTATATCTTGCCAAACAATGACATTTTAAAGGGTTGCTCTTTGCAAGTGGGTGATCGAGGGAGGGAGGGAGGAATACATTTGGAGTTGTGCAAATGGGGGGCAGAACCGGCATGCATTCCCCCGTCCTTGCAAACTTCTGGAGAGAGAAATGACGGTCCAGGCAAGTTTACAGAGGCAGCTGCAGCCCATCCATCAAGTGGCATTGAACCCACGGTGGCTGAGAGGTTGTGTCAGCGTGCACACTTGGTTCGATTGGGCGTTGAAACACAGCCAGGCCAATAACCGAGCTACAGAGACACGGCCGGGTCTAAAAGACCAAGAGACGCACCAATTGCACCGAGTGTCAAAAGCTATAAAAGTAGCGGGAACCCAGCTTCGGTGTTAGAGCCTATCGGTGTAATGAGCTGATAGGAATTGCAAGCGACAATAATGCACTATCTGTGTATACACAGCTTCACAGAGGTCACTCCTTTGCCACCAAGGCAAGGGTGAAATCCAGCAGGTTCTCACAGGTTCTGGAGAACCGGTAGCGGAAATTTTGAGTAGTTCGGAAAACCAGAAAATACCACCTCTGGCTGGCCCCAGAGTGGGGTGGGAATGGAGACTTTGCAATATCCTTCCCCCAGGAGTGGGGAGGGAATGGGGATTTTGCAATATCCTTCCCCCAGGAGTGGGGAGGGAATGGAGATTTTGCAATATCCTTCCCCTGCCACACCCACCAAGCCACGCCCACAGAACCGGTAGTAAAAAAAATTAGGATTTCACCACTGCACCAAGGGATTTGAACTTCCTCCTTGCAGGACCGTCCCAAGGAGGGGGAAAAAAGAGACAAAGGCCCGGAGTAAAACCCCAGTGTATTAGAGTTGCGTATATTTGGGCTTCTTGAAAACAAGCCAGACAAGAACTTCAGTCGATCTTGGCTTCCGTTCAGTGCACACATGCACATTGGCCTGTCTGTTTAGTAGGCTCTTGCTGAAATTCAAGCAGGCTCTTGCTGCTTTTGTCCTTGATTAATACTTTTTTTTCCCCCTACCCCACTGGAAAATAGCTTTGAGAATGAAGCCTCTTCCGACAGCAATAAATGGGTCTGCTGGATTGGAAGTTCTTTGTAAAATACGAGGATAGATTTTCACTCAACCCATTTAAGAAATGTTGGGATGAAAGGGGAATATGTATATTGAAAGGAGTCTGGGCTGGTCTACAACCATAATAAAGATGTGGACTTGATTTGACTTGACTTGACTTGGTTTGGCTTGGCTTGGCTTGGCTTGGCTTGACTTGACTTGACTTGACTTGACTTGACTTGACTTGACTTGACTTGACTTGACTTGACTTGACTTGACTTGACTTGACTTGGACTTGGTTTGACTGGACTGGACTTGGACTTGACAGGATTCTCTTCTCTGTCTTAATTTTATGGATTCTTAATTTGGGAATCCAGTGCCACCTGAGATACCAAGTCCTCTTGCTATTGTCAAGATCCTCCCAAATTTCCCACCTTTTCCAGAGCACATAAGGTGGAAATCCCCCACCCCCAAATAGAGAGTAGGCATCAAATAGACAACCTTTTTTAAAAAAAAACCAAAAACTTCACATCAACCCTTGGATTCCATTGGATGTTTGTAGAAGAGGCATCTTAACATTTCTCTACTTCTTTCCTCCAGTCGGTGGTTGGCGCCGAAGGCCTCTCCCTGGCATTCCGGCACATCATCAGCTCCTTGCTATGGCACTGCTCCCATCACACCTGCGAAGTGCTGCTTCACGAAGTTATTGTCTGCGTGGGCTACTTCACCGTCAACCATCCAGACAACCAGGTACGGAGGCCCGTTGAGAAGTTTTCAGCCCAGTGTTTCCCCACCTTGAACATGTGTGGACTTCAGCTCCCAGAATTCCCCAGCCAGCATGCAGTTTTACCGAAAACTGGTAGTCAATGCCAGTTTTCAACAGAACCACTGGAAAATGTGGTTGTGTGACCACAGGGCACTATAGATGCAACTCGGTTGCTGAGCATCGGAAGTTTGGTCCTGTGACCATGGGGGGATGGGGGGGGGACAACTGTCAGAACCACGACCCAGCCCCCAGGAGAGCCCCCCCCCCATTATAACTCTGAATGGTCAGTAAGCAACTGATTGTAAGCTGAAGACTATCTCTACCGCTTTTGCCTCCAAAGCAGATAAATTGGTCACATTCTGATCAAAAAGAGATTGGTTATGTTTCTATAAATATAGAAATAGAGAGCTGTGATGGCGCAGTGGTTAGAGTGCAGTACTGCAGGCTAACTCTGCCCACTGCCAGCAGTTCGATCCTGACCGGCTCAAGGTTGACTCATCCCTCCATCCTTCCGAGGTTGGTAAAATGAGGACCCAGACTGTTGGGGGGCAGTATGCCGACTCTGTATACCACTTAGACCAGTGATGGCTAACCTTTTTGCCGCGGCGTGCCAAAAGCAGGCGGGGTGCAGGGGGGGTCGCACATGTATATGCACATACCCATAATTCAGTGTGCCCTGTCCCCCCGCATATGCGCATGCAACCCTCCCCATGTTCCCCACTCTTTTGGCACGCGATGGAACAGTGGGCCCAGTAGGCCCGTTTTTCGCCCTCCCCAGAGCCTTTCTAGGAACCTGGGGAGGGCGAAAATGGCCTTCCCCACCTCCCCAGAGGCCCTCCGGAGGCCGGAAACGGCCCGTTTCCCAACTTCTGGTGGGCCCAGAAGGCCCGAAAATCAGCTGGCCAGGAGCACTGATTTCATGCTGAATCACGCTGGAGCTGAGCTAGGATATGGCTCTCCGTGCCACCTGTGGCATGCATGCTATAGGTTCGCCATCACGGACTAAGTCTCCTTTTATTCCCTAACTCACAGCTGGAAGGGGGAGGGACCTTAACCTATCCCTCCCTCTCGATTTGTTAGCACATTTCATCACTCCCCTCTACGCCTGTCGGTTTAACGGGTCCCACGATGGGCACCGAAGGGAATCCTGGGTAGCAAGAATAAACCCTTCAGCCCCACTTATCAACGACAAAGCCAATTGGGGGCTTCGCAAAAGAGTGACCGTTTCTTAATTAAAAATATTGCCCTTAATTAACAGGCTCCTTGCGTCTTGCGAGGCTCCGGGGGAGGGGTGGGCTTCTCTTGCCCTCTGATCTAATTAGTAAAGACTTTGGCGGCTGGCTACTGTTGAGCTCATTTGCATTTTATATTGGACAGTTGAATGGGGGGGGGGTCTGATAATTAAATTAACATGAATGACAAATGAGTTTGTTCCCTCCGTATCGCCGCACTGGGAGTTTCTAAAAAGAGCAAAGAAAGAAAGAAAAACCTTTGCATATTCATTTTTTTTTTTAAACAAGGGAGTCATTTTAATCTGGCCACTCCATGCAAATGGAACTAATGTGACTTCTGTGTGGGGGTGAGAGGCAGGGGGCATAGAAGTTCGGCACCGGGCATTTGTCTCCCAGTACCCCAAATTATAACTCTGATACCAGGACTGCTTATATTCTGTAAGAGCTTTGTTCCTTACGCCATCCGTCTTGTAAACTCGCAGGATTCTTTTTTTTTTTTTCGCCACGTTTATGTTTCGGGCAATGAGAGGGCAGGGATTTTTGCTACCGGTTCTCCGAACCACCCGCCGCCATTGCTACCGGATCGGTCGATCCGGTCCGAACCGGGAGCATTTCACCCCTGGATGTACCTGACTTGAAGAAGGCAGAATAGGAGAGTTCTCATCCCTACGATTAGGGGCACAGTTTCAGCAAGACTTCTCCATTGGAAGGAGAAGAGCGTGCTCAAGAATGCAAAGGCGGGATCCGTTTATCTGTGGGGTCCTTGAGGCTCTTTGAGCCAGGTTGTTTTTCTTGCAAACGTTTTGTGACCCAACTAGGTAACATCATCAGTTCTCTGAGGGTGGTGATGGTGAAAGTGATGATGTTCCATAGTCAGGTCGTGAAACGTTTGCAAGGAAGCTACCAGGCTCAGAGAGCACCAAGGACCACACGATCCATCTCCTCCTCTTCCTCTTCCTCCCCCTCCTCCTCTCCCCTGCAAACCCGTCTAGCACTGATGATGTTACCTAGTTAGGTCATGAAATGTCTGCAAGAAAACCACCAAGCTCAGAAAAAGCACCAAGGACATCACAGTCCCATCTCCTCCTCCTCCTCCTCCTCCCCCCTCCCATTCTCCTCCTCCTCCTCCTCCTGCAAACCCCTCTAGCGCTGATGATGTTACCTAGTTGGGTCACGAAATGTTTGCAAGAAAACAACCCAGCTCAGAGAGCCCCAAGGACCCCACCGTTCTCCTCCTCCTCCTCCCTCTCTTCCTCCACCCCACAAACCCCTCTCCCTACTACCACTGATGATGTTACTTAGTCGGGTAATGAAATGTCTTCAAAGAAACAACCAAGCCCAGAAAGCCCCAAGGACCCCACAATTCTCCTCCTCCACCACTTCCACCTCCTCCTCCTCCTCACCCCTCTAGCGCTGATGATGTTACCTAGTTGGGTCACAAAATGTTTGCAAGAAAACAACCCAGCTCAGAGAGCCCCGTTCAACTCTGAGCCGCAAATACTCTCTTCTATCACAATCTTACTTGCCTTAGGGAATCCCTTCGGGTGCTGAGAAAGCGTGTCTGATGTTTTGCAGCCCCTGCAGAGCTGAAGAGCTTCTGTTGGTTCGCCACCATATGACACCACCTACACCGATGCCCCCCCCCCCAAATAATTCACCCGAATCTCTTCGGTGGCATCGGCCCATTCAACGCAGAACGAATAATCTGTAGAATAATCTGTGCAGGGAAGGAACCTCTCTGGCCACAGCCAAGGGGAGTGAGCCTTTTGCGTCTCTTCCCTTCTTCCCATGTCTCCCACCCACCCACCCATCGACACCCCCCCTCGCTCCCCCTCCCGCTCTAGATGTCCTTACATCTGTTAGTCATACATCCTTTGGCTTAAAGCTTGTTTATCTGTTTCCAATGTAGGCTTGTTTATCCTTTTTTAATTGGATTAAGATGACAATCTAGGCAACGGTTGCAAAAGGTGTCACCGTTTTGTCGTTTTGACATTCCCTGGGCCAGCTACCCTTGAGAGGTTGGGATGGGGGGGCCGAGCGTCAACCGTGGAGGCGGTCCACGAAAGTTTACGCCAGGATATACATTCGATCCGGTTCTTGTTTTGCGCAAATGCATCTGTCGTAAACATGCGAGAAGTAGGTCGGTCGACATCATTTAAGGGTAGACCTGATGTGGGAACGATGGCCTTCCATCCTTCCGAGGTGGGTAAAATGAGGACCCAGATTGTTGGGGGCAAGAGGCTGACTCTGTAAACCGCTTAGGGAGGGCTGGAAAGCACTGTGAAGCGGTATATAAGTCTAAGTTCTATTGCTACCTTCCTTTCCTTTCTTTTCCTTTCCTTTCCCTCCCCTTCCCTCCTCTGCCATTTCCTTTCCATCTTTCTTTCCTTCCCTCCCCTCCCCTCCCCTCCTCTGCCATTTCCTTTCCTCCCTCCCTTCCTTTCCTTTCCTTCCTTCCTTCCCTTCCTTCCTTCCTTCCCTCCATCTTTCCTCCTTTCCTTTCCTTTCCCTTCATAAGGTCTCCTTCTGGACTAGAAGACCTCCAAGGCCCCTTCCGACTCTGTCTGTTCTGTCTTCCTTTTTTAGCTTTTAAATTTTCATTTTAAAATCCAATCGGACATCTTCCCACACTCTTAGACTCTTTAAGGGAAAGAGTTAGCCTTAAGAAATCCAGCCGACTTCACGTCCACCCCTATTATAAGGGAGGGGAGAGGAATGGTAAATATTCCTAGAAAAAAATAAAAGCTCTACCTTTCTTTAACATTCCCCCCCACCCCCAAAAAAACATAAAACCTTTCTAATGTTAAACCTGGAAGAACCAGATGGGTAAAGAGTTTGACCCCTCCCGAGATGACATATCCTTCTGATTAAACGGTTACAGCCCCGGATTTGTTTATAGAGTAGCAAAGAAATAATGCAGATCTAATTTGAGAGCCGGAGAAGGTGCATTCCAGAGCTCCTCCACACACACAGGAGGAGGAGGAAGAGTCTCTTTTATGGAGTTATAAATAACCTCACCTAAAAGCATTTAAACGGTTAAAAACCGGCCTTTGGTGCTCTCAGAACTCAGCTCCTTTTGCTTGGAAAGGATGGGCTCCTGTAATGGGCCGTCCGTGCAAGTTATCACCCCACGTCCCACCTTATCAGATTTTGAGTGTGGTCCTTTGGGGGTCTCCGAGAACATTTTAACCTGAGCATTCCTAAGGCGGTTGACCCTGCGGGAGGGGGTGGAGAAGCAGACCCAGGGAAAGGACACAAATCCGATGTAAAGCAGCGTGTTTCTACTTTTTATTTTCATTTTATTTATTATTTTATTTTATTTATTATTTTATATTTTATTTTATTAACCACTTAGGGCTCTAAAGCTCTGTGAAGTGGTATATAAGTCTAAGTGCTATTACTATTATTTTATTTTATTATTATTTTATTTTATTTTCACTTATTATTTTATTTATTACTTTATATTTTATTTTATTTTATTAACCAATTAGAGAGGGTATAGTGTGAAGCAGTATATAAGTCTAAGTGCTATTGCTATTTTACTTTACTTTTTTACTTTACTTTTACTTTACTTTTATTTTACTTTACTTTTACTTTACTTTACTTTACTTTACTTTACTTTACTTTTACCTTTATTTCACTTTACTTTAGTTTACTTTACTTGTAAAATTTTACTTGAGGAATTCTGGGAGTTGAAGTCCACAAGTCTTAAAGTTGACAAGGTTGGAGACTCCTGTTCTAAGAAAGAAGGAAAAAGTAAAAACAGAGAAGAAATATTATAAAAACAACAGATGGGAGGTGCCATCAAGGCCAATCAAAACTTGTGGATAAGGTTCCTCTTCCAGAAGGTGGCTCCTTCTGAGGTCCAGAAGAAGCAGTCTTCTATGGCAGCAGATCATGGCAGAGTTCCTCACAAGAGTTGCCTCATGGGACATCCCTCCTTTTTCCCTGGTCTTTGATGGAGCCACCCTCTTCACGTATGACTTTTCCTACTCTTGCGACATTTAAATGTTGGCTATCAAAGGTTCCATTGTTGTACCTTTGGTGAACGAGCTAGCGTGATTTTGGAGATAACCAACAAGCAGGAGCTTGAACGTATGTCTCCGAAGTGCCAACTTAACGTCGCACTCTCTTAACCCCTGGGCCTGGCACTGAAAGGGCATGTAAGCCACCAACCAGAAGCCCCGTAATCCGAGCACAACTCTCACACCAGCCCTGTGTTCAAGGAATGACAAGAGAATGAGTAGATCAGCTCCACTAAGTCTCCGCAGGTTGTTCAGCCAACCAGGTGAGAAACACGGAAATAAACCTTCCATATTCTTAAAAACAGGTAGAGGGGTCAACCAGAGAGCCTGCTTCTCATTCAGGAATATATAAAGCATAAAATAGGACTTTCCCCCCCCCCCAAAAAAAATCTGCATCTACTATGAAGGAATTGAATTTGGCCTTTTCGTTGACTTTTCCATTTGGTGGTAGACTTTTTCAAGCGGCCTTATAAGCTTCTTATATATTATATTACATTTGTTAAGAAATGAAATATAAACCGAAGATCAAGCCTATTGAGTCCACATCTGACCCCTCTGAAGTCAGCTGGTTTAACTAGCAAAAAAACAAAATGCCTCTCGGAACAGCCATTTTCCAAATTGTTCTCCGCTGCTTCTTAGCATGCAAGATTTAGAATATAATATAGAACAACGGAGTTGGAAAGGACCTTGGAGGTCTTCTAGTCCAACCCCCTGCTTAGGCAGGAAATCCTACACCACTTCAGACAAATGGTCATCTAATCTCCTCTTAAAAACTTCCACTGTTGGAGCATTCACAACTTCTGGAGGCCAGTTGTTCCACTGATGAATTGTTCTCACTGTCAGGAATATTCTCCTTAGTTCCAGGTTGCTTCTCTCCTTGATGAGTTTCCACCCATTTGGAAAAGTTCTTCCAGTGATCCTCTCGGGATTCCGAAAGGATTTTATGGGAACCCAACATGTGGCCTTATTTTTATTTCAAGAAATGTTGGACATATTTCACCTGCAATTGTGAGGCTAGCTAGGCAGTGTTTTTGAACAATTTTTCCTTCCCCCCAAAATAAGGAGCAACAAGCAACAGTTTCTAGAACAAATCTTATTTTTCACCCACTCCCAGCCATGTGGCAAGGAAACATCCTTGCTCTCTTTTGCTTTCCTTGTTTGCTTGTTATAAAATTGACAGATTTGCGGTCTTCGAACAAAAAAAAAAAAAAACCCCAAGCCCATTAATTAAAGAAAGCATTTTCGAGTGGCTATTTTAAATTCTACTTCCTTGAGTCAGAGAAAGAACAATTATTGCACACTTAGAGAAATCCACGTAGCTGCGTATCCCTCGGTTAATGATAATCTTCTCTATCCCAAGGTTAGATGTGACTTTGTAAAGGATAAAATAGAAATACAAATTTTCCTTGTATGTGCCTTTATTTTTTGGAAGATCCTCGAAAAGAAGCAAAAGGTTGGGTTTTCAGAATTAAAATTTGTGAACATTGCGAGGTGTACGGTCACCTTAGGTAGTTTGAACGTTTGTTGGGGATAATTTTTACCCTTGACAAACCTGTATAAGAAATGCTTTTTTAAAAAAAACAACCCACAACTTTTGTGTATTTTTTTTTTCATGAAAATAAGGAATGCACACCTCAGCAACAACGAACCACGTCGAATAAAACTGGCCGTATTAATTAAAATGTCGCTTCAAGACTATTAGGACTTTTAATTGCAATCCTGCTTTTTTTATTATTATTATTTTGGGGGGAAGGTGTCATTCAAAGCCACAACGCCTGGCACGGAGGGCAGACCCTCCCACGGCCGGTGTCTTTAAAATTCCATTTGGATTTAGAAGACTTAAGGGGTCCCTCTTTGTATTCACTGGAAGGTTTTCAATTTCATTTTCGCTATTGAACTAAAAAATGTGAACTATTGCGTTGTCAATCCCGTGCTTGACCTGAACTGCATTATGAACCGAGAATGTGTTCTTAGTGAATTGTTAAAAGTTCTTTGAAACTTGTAAATCCCTGTAATTTATGTTCCTCTGGCCTCTTAACCATTTCTTTCTCTTTCTCTCCCTCTCTTTTCCTTTTTGACCTTCTGGTTTTAATTTGGAGAGCACCTTGGTCCTGCCCCATATACTTGTAAAACACGCAGCTATTGTTTTTTCTGAATCGCAACCTTAGAAAAAGCTACCACCATCCTCAAATTGGAGGAGTTTCCAACTGTTCCTCAAACTGTTCTTTTGTCATTGAGTATCATCCTCATTATTATTATTATTATTATTATTATTATTATTATTATTATTATTATTATTAATTTTATGGCTATTATCTTCCTGAGTGTCCCCTGACCCTAAGCTGATATCATCCACATTTCTTTATTATCAAGATTTTGCGGATTTAAATAACTGAAGAATTTTTCTCCGGAAGAAACCAGCAAGAGCTTAACATAACTTCTGTTGTAAAGTTTGCCTGCTTGACAGCAGCTCCATTTATCTAAACAATCCCGTCAAAGGCATTAATAAAAATCCAGATTTTTTTTCCCCCGAAAGAAATCTAATGGGAGGATCTTATTCAGCTGTTGCTCAGAATCCAGCTACATGCAACACACATTCTTCCCCCCCCCCCCCCCCTCTAGGTGGTTCACTTTTTTCTGGTTGTCCCAAAAAACACATTATTAGGAGCAGAGATGTCCTAAGATCTTTGCCAAATTTTTTTTTTGCCTTTTTGTGTCATTACTGAAGAATTACAAAGTTCGTATTTTCTGTAAGATTCTTACTGTGTAATGTTGTAAGTACCAGACTTAAGAAGAAGTACCTGGATGGATGCTTAAAATAAAACAATGTGGTTTCTTATTGTTGTTTAATACAAACGCTTCTTGACTTCGTAACTTGTTTTTAACTCCTTTTCCAGGTGAGCGGGGAAATCTATCCGCATGGCTGACTCTAACAAGGTGGCTCTTTGCATTTTTCAGGTAATTGTGCAGTCCGGCCGCCACCCCACCGTGCTGCAGAAGTTGTGCCAGTTGCCTTTCCAATATTTCAGCGACCCTCGGCTGATCAAAATCCTCTTTCCGACACTAATTGCCGCTTGTTACAATAACCCACAAAACAAGATCATTCTGGAGCAAGAAATGAGTTGTGTGTTGTTGGCCACTTTCATTCAGGTAAATGTCGGTTGATGTGAGGTCATCACACAGAGATTTCTGTCTTTAAAAACAAGAAACTAGTAATTTTTAATTTGAAAGAGGGAAGGGAGGGAGGGAGGGAGGAAGGAAAGGAAGGAAGGAAGGAAGGAAGGAAGGAAGGAAGGAAGGAAGGAAGGAAGGAACAAGTTTTCAATTTTTCCCCAGATGAAAGGCTTCTTTATTTGCTAAGTATTTTGGAGAATGCTCTAACTATTGGCTGATGTTTTTGCTTAAAACATCCATTCTTGTAAAACTTTGAACAGCTGATACTTCCTAAAATACAGGAAAGCTCCTGAAATAGATACCATGATCCCATTCCGCAGACAAATCTAGTTTTAATATAATGCAACTGATACCAAAATGTAAATGTTGTCACATATTTAAATAGATTGGAGGGTTTATTTTTTTTAATTACAGATATGAACTTTAGATCCTGTTGCCAGTGGCAGTAAATATCGGCTAGGCTAAATGTTTAGATCGGAAACTCCGGTTTACATAAACAATAGTTCTTTTTTATGCATGTAAGGATGCACATTTTCTTGGCATGCCAGCAGTCTACTTTAATAACCAGCTTGCACAAAGCAATGTTTATTTATGTGCACATGTCCATGCATAGACAGTTAATTGCTCCTATCAACCTTCAGACACATTCCAAATTTGTAGTGCTTAACCTGTTGCAAATCTGTAAAATTGTTGAAAGATTGAAACATTTTTTTCCCCATCCAGTTCAAGCAGTTCAAGCAGTTTCTGCAAGAGTTGCTTGGCAATATTTATACTCGAGAGTGAAATTGTAAATAAATACATAAAAATATACCGCGATAAAAGCAAATAATGAAAAACAAGGCCTCAGATCATAAAACCGAGAGATCAGATCCATTAAATGAAGAACAGAAAGATAAAATGCAATTTTATAGAGGAAGGGTTTTTTTTTTTGTAACTCTCTTGAAAGCATAAATTAGCAACTGCAAATTATTTTGGCTACCACAAGTTATAAGAAAACAAAAGCGTTGATTGCTTACATGAAAAATGAACTATTGTTTTAACCAGTAAAGCAATCAATATTATAGTTACATAATCCAAAACCGGGAGCAATCTAGCCACAGTCAAATCCAGCCTAATATCAATTAACATTAATATCTTTTTAAAATGTTTGTTCACATAAACCTATCCAGTTCTGCAACCTGAAAACAACTGAGCTTCCTTTGGCCTCTAGAAATTGTTGTTTAGTAATCTGATTTTCCTTTCTTTTTTTAAAAAAAAAAAAATCTAATGAAACAGTATTAAACAAATAAACAAACAATTAGGCCGCATAAAAAAGCCGAATTTGTTTTCTTCTCCCAGATATTTGCAAAATGAAAAACAGATTTACACAGATACTTGGATTTCCAGTTGCGTGCTCTAGCGGGGAGACACAATGAGAGGCCAGCATCCTATTTCAATTGTGGGGGGGAGGGAAATTCAATGTGAGAATCTAACCCCTTAGATTGGAAAATAAATGTTTACCATATGGGGAATTGGGCTAAGCAGAGAGAACTCGGTCAGGTCGCATGTCCAGGGATGCGATCCAAATGCACAAAAATAGAAAATAACAATGATCCCGTCCAAAAATAAAATAAAAAGAAGAATTGTCATATCATCCTTTTCTTTTAGAAATGGGGGAGGGAACCTTTTTTTTTATTTTTATTTTTTTATATTAAAAGCCAAGTTTGCTTGTACTTCAGAGTTTTCCTCCTGCTAAAATCTATCACAACTATGGCTGTTTTGACAACTTTTAAGGGAGGGAAGCGTTGTATTAAAGGATGAAGCATTTTCCGAGTCGTCTCGCGTAGGTTTTTGGCTCTCGTTAGGAAATACAGCCAGTATTGTGTTTCGGAGAATAAATTGTACAATATCTGGCTTTTATTTCGGTAGGATTCTACACAAGGCTCGGGCCAAACAGACAACCAGCCTTCGCAACAAAGGGGTAAGTAATCTCAGGGCACACAAATTAGCCGTGGTCTTGGGTTCCAAAGTCACACGGTTGCATTTTAGGAGACAGCTCGCAGGGAAAACTGGAAGTTCCTGCTGGATCTTTGCAACCTGCGAAAAGTTGACCTAAAGCTAAAAACGCTTCTTTTTAAAAAAAAAAACAAAAAACTTGAGCTTCCTTTTAAAAAGCAAGAAATAGATCCCAAGGGAAGGCAAATTGGGAGGGGGGGCGCGGTGGGTGAGACCTCCAACCCAAATCCAGCAAAGGATTAGCCCAACATCACTCTAAAGCAAATCCTGTGTTCTTCATTTGACAGAAACATTCTTCAGTTCTCAAGATTATTTGGAGCTGTCAGACAGGTTCCCTCGGCAGACCTGGGAAGACGCCCGGGAGTTTTTCTTGAAGAAAGAGAAAAAAGGATAATTTATTGAATTGTTTGTTTGGTTTCGTTTGGTTTTGCCAAGAAGACGGTTTGTTTTTGTTTTCTTTTGTTTTTTCCCCTTGTTGAGCAATTTCGGTTGTCTTGAAGATGACGTTGGAAGGATTCTACGATCTTGGCAACGCATATAATGTAGATAAATATACATAGAGAGAGGTATATATATATATATATATATATATATTTTAAAAAGGTATAATTTGCACTACTTCGGTTGGAAGACTTGTACATATTTTGAAATCTCGTTTCAAACAATTTTATTTTATTGTGAGCGCCTATCTTTCTGCAATCTGCCTTCTCCAGCTGGCATTACAACTCCCAGCGTTCCCTAGCTGGTATGGGTGTTGTAGTTGAAGATACCAGCCAAGTGATGAGATTGAAGAAAGACCTGCTTTCCTGCAGGAGGTCAAAAAAGTCAAAAATGGTAACCACGGCTGCATAATTGAAAGCCCGCTCTCTTTTCTATCTGTGTCCATGGGCCCCATCTGGACTATGTTTTTTTAACCATATCCTGCAAGATTCCTTTCTCACTGACCCTTATGTCCTGTGTTTTCTATACAGTAGAATATTTGGCATTCATAATGCTGCTAAAACGATGTTCTAAATCGGTGTTTTTTTTTTCAACTTGGCAACTTTAAGTGGTGTTTGACTTCAATTCACGGCCGGCTGGGGAATTCTGGGAGTGGAAGTCCACACCTCTTAAAGTTGCCAAGTTTTTTTTTATTAAAAAAAAACACACACACACACACTGCTCTCAATAGAAGCCAACCAATGACTGTTTCTACCTTAGTTCCTTTCATTTCAGAAAAAAAAATTCCCCAGACTCCTGTTCTTGTCTTAAGACCTTGTCTTAAAGCAATTTATGTTGTTGGATTGTCTACAGTTTGGGGGTGTTTTTGTACAACTTTTGGTATCCGAGCTTCTAACGTTTTCGGGTTTTTTTTAGGAAGCACAACGTTCTCGATGTAGATAATAAGCTACGGGAATTCCAACCCCCAGGTGAGGATATTATTTGGGGCACGGGTTCCGGTTTACTTTAAATTTTGTGGGCATGTTGCAAATGTCGGACATTTTGATAATGGCCGTTTTCAGTCTCTGTAAAGTGGTGATTTTCACTAAGTTCATTAAAAGAAATATTGGAACACTTGAGGTTGGACGGTTATTTGTATTATCATCATTTATCGTGATTCTAGGAAGCCAGCGTTGAAAGTTATAGCTGTGATTCTGTTTCATTTTTCAGATGATTGAGCCTCCAAGCCCTCTAGGAGATATTGCTGCTTTAACAAACAGAAACAGAACATCTTTTAAACTTTCTTGAGGTTGCAAGTTCATGCAGAAGCTTAAAGAAACAGAATAAGAGAGTTGGAAGGGACCTTGGAGGTCTTCTAGTCCAGCGGTCACCCACCGGTGGGTCTGTGAGAAAATTTTGGTGGTCCACAGAAAAATTATTTGCATTTTTAATATTGCACTAAATCAGGAGTCCTCAAATTACGGCCCCTGGGACAGATACGTGCAATGAACGTTTGTGTTGCTGCAGAGAGTCTCCCCCTTTGGGATCTTTTTGTGTGGGTCGGAGGGGGGCAGAAATTCTGACTTGGGGTCTGTTTCAGCCTCCTGGTATGGGGCTTTGGGCAAAGGCTGGAGAGAAGTGCCGCTGGTGGCAAAGAGCCAGAGGACCTTGTTGCAGTGGGATTGCGTCATGGCCTGGAACTGGCTGACCATCTCAGCCTGCTAAGCCTCCAGGCGCCGGTACCTGGCCTTGCACTCCCGCAGGTTGGAAAGCCTGTGCTCCTAGTCCTCAGTGTGGTGCTTCTGTTGAGCCTCCTTGGTCAAATCCAATTTGAACTGAGCCAGCTGTTTGGCCAACTCTTTCTCGTGGTGGCTGCATAGCTCCAACAACTGTTTCCTGTTGGGGCCTAAGGAGCCCGGGCGGGCAGGCGAGGAGTGTCTGGGAGGGGAGGGGCGAGTAGGGGCCGGCGAGGCACCCCTCGATGTGAGTGACATCAAGCTGGCCACGCCCACCCAGTCACATGACCACCTTCCCACACCCACCCAGCCATTTATTAGGCAGATCATAATGGTCTGCGGGATTTAAAATTACGAATTTAGTGGCCCCTGAGGTCCAAAAGGTTGGTGACCCCTGTTCTAGTCCAACCCCTCACTCAAACAAGAGACCCTATACTGTTTCAGACAAATGACTGTCCAATCTCTTCTTAAAAACCTCCAGTGTTGGAGCATTCACAACTTCTGGTGGCAAGATGTTCCACTGATTAATTGTTCTAACTGTCAGGAATTTCCTCCTTAGTTCTAGGTTGCTCCTCTCCTTGATTAGTTTCCATCCTTTGCTTCTTGTCCTGCCCTCAGGTGCTTTGGAGAATAGCTTGACTCCCTCTTCTTTGGGGCAGCCCCTGAGATATTGGAAGACTTGCTATCATGAACAGCCCAAATGTAATATATCTATGCGAGGTTCAAAGCACAAATTCTGAATTGCTTTCAGGATTAAAGCAGGGGACTCCCACCAGTAAGACACATATACCCCTTTTTTTTTTCATCCCACCCTCAGCATTTCCTGTTCTTATAGGGGAAAAAATATGAATGCCACCTTGAGCTCTTAGACAAAAAAACAGGATCTCAGCCGAATAAATAAATACGCCCCTCAGGAAGTATTTCCAAGGATTAAGAGATTGTGTCGCAGGTCTTCTTACTCCTGATTTATCTTATTCCTCACCGTGACATATTCAGATAGAGACTCTTTTCTGCCATTGTGAATTCTGCAGATGGCCTCTGCGTGCATCTTCGGTACATCTGCCTCTTCCCATGAACATTTCTTCTGGTTGACATTTGTGAAGGATAGAAATACCTGCCAAAAATGGAGTCATGAAATTGAAAGAGCCTAATTGAAACACCTAATGTTTATCCAGAAGACTCTCTTGGACAAATAAATGTGGATTTTCCTCCTCCTGATAGATCTCCTACAAGCCCTCCTTTCCAGCCTGCTCCCTCCTCAAGTGTTGGACATGAGTTCCTATAATAACCATGATAGCTAGGGGTGAAAGGTGTTGAAGACCAAACATCTGGAAGCATCAGGCTGGAAGAGATTGTCTAGAAGTAGTGTTGCGGTGCAGGTGTCCCATCCTTCACCGTCGGGAACCAAAGCCAAGGAGATGTTTCTCCAGGAGGTCCTTCTGCAAGGTCTACCTCACGAAAGTCCTCTACAGGTTGCTCTCCTGCTCCTCAGAAAGCAAGGATGGCCTTGTAGGACACAAAATGGGACGGCTGCTCCTTTGGGAGTCATTCACTCCAACTCTTGTTACCTTGAGATAAAATTCCCGGCTGGCACCTTTTCTGCTGGGTTGCTCCCAATCCCTAAATGATCCCCTCCCCATTTTTTTTTTCCCCACAGATTTGCCCACTTCCTCCTTCCCCATCCCTCAATCCAAAGAGCGCCTTCACACGACCTGCTACACCCCGGGTGGGCAAAGGAGCAGCAGCAGCCTTATCCCAGCTCTCTCCTTTGCTTGCTTCTACCTGGCAAGCAAGACTTTTGGGGGGCGGAGGGGGGGCTTTTTTGCCCAGAAAAAGAGGCTTGGAGAATTCGGTCCCCGTTTTGCCTGGGAGCCCCCAGACTCAGCCTCGCGGGCATTGTGCCCCTGGAGAGTGGAGGAGGAGGGGGGGTCCTGAGACTCCGGGGCTATCCCTGTCTGGGACCCCCCCCCATTCCAACACCCTCCCAGGTCACCCCGAGACCCCTGGCCAGGTTGAGGCTGCGGGAAAGCGCCTTCTCTTCCTCCTCTCCTCCGGTGGGGAGTCAGGTCAATCCCCGGATCCGGGGGGTGGGTGGGTGGGTGGGAGAGGGACCCCCCCCGTCTTCCCCCACCGCGGTCTGGCTTGGAGAGGCGATGCCAGAGCCGATAAGCCGCCGCCGCCGCCGCTGTCTAGACGGGCGAATTAATCAAGGATCGCGCTCCCCGGGGATTGCGCTCCGCCCGCCCGGTTTGCGCTGCCTTCGCTCCCGGCCGGCGCCAATGCTCCTTTCTCCCGCGGAACTCCCGGCTACAAGGGGAAAGGAAGGGGGCGTGGGCGTCCTCTGGCTCTGTGGAACCCCCCCAGTCAGACCCAGTCTATCCGGAGACCCCCCTTGCCCGGGAGCAGGAGGAGAAGGCGCTGCTTCGGATGGCAGCCTAGAAACGCGCGCGGGTCTCTCTTGGGATTGGGGGTTTGGGGGAGGCAAAACTGGGGAGGGGGCCGCAGATCGCCACACCTGCCCCGGGGGAGGAAAGAGAGGGTCGCCATCCTGCAAAGGCATCCCTAGAGAGCCATCAATATCTGCATTGTTCTCGCCATCAGTTTTGCCTCCGGCTTAAACATCTCCCGTGAAACCAGATCCCCCGGGGGAAGAGGAGAGGGAGGGTCCCGGGGGGAGGTGGGGGGAGGGCAGTTGGGTTCACTTCAGCTACTAATTGAGAGCAATTTGCTCCGCCGACTCCGTGCGAGGTGATTAAGGGGGGGGGGGCGATGAGCTGATGAAATCCATCCGTCCTGCCGCCCCCACCCCAAGACAAAAAGCTGCTTTGCATGATTGTCGGAATGCACGTGAATTTCACCGAGGGGGGGTCCTGGACAGGAGTGCTTACCTTTTGGGGTCTTTCCCCCCCCAGCAACGCTTCTCTGTCTGCAAACAGACACCCCCAACCAGGGTGGATGCTGCAGTGCCCTTCATCCAATTCCCCAAAACTCTGCCTCTTTTAAAAGCGTTTAAACGGGGGGGGGGTTTCTGCGCCCCTCCTGAACTTTAAACCTTGTCTGGTGGGGAAGGGAAGCAGCCCAGGAGTGTGAGGGCTGACCATTTCCAGGCTGCTGGCAAGAAACTAACCATCTGAAGCCCTGAAGAGTCTAGTAGCTTGGGAAAGGGCACCACGAGGAAATCCCAGGTCCATAAGGGAGAAGAGAAAGTTGGGACTGATCTGCCTGAAGTAGTTCTTGGGGCGGGGAGCCTTGTTTTAGCTATCTGAGAGGTTACAAGCGTCAAACAAGGACACCCAACAGTCAGATGCCTGGAGGAAGAAAGGAAGGAAGGAAGGAAGGAAGGAAGGAAGGAAGGAAGGAAGGAAGGAAGGAAGGAAGGAAGGAAGGAGACAGGAGAGAGGGAGGAAGGAAGGAAGAAAGGACAGACAGACTTGGAAAAGATAACAAAAGTCCGAAAGCAGAAGTTTAAAAATGCACGAGTGACTAAAGCATTCCCTCACCTCAATGAAACCATGATTCAAGAGTCCGGGCATTTGATCTGGAAATAAATGAATAAATGGCAATGAACAAACATTTTGGCCTCCTAACCTGATTGGCCAATGCATGAACAATTGGTAACAGATAAGCAGGTACACGATTCAGGCTCACAAATTGGGGTTGACCATGGCAGAGAGACGTTATCGTAGTCACACTACATGCTACGGTGTTGTTTTTTTGCAGGAAATCTGCCCGTTTTCGGACAAACATCAAAACTGAAAGAGAGCGTTAGTACTTCAACATACAAGAATGACGAGATGTTTTTCTCACTCTGTTCATCCATAGAGCAGAGAGAACGCCGGTCTTCTCACAGCAAGATCAAATCCCAGCCCTTGAAACAGGAACTTTTTGCTGGAATTTTGGGCTATCCTTGCATCCCTGAAGAAAAATTCATGAAGTCTTGTAAATTCTTCTTGCCCAATATCCAGACTCTCTATTTTATGGAACCCTTCTTGATATAGAATTGTACATATTTTGGTGTTTTTTTTTGAGGGAATGACCAAGTGGGACAGAGCCGCCTTTCAGAAATGAAGTGAAACCACAAGAAAACTCTACACCGGCTTTGAATTCATGAAAACAAATGTCCTCAAAATGAAAGTATAATGAATGAACTCCAATGAATGAATCCTTCCTGTGTGTGGACATTATATTTGACTTCTTAGTTACGCAGCAGCTCAAAACCCGGCTGATTTCAAGATGCCAAATGGGTTCAGAGCTGAAATAATTTTGGATGGGAATCCCAAGAGTGGCAAGACCAAACAATAATAACAACAGCTAGAAAAAATAATGAAATACTGCAAATTGAAGTTGAGTGATTGTGGAGGAAAAAACCAGTGGTTGTACCAATAGTAATAGAAGCCCTTCGAGCAATACTCAAAGGGTTGCCTAGATACATGGAAACTTTGAATTTATCAGACCCTGAATATTCTGACTTTGCAAAAAAAACACTCGGAATTACCTATATATCCTCCAACGTTACCTTAACAGGTCCTTGGTTAGGACTTGAACTGTTAAATTTTTACCAATCCTAGACTGTGAATCGAATTGAAGAGGAGGAGGAGGAGGAGGAGGAGGAGGAGGAGTTGGAGGAGGAGGAGGAGGATAATAATAATAATAATAATAATAATAATAATAATAATAGGTACTTGGTTGATACACAGGACGCTGGCAGCAACCCGTATGAACCATTAGCACCAGTCAATTGTATTTGTGGTGTGTTTTTTAATGTTCAGTTGACTTGAGTTTCATGTTTAATGAATAAAGTATAATAAGAGCCTTGGTGGAGCAGCAGACTAAAGTGCTGTTAAGTAGCACCAGCTGCCTGCAATTACTGCAAGTTCAAATCTCACCAAGCTCAAGGTTGACTCAGCCTTCCATCCTTCCGAGGTAGGTAAAATGAGGACCCGGATTGTGGGGGCAATAAGCTGACTTTGTATAAAAAAAAGAAGAACACCGCTTGGGGGGGGGGAGGCGAAAGCCCTACTAAGCAGGTATATACAAAAGTATGAAGGCTATTGCTTAATGCATTGTAAGCCACCCTGAGTCTCCGGAGAAGGGCGGCATATAAATCGAACCAATAAATAAATTAATAATAATAATAGACAGTGGCCGGAAAAAGTGACTACGCACTCTAATATGTTGTTAAAAAACATTCCATGCCCATTTGTGCAAAGGCACCGTAAGTCAGATTCAGCTTTTACTACTGAACGGAATGACTATCAAATTAAACTTTACAATTTGGCATCCACTGTTCAAAGAGACTGGAAAGCTGCAGTCGAATTCTTCCGAGGAAATTACAGCTTACTTAATTTTTAGGACAACCAAACGCTAGAACACAAGGATCAGATCGATTTCTCCTCTTGGTATTTGTTCTTTTATTATTCGGGTCAAATTCTCACTGTTGCTGCGCGATAATAAATAACAATAACTTACTTTGGTCTGCAAAGGCTGAGAAAGAACCACACACCTTCCATCCATAAAGATAATTTAACACTGGCAATGGGGAGGGAGGTGGGGGGATTTGATTTGGATCATTGGACACACACAAGTCCTGCTGGAATTTTTCCCAGCAATCATGCAGACTCAGGAGAAGAGAAAGAGAAAGAAAAAAGAAAAATTCTCCTCTTTTGGGACCACCAAAGAAACGGGGGGGAAAAAAGTTCCAGCTTTTTCCAGGGAAGACGGAAGCCACAAGAGAGATTGGCGATGGGCATCCAGAACTGGTTGAGATGATGAAGGCAACGGATGTCTTGGTGGCTCTACACCGTTTCCACGTTGAGTTGATTCCTTCCATTGAGGAAAAAGAACAAGAAAATGGGGAAAGCCATCTTTTAAAACGGCAAGAACGGGATCTGAATCTCCTCCGATCTGAATCTCCTTCGAGTAAAATCCAGAAGTATTTGAGAGGGTAGTGGGGGGGACCAGAATTCCTGGGAAGTTTAACTCCTTTTCCCTCTCCCTGTTTGGCAAAGTCAGAGGAACCCTGGAAGACTTCCATCCACCGACCGACCGACCGACCGACAGAAGTCGAGATGGAGCCGGGTTTTTAAATAAAGAGAATAATTTAACGCGTCGTTGTGTTGGCTTAGCGCTCAAGTTTTCATGCAAGAAGCAAAAAAAGCATGCGGCACAGTCCTCGAGGGTCAGGCGCTCCAAAAGACCCCCCTCACGTTTCCACTGGACTAGGAACCATGCTGTTGGGGGTATCTGGGAGCTGGGATGATAAAGAGGTGACGTCGCTGCCTGAGGAGTTACCTAAGGAGCCGGATTCAGAAATGGAGAGCTGTAGACGAATGTCAAAAAAAGAAAAAAGAAAAGGAACAAAATAGGGAGAGAGAAGTTAGAAAAATGGGGGTCTTCAGACAGAAAAGACTGTATTTTAATTCAGGTCATCCTTGACTTACAATCATTCGTTAAAGTAACTGTTTGAAGTTACAGTGGCATTAAAAAATGACCAGTCCTCGCACTTACATCAGGGGTGGGGCTGCTGGAAGTTCGCAGGGGTTCGGGAGAACCTCTAGCTAGGATTCTGGGCAGTTCGGAGAACCTCCAAATCCCACTTCTGGCTGGCCCCTCCCCTCCCAGGAGTCCCCACATGGCCCGTGGGGTGCAGGTAACTGCAGGGCACGCCTGGAGGCTCGGGGAGGGCGAAAAATGGGCCTACTGGAAGTTCGGGAAGGCCCGAAGGCCTCCGGAGCCTGGGGAGGCCGTTTTCGCCCTCCCGGAAGCTCAAGAAAAGCCTCCGAAGCCCGGGAAGGGCAAAAATGCTGGGGCCCTCCCGCTGTGGTGCAAGAGGCCCACTAGGCCACACCCACCATGTCCACGCCCACCCAGCAACCGGGCAGAGAACCCCTTGCTAAAATTTTTGAAGCCCAGAAGATACTCTATTTTAGTACAGGTCATCCTTGACTTAATAATCATTCGTTAAAGCGACTATTTGAAGTTACAGTGACAATAAAAAATGACCGGTCCTCGCACTTACAACCCTGGCAGCATCCCCGTGGTCACATGATCAAAAGGGGCTTATATTTTTGAGGGTCTGGCTGGGGAATTCTGGGAGTTGGAAATCCACAGGTCTTAAAGTTGCCAAAGTTGGGCACTCCTGGGCTGAAGCTTTGCATCCATATTCCGGCGATTTATTTTCTTTCCCACCGTGACAAATCCTCCCTCTGTGTGGCCAGAGTAAACCCGTAGGAAGATTTATCCATAGGAAGATTCCTTAAAATTAGGTAAATTACCCCAAATTAGGTAAATGTGGTTTTCACGTAACAACACACAAACCCATGACTCACCCCAACAGAGACACTTTAGCTGACTTAAAAGATGGCCCCATGAACTAAAATATATTTAAACAATACAGCCAAAAGACAAACAGAGATAGATGCAAGCATTTCGCATTGGCTCATCAGAACCTACATTACGATAACACGGTTAAAATCAGCCTCAAATATAAGATCTATTAGATCTATTTTAACCGTGTTATCGTAATGTAGGTTCTGATGAGTCAATGCGAAATGCTTGCATCTACCTCTGTTCCAGGGGTGAAATCTACTTACCTTCCCTACTGGTTCGGAAGTGCGTGCATGTCACATGCAATTTTGGACCCTCTGCGCATGCGCAGAGGGTAAAAAACAGGTTACTTCCTGGTTAAAACCGGGAAGTAATGACATCCGGGTGAGTGGGTGGAGCCTTGCGCTGCCGCCACTACCGGTTCTCCAAACCACCACCCACCGCTACAGATTTGCCCGAACTGGTGTGAACCGGTAGCATTTCACCCTTGCTCTGTTCGTCTTTTGACTGTATTGTTTAAATTATTCAAAGGGACTAACTGTTTTAAAATATATTTAACAATCTCCCAAAGTATTCCTATTAAGAGGAAAACCAATGAAATGATCAACCGTGATATGTTGAAACAACCTAAAGATCATTCAAGGATCTTGCTTTTATAAATTCCCTTTCTAGTTCTCCTTCCATATATTCTCCCCTTTTCTTAAGGCAGAATCCAGGGAGGTGACTGATGCTGCCAGAGATAGGGGAACCAGCCCTAGGGATGAGTGGGGTGATTAAAGTGGCAATGCAACAAAAGGCACCTTCCCCTCCTCCCTGCCCTCCAGTTATGGGGTGGATTCTCAGGCTCTTACCAGTTGCTGGAAGGCGGGTTGATCCAAGTCGCTCTGCAGAGCAAAATTGCTGAGAGCTTTCCAGGGAGGCTGGTACGTCTGCACCTCTACCGCGCTCCCTTGCACGGCGCTGTCGTGGCGGATGGGGCTGCCCGCAACCAAAGGGGTGCCAGTTAAGCCCTGCAAACTCTTGGGGGGAGACCGGAAGGGAGAAAGTTGGAGAAGAAAAGGTCAGCTCGAATGCAGCCGAATCTGCTCAGTTTCAACCATGATCCCACATTCTCTGCAGTCTGTTTTCAGCTTTCATTTGGCCCCTCTCGATGGCATATTGGGGAAAGCTTGGGGGGGCATGGAGGATGGCTTTTGGGATGTCTTGTCCCAAATCAGAAATTAAACCAGCTTTCTCCTCACTATCACCTAAACTCAACACCTCAGCTGTGGAATCAACGATGAATGTCCCACCGTAACTGCAGAGAATGGGAACATGTCGTACCGGAAAGGGGAAATGCTTAAAAATCACCTTTGGACACCTATTGCAGTCCACATCTTTGCACGCTACGTATGGAAGTGGGGAGGGCAGGGATAACTGGCAAATTAGTACTGAGAACTCTTGACATGATCAGGGGTGTGTTCAGAGCTTTCTGGCAGCCCTGAGTATGTAGAAGCGATCAGCCAACGAGGGAGGTTATTGTTATTATTAGAAAAAGAAGCAAAAAGAGAGAGATTGTTTTCTAAAGAACTCTCCCGTTCTTTATGTATGCAAAAATACATAAAAGTGGTGAACAGCCACATCCCTACAGAGAAAGATTGTGGGGGCAATAAGCTGATATAAAATATACAAAAGGATGAAGGCTATTGCTTAACGCATTGTATAAGCCCCCCTGAGTCTCCGGAGAAGGGCGGCATATAAATCAAATAAAAAAAAAAAGGATTTTTTTTTTTTAATTTATATGCCGCCCTTTCTCCGGAGACTCAGGGGGCTTACAATGCGTTAAGCAATAGCCTTCATACTTTTGTATATTTTATACAAAGTCAGCTTATTGCCCCCACAATCTGGGTCCTCATTTCACCTACTTTAGAAAGGATGGAAGGCTGAGTCGACCTTGAGCCTGGTGAGATTTGAACTTGCAGTAATTGCAGGCAGCTGGTGTTAATCACAATGCTTTTAGTCTGCTGTGCTACCAGGGCTCCTCTAATCTGATTGTTTTTAATTAGTTTGGGGAATCTGGAAAATTATTTGAGGAGTGGAATTAAAAAAACAACCCTCACTTACTGAATAAGCTAAATGCCAATGCCTGTCTGTATGTCATCTATCTATCTATCTAACTATCTATCTATCTATCTATCTACCTATATCCATTCATCCATCTATCTATCTATCTATCTATCTATCTATCTATCTATCTATCTATCTACATCTATCTATCTATCTATCTATCTATCTATCTATCTATCTATCTACCTATATCCATCCATCTATCTATCTATCTATCTACCTATCTATATCTATCTATCTATCTATCTATCTATCTACCTATCTATATCTATCTATCTATCTATCTATCTATATCCATCCATCTATCTACATCTATCTATCTATCTATCTATCTATCTATCTACCTATATCTATCTATCTATCTATCTATCTATCTATCTATCTATCTATCTATCTCTATCTATCTTTTTCTCTCTCTCTCTCTCTCTACCTATATCCATCCATCCATCTATCTATGTACTATATCCATCCATGTATCTATCTATCTATCTACTCTATCTATCTATCTATCTATCTATCTATCTATCTATCTATCTATCTATCTATCTTTCTCTCTCTCTCTATCTATATCCATCCATCCATCCATCTAAAAACTAAAAGCCAGATACCCCCTCCCCACCCCCAAAGAAAGGGGGGAAGGGCTCTGACTGCAAGTCACCATCTTGCCTTTTCTGACTCCTTCTGGGAAGGATTGGAATTAATTTTTAAGATGCCAGAAGATTCCCCCCCCACCACACACACATACACACACACTGCTATTAGCCAGCTGTTCCACTCCATCAGCCATCGATGGGTGGAGCAGTACATCCAATCCTTTGATTTACGGAATCAATCAAAGTAATTTGATTCTGATAAATGAGGAAAGAAAAAAAAAACCTTCCTGCCATGAGCCAGCCCCACCTATTTTCCCCACTTCTGCTTTCACCCCCCCCCCAATCCCTTTTTCCCTCCCCATCTGGTGCAACCATGATGGTTTTCAGCAAAGCAGCTCAGAACATCTGGAAGGCAGGCTGAGATCTCTTGACTGCAGAATTTACAGCAGAGATCAAATAACTTTTAGCAGAAGGGAACACTATGGAAAAACAGCAAACAAACCCACAGCTAAACTATCCATATTTTTGGGAAGTCCTTTTTAAAAAACAACACCCACCAAACATTAAAAATTTGGCTTGCTTTAAAAACAGTCCCCAAAATCAGGCTTTTTTGAAACAATCCCTTTACTTTTCTGTAGATGAAATAAATATAAAGAAGATATCGTGGCTGCTTTTGGGGGGGGACGTTTTTTAGAAATAAGTTTGATGAATCATTATGACTCTTATGGTTGTTAACATTATTGCCATCATCATCTTCCTGCCTTTCCTTGCAGACAGATTGACTCACGCAGAGATCTCCTACACGAGACACTATTGATCTTGAGCCCGGAAAAAAAAAATCAATATTGCTTAAATATCACCTGGCGGACAGCGGCAAATAAAAATAGATATTATTGCTGCGCTTAAGAGCCTAATGATGGAGGAACCCTTTGCGGTGCAATGCTGTGCAATCTGTGCAACTAGGGCTTAGGCCCCAAAGAGGAGCTGCACCTACTTTAGGTACTGAGTAGATTTGCACCCTGAGCAGAAGATTTGCTACGTCTCTGTCAGTTGCATTGGAGTCAAAGGGGCAACGTAGGGCTACCATATCTGCACTGGGAAAGGTCTTAGGTCCTGACATGGTAATCTCAAATCTATGGGGCTTACTCCAGATTGGTGGGACTGGTTGACGACGATCACACCCCCCCAGAATTGAGATCCAAAGAAGCCCTGATCTTGGGAATTTTCCCTCCCCAGTCCTGGTCAGTCAAACTCTGCTTGGAAAAATGGCCTTTGCTCTAATTTATTTCTTTGTTGATTAGATTTTGAGCCCAACCTCTGTTATTTTTATAAATAACTAGACACGACATATGCAATGCTCCTTCCTCTTATTCCACCTTGTAGAGTTTGGAGAGCCCAAATCCTCTCCCAAACTCCTCCCCAACCCAAGAACCCATCACTCTGGCCCTTGCTTCCCTCTTTCTTGAAGACCCAACAAATCCATTCCCCCACACTGAAACCTGGGGGTCCATGCAACCTCTGTTGAGACTGCGGCTCTCTCTGTTGGGGGAGGGGAGGCCATTCCACCTTGGATGGCTCAAAAAATTACCCTTGTTGGGGGAAAAAAGGGGAGAAGGATGCTAAATACCTTTAGCATCTCCTCTGAATGCTGCCATTCCTCACTTTTTAGACTTTGCCTATGAAGGAAGGCAGCAGGATGATGGGACAATGAATTTGGGGCTGAGCTTAATCTCCCCTCCCTTCATCAGTGGCAAAATAGATGTTGATGCCAGAGGAACCTTCCTGCCACTTGAAATTCCTTTCATTGCCTCCCTAAAGCCCCCCCCCCAAAAAAAACCCAGGACTCCCTAAAAGATTGGAAGGGGAGGAGGCAAGAAAAGTGCTGCCTTGAAGGAGAGAGAGAGAGAGAGAGAGAGAGAGAACCACGATTCCACCCTGCCAGAGTGTATGGGAATTGTAGTCCTGAGAGTCTGGGAGATGGGAATCCTCCAGCATTATGGGAAATGCAGTGCTGAGAGCCTGGGAGATGGGAATCCTCCAGCATTATAGGAAATGTAATTCTGAGAGCCTGGGAGATGGGAAGCCTCCGGCATTATGGGAAATGTAGTGCTGAGAGCCTGGGAGATGGGAAGCCTCCAGCATTATGGGAAATGTAGTGCTGAGAGCCTGGGAGGGGGAATCCCCCAGCATTATGGGAAATGTAGTCCCGAGAGTCTGGTGGGGAGGAACCCACCAGATTCAGGTGGCTGGCTCACTCCTGGGCTTCCCAATGTTCCCAATGCAAGCGGGGAGACTGGAGAGTGGGAGAGGCACTTTGGCCCGGCCCGGCTCGGCTCAGCTCGGCTGGCTCACTTACTGCCTTGTCGCTGTGCTGCTGCTGTTGCTGCAGCTGTTTCATGAGGATGGACTTCTTCTTGTCTTTGCAGCGCTTGTTCTGGAACCAGACGCGGATCACGCGTGGGCTCAGGCCGGTCATCTCCACCAGCTGCTCCTTCATCAGCGCGTCCGGCCGCGGGTTGGCCGCGTAGCAGGTGCGTAGCGTGTGAAGCTGTTTCTCGTTCAGCACCGTCCGGACCCGCGTCGTCTTCTCCGCCTGCTTGTGCACGTGGGGACGCAGGGAAGGCTGCCGCCCGGGCACCGCATCTGCGGAGAGAAGGAGGGGAGGGTCCAGGCCGGCGTGAAAAAAAGAGGGGGAGGGAGAGCGAAGCGGACCCCTAGAAAGAGGGGCGCAGAAACCCACCCACCTACCCACCCCCAGCAGAGGGGAACCCCTCCCATCCCAGATTTTTTGGAGAATATTTTCTATCCTCATGTTAATCTGCTGGCCAGGATAGTAGCCCCCTTTTCCTTCGGAGGCCAAGGAGTCGGGAGGAACCCCTTTTTTTCCCCAACGACAACCCTGTGAGGTAGGCCACCAGGTCCAAAGTCACCGAAGGCGCCTCTTCCGCTGAAGACAGTTTGCATCGTGGTTCTCTCTGCCTTAATAATCCCCATTGCTTTGCGAACCTGATCCGGAGCCTCATCATAATTAAGTGGCAACTAAATACGCCCTACGTCGCCCAGTGTCGCTTGACAGCGAGATGAGGGGCATATAAATGTAATAAATAATAAAATAAAACCATTCTTATTTTGACGTTGGGAGGGGTTTCTTCGTTTTGCTGGGCATTGCAGCAACGAAACAATTTTCCTGTCTCCATCTGGGCGAGGGGGTTGGGGGGCGGGCAGCAGCTTGTCCTAAAAACGGGGGCGCAGAAAATAGGGACCCATTTTATTCGAAAAACGGAGGGGCGGCTGAGCAGCGCAAGCGATTAGGCGAAGGCCGGCAGAACGAACTGGGGAAGCCTTCGGAAAGCCGACGATTCGCCCGTGACAACGGGACGGGAGAAACTTAAATTGCCTCCGATTTAATTGCTTCCCCAAAAAAAAAGAAAGAAAGAAAACTGAAGCCCAAGAGAGAGGCCAGGTCCGAAAAAGCCAATTCGAGGAATTCTTGGTTGTTTTCCCAGCGGGAATAAAATGCGTCTACAGTAAAAGCGAAAGTAAAACTTTCCCTTTTCTCCAAGAGAAAGGAAAAGTTTACTTTCTTCTTTTGGGACCTGCAGAATTGGGGGGGGGGAAATCCCCCAATTCTAAATTCCCACACCCACACCCCAAAAAAATGAATCTTTCCCCAACAGGAAAACTATTCAACTTTTGAGATGCAAACGGATATGGTGGCGTTCCCTGCAAAAAAAAAAATACCGAGTCCACAAGCCGTGTGAACGGAGCCACGGAGCTAAACGGAGATCCTGGCAGATTACCCGCCTCGGGATGGTCCCACAGCACAGGTCGGACCCAAAAATGCAAGGGTGGGGGAGGTTGAAAGGCCGTGTGGGAGCCCCCACGCAAAGAAAGGCCATTTTTCTTGGGATTTATTCTTCGTCCCTATCTGGAAGAGAGACTTAACGGGTTGTTTATGATGATCATAATTGCTATTATTATTATTATATTATTATTATTATTATTTATTATTATTATTATTATTATTATTATTATTATTATTATTATTATTTCCTTCTCTCAAAACAGATTCTACCCCCGCCCATTTCAATCCTTCTGATATTTCATTTTATTACTTTATTTTATTGCTAACTTTCAGACATTTCCAACGCCTGGTTTCAAACTCAGCTGCTACGGAAAGGCCCTGCGGGAATCCAGAATACCTTCCCTTCTCTTTCGGTCGGTTTTAAAGTAATAAACGCCAATTTATTTTAAAATATTAATCAAAGAAAAATAGCGACCGGACTGCGAGGAGCGAACGCGAAAAGAACCAGTTGAAACGTCTCTAAGGCGTTTGGAAAGAAAACTGGGGGGAAAAAAAAGAGAGGAGCTTCTGCTTAACTTTTTCTTTTCAAATCACCCGTAAAAATCGAGGTAGCATGCAGTTGTGAGCGCCGTGCATGTGTGTAACTACCACACGCGCGGAGACACATTCTTGTTCACGATGAAAGATTGGGTGCGTGATTTAAAAATTCCTCTTTTTCCGAACTAATCGCGCGTGGTTTTTAATACAAGTCTGCGGAGGGGCTGTATTTAAAAAAAAGAGACGAATTCAACTTCGGCCAACGCGCTGCGGCAGCGAATCGACCCGTTTCGACACGGAGGAGAGCCCGGGCAGGTTCCCCCAATTCCTCTTAAGCCCCCCCCACTTAAGCCGCCCCCCCGGCTCTTTCCAAAGATAGCTTCTTTCAGGGGGGTTTTCCCCCCATAAATCGTCCCTCGACCTTTCCCGGACCTGAATTAAGGCCGCGCGTGTTTAACACGGATTTGCAAGATGGCCCGCCGTGCGTGCACTTTGCAAACAAGTTTTATTTAATAATAATAATAATAATAATAATAATAATAATAATAATAATAATAGTAGTAGTAGTAGTAGTAGTAGTAGTAGTAGTAGTAGTAGTAGTAATAAATCAACAGCTTCGTTGCCCACCCGGATTTCGCTTCGGGGGAAAAAGCCGGTTAGGTTCGTTTTCAGGCAGGTTTACCTGGCGGGAAGCTTCTCTAAATTGGGTGGGCTTCGTTGCGGGGAAAGAGGGAGGCCGGGCTGCAAACGCACCCGCGCCCTTCACTGGCTGGGAACGCGGGGAGCTTCCTTCCGAGTAAACCCTGCGAGGTTTTAGGCCTGCGGGGGTTAAATTCTCCAGGCAACGAGGCCCTTAGATAGAAGAACGGGGACTCTATTCCCGGGCAAACGGATCTTTGAGGTTAGGAGAAAGAGAAAAGATTGCATTTCCTTTCCTTTCCTTCCTTTTTCCTTTCCTTTCCTTTCCTTTTTTCCCTTCCCTTCTTTTTCCCTTCCTCTCCCTTCTCTTTCCTTCCCTTCTTTTTCCGTCCCTTCCGTTTGCTTCCCTTCTTTTCCTTTCCTTTCTTTTTCCTTTCCTTTCCTTTCCTTTCCCCCTTCCCTTCCCTTCTTTTTCCTCCCCTTCTTTTTCCTTTCCTTTCCTTTCCTTTTTTCCTTTCCCCTCCCTTCCCTTCCCTTCCCTTCCCCTCCTTTCTCTTTCCTTCCTTACTTTTTCCTTCCCTTCCCTTCCCTTTGCTTCACTTCGCTTCCGTTCTTTTTCCTGTCTCCCTTTCCCTTCCTTTCCTTTTTTCTTTCCCTCCCTCTTCCCTTCCTTCTCTCTTTTAATTTTTTCTCTTTCTCTCCCTTTCTTTTTTCTCTTTTTTATTTTCTCCTTTCCTTCTTGCCTTCATCACCTCCAATCGATTTCAAGAGGCACGTTTGGCCACCTCGGTTTCCAACATCATAAACGTGCAGGTGGGACTCAGAAGCCACGAGAAAGCGGCGAAGGGCAAACAGGTAAAAAGGTGTGCGCAGGTGAGAGGTGGCAATTGAACCACAGAACAAGCACTATAGTAAGTATTTGGGCTGGTTTGGCGGAGGCAGATTTGGGCTTGGGGAAAGAGAAAATATGCCAGAGCAGATTTAAACAGGATCCACCCTAGTTTTTATTTAGGATCGTCCTCTTAGTGAGAGCCAGTGGAGGGAGGGATTCCTGGGGACCCCTCTCCACACCCGGAAGTTCCCAGAATTCTTTTGTTTGGAGGCAATTGGGAGATTTCAGTCCAAGAACGACATTTGAGGCTAACACCTCCTGCCCCACAGTTATTTTGACATTGGGGGGATCTGTTTTCTATTAACTCATTAAGGGAGATATTGGGGTTCGTTACTGCACCTCCTTGTGAGTCCTATCTGTTTACAAAAACCCATATTGGTTTTTTTTTAATTTATTTTTATTTTTTATTTTATTTTATTTTATTTATATGCCGCCCTTCTCCGGAGACTCAGGGCGGTTTACAATGTGCTAAGCAATAGCACATTTTCCTTTTACATTTTGACAAGAACATCTTGGAGAGAAGGGGGGAGAGAATCAGGTTTGGGGGAAAGAGAAGGTGGGGTTAGGGTCTCTAAGGGATTTCTCTGAGATTGGAGTTTCAAAAATTAGGGCTTTCTGACTAGCCACGAAGAGGCCAAGGGCTTAGCCATGCCTTCTGCTCTCTTCTGCCCCAGATGCCACTCTTTCCCCCTTTCCTTGAACCCAAGGCCGGCATCTGAGTTAGGAATGGTGGGGAGTTAGTTATGCAGCACAGCTGGAAGGTGCAGATGCGGAGGCTGCCCCAAACATGCCCGGGAACTGTGGGTTAAAATTTAAAAAAAAAACTTGTTTATTTCCTCTCTTCCTGCTAACCTTTGAAATAGCCACGTGGCCTTTTACAACTCAGAGCACCTTAAAACTGCCCCAACCAGTGAGAGCAGCCAAACTATGACTGATCCCCCAGAAACGGTGAAAGTCCTTTGAAAAAGATTTTCCCCCCCCAACGGAATGAGTGGGGGAGGGGGACACAGAACCAAATCCCTGGAGGAGATATAGAGTTGTGGATGCAGAGAGGGCCGGAGGGAGGATGAAGCAGAAAATGCAGAGGAAGGAAGGGAGATTTGGGAAGAGAGGAATAAATATGTGGGTGTCAGAGAGAGAGAGAGACAGACAGACAGACAGAGAGAGGAAGGGAGGGAGGAAAGAAAAAAAGGAAGGAATAAAGGGGAGAAAAAAGGGAAGGGAGGGAGGATAAAAGGAGAGATGGGGAAGGAAGGAAGGGGAAAGAAAGAAGGAAGGAATAAAGGGAGAGAAAAAGGAAGGAAGGAAAGAAAGAAAGAAAGAAAGAAAGAAAGGAAGGAAGGAAGGAAGGAAGGAAGGAAGGAAGGAAGGAAGGAAGGAAGGAAGAAGACAGGACAAAGGAGACAGGCTAGGAAAGTAGGAAGAAAGAAAGAGGGAGGAAAGGAAGAAGATAGGAAGGGAGGGAGGGAGGGAGGGAAGGAAGGAAGGAAGGAAGGAAGGGTTGCTAACTGAATGAGATTCGGGGAGGGGGCTGCCTTTGGAAGGGCGGCCGGCTGGAGGCTTACCTGGGAGCTGGAGGTGTCCCGGCCTGGCGCCCTGCAGGTGTCCGGGGCTGCGCGGGGGGCTCTCGGCCGAGCCGGCGCCGTCGAGCAGGAGGCTGTGGTCGGCGCGGCAGAGCAGCTCGTGGTCCCGCAGCGAGAACTCGTCCCCGGGCAGGAGCTGCCGGCTGCAGACGGAGCATCGGAAGCACTCCAGGTGGTAGACCTGGTCGCGGGCGCGCATCACCAGGTCGCTGCTGCTGAAGCCGCCCGCGCACTTGGCGCACTTGATGCCGAAGAGCCTGCGGAGCCAGAGGACGGAGGGCGGCGGTCAAGCAAGCGCTGCCAGGCCGGACAGCCGCGCCCTGCCCTGCCCTGCCCTGCCCTGCCCCGCGGGACCAGACCGAAGCCCCCCGAGCCTCTAAGAGCCTCCGGGGACGAATATTTCGCTTGCGACACCTGAACAAACAGAGGAAATCAAGAACCCGCTCCCTTTCCCTAACAGACATGCTTCCCATTATTATTATTATTATTATTATTATTATTATTATTATTATTATTATTATTATTATTATTATTATTATTATTGGTTAATCTTTAGTGAGATTCACAGCCTTATAAGGATAAGGATAAAGATAAGGATAATAATAATAATAATAATAATAATAATAATAATAATAATAATAACATCCTCCGACAATACCTTAACAGTTCCTAGGTCCTTGGTTAGGACTCGAGCTGCTGAGCTATTAACCAGCCTCAAAAGCTGTGAATCTCACTAAAGATTAACCAATAATAATAATAATAATAGGAATATTATTCCCAACCAGGCTCTTTTCGTTTACTTTTCATCTGCACAAGAATTGGAGCTGCTGCCGGCAGGATTTCGAGGCGAAACTGGGAGCGAAACGGGAGGACAACCCCGACTTTTGGCCAGAGCGAGCTGCAGACTCCTTTCCTTTCGAAATAAAACTCCCTCGAAATCCGTGGGGGTTCATGTCCGAAGAAGTCGACGCCCCCCCTCCTCCCGCCTCAGGATTTGTGCACACAGGTATGTCAGCGTGCAAGGATTCCCATCCCCCAGTCTATAAGAAAGCAGGTGTGCATTGTGTGTGCACAATGCATATCTTGCATATCTGCCTATGCAAGAATTTTACAGAATTTTACCTGTGGGTGTGCCAGGACTTGTGCCCCCCATCCCACCCCGTTGTATAGAAGGCAAGTTCAGGGGTGAAATCCAAATGCTTTTACTACCGGTTCTGTGGGTGTGGCTTGGTGGGCGTGGCAGGGAAAGGATACTGCAAAATCCCCATTCCCTCCCCACTCCTGGGGGAAGGATATTACAAAATCCAATATTCCCTCCCCACTCTGGGACCAGCCAGAGGTGGTATTTGCCGGTTCTCAGAACTACTCAAAATTTCCGCTACCGGTTCTCCAGAACCTGTCAGAACCTGTTGGATTTCAACCCTGGGCAAGTTGGTATACATGTGCGTGTGCGCGGGTGTTTGTGCAAGGGTTCCCCAGATATTTTACAGAGAGGCATGTGAGTGGCGTGCAAAGATTCGTGCCCCCAACTTTAGAAAAAGAAACACGGGTGTTTGTGTTGGTGCAAGAGTCCCCCCTAGAGTTCTACAGGGAGGCGTGAGGGGTAAGTGGGCGTGCAAAAGAGTTTGTGTCAATGTTTTATAAAAGGCCACACGTCGATGGGTGTCAAGGCAAGGGGTCCTCCCCCTCCCTGAATTTCACAGGAAGGCCTCCAGGTGAGCGTTGTGCATTCTCTCTCTCTCTTTCTCTCTCTCTTTCTCTCTCTTTCTCTCTCTCTCTTTTTCTTTCCCTCTCTCCCTCTCTCTCTCTCTCTTTTTTTTCTCTTTCCCTCCCCCTCTCTCTCTTTCTCTCTCTCTTCCCCCCCTCTCTCTCTTTCTCCCTCTCTCTCTGTGTCGGGGTGGGGTGGGGTAAGATGACAGAGCGTTCCCTTCTCCTGGCAAGGCATCTTGAACTTCCGGCCATCAGGGGCTTCCAAAGCCCACGCGCCTCGCTTCACCTCCGGCAACCCGCCCTAAATTCCACCACCCCCTCCTCAAAAGAAAACTTCCACTAAACCAGTGTTTCTCAACCTTGGTAGCTTGAAGATGGGTGGACTTCAACTCCCAGAATCCAAGGTTGAGAAACACTGCTAAACGCTGGGAGGGGGGGGAGGGAAGAGGGAGGCGAGACTCTTTGAGGGACCAAGCCCTCTCACCCCAAACTCCACCAACCCCAAGAAGCCAGGCCAGAGACCCCCCAAGCGGAAAACTCCCAGGAGAAGCTTAAAAATAAAAGGGGTTCCCCCCTCTCCCGCCCCCGCTTAGAAAGGACTTTTGGGGAGGGGGCTCTTCTACCTGATGTAATCTCTTTTACAGTAAGTTTTGCCATCGCGCACGAAGCAAGTACAGGTCTCGTCCAGGTACTGGCTACAATCCGCGCACTTCAGACACGCCGCGTGCCACTCCAGGTCCGGCGAGACCTTGAGGATGTACTGGTCGTGGATTTCGCTCCCGCAGCCCACGCACGTGGCGATCCCGGGTTTCTCTGCCGGGGGGGGGGGAAGGGGAAGAGGTGGGAAAAGCAGCAAAAGGACACTCAGGACAAACTTCGCAACGGGTTGAGCCGAAGGAGCCCCGCCTGGCCAAACGAAAAGGAACCGAGCCCCAAAATCCCGCCTGGCAGGAGAGCCCGAAGGGGTCGCCGAGCCCCCCACCCCCCCCCCCCAAAAAAGGGAAAAGCAGCGGGAGAGAAATATTTCTGCCCGGTCGTTTTTCCATCGCCCCGTTTCCCAGATGGGTTTGAAAATTATTTTATGGATGAAAAGACGCAGAAGGGAAAAAAGAAAGTATGGACTCTCATCATCATCATCATCTTCTTCTTTTCCTTGCACACTTTCTGGCGAGGTGCTCAATTATTCCGGGCAATAAAGCCCAATTAACATTAAATTAATATAAAGATGAAGGAAAGTTCCTTTTCTGCAAGGAACAAGCATTTGCAACCCACTTTAAATTAACGTCCTCAGTAGCAGGAAAATAATAATAATAACCACCATCGTGATACATTCATGTTTAATGAATAAAAGGGATAATAATAAGAAGAAGAGGAGGAGGAGGAGGAAGAAATGAGTAGTTGTACCAATAGCAACAGGAGCCCTTGGAGCAATTCCCAAAGGGCTGCTTAGATACATGGACATTTTGAATTTAGCAGACCCTGAATATTCTGACTTTGCAAAAAAAAAAACACCACCTTACTTGGAATTACCTATATATCCTTCAACGTTACCTTAACAGGTCCTTGGTTAGGACTTGAATTGTAAAGTTTTTACCAGTCCCAGACTGTCAATCGAATCGAAGCTGAAATCTTAAATAATAATAATCATCGTCTGTAACACCAAACAACATCCACATCTGACGATCCCAGGTCCTTGGAAAAGGGCTCGGGCTAGCTAAACAAAAATGCCCAAATCCAGGCTGAACATCTGGCCGACAGTGCGACGAACCAAAATAATCATATTAATAAATCTTACTTTTGCACCTCCTCTCTCTCTCTCTCTCTCTCTCTCTTTCTCTCTCTCTCTCTTTCTCTCTCCTCGCCCTTTTTCCAAGCGGTCCATCCAAAGCACCCCCTTCTTTTCCAAAGGCATCCTTGCGCGCCCCCTCCTCCCCGTGCGCCCCAAATCTTCCCAGCGCGGGGTCTGAGCTGCGGGGAGGGGGGGAGGGGAAATTTAAAAAAAAAAAGAGAGAGAGACTTACTTTTGGTGTGATCCCCCATCGCACCTCCAAAAGGGGAAGGAAAAATAATATCCACCATGCAGAAGGAGATGTGGGGAAACGTTGTGATGCAGAAAGAAAGAAAAAGGAGGAATAAAAATAAAATAATAATATTAATAATAATAATAATAATAATAAAAGGGGAGGGGGGCGTCTCCGGCCGCTGCCCTGCTCCAGCCTAAACTCCTGCAGCCCGGCCGGAGAGCAGAGAGAGTGTCCCATACGCAGCATGACGTCAGCACGGCGCGGACCACCCACTCAGCCCCCGAAAGGGGGAGGACCAGGAGGAGGGGTGACGTCACAGAGGGAATACTCAGGCAGCCCTCGCAAACGATTGGCCGAGGCGGAGGCGGCCGGAGCTGATTGGCCGAAGGGGAACAATGGAACGCAGAAGGTTGGGGTCCCGGGCAGAAGGTGCTGGACTGTCCGGGGGTCGCGCGCGCGCGCTTGGCTTCTCCGCTGCTGCTGTTGAGGCTGCTTGGTGCTTGCAGCGGCGGCGGCCAAGCGGGCTTTGCACAGCGGGCGCGAGGGGTGGGTGGGCGCCCGGGGGAGGGGGATTACTTATTTCCGTCCTTCGACGTGGAAGGGAGCTGCTGCCGTTGGAAAGCAGAGCCCCCCACCCCGCCTGTCTCCGTCCTTTGCAGAGGGGCTTCGGGGCGTGGGAAAAACGCAGCCGGGGGGAAAAAAAACAACTCTCTTGTTGCAATGTTGCAAGAAATAATAATAATAATGATTGATGATGATGATGGGGAGGAAGAGGAGGAGGAGGAAGAAGTAGCCATCCAATAGTCTGGATTAGCAATCCCTGACTTCGCGGAGATAACTTTATAGCAACGCCAGTCACGATTCTACCCATTTCTGGGGGGGTTCCGATTAAGGAATTAATTGGTTTTCTTCCGCAGCCAATACTCCCAGCGCGGCCCGATCCTCTATTTCCTCCGCTGTAAGGCCCGATTTATCCGGGGGTGGGGTGGAGGAAAGGATCGCATCCGAAATACAAGATTGCAAGTTTCTTTTTTTTAGCGCCGTTTTCGGCGCGCGGCGCTTCCTCGGTCTCGTGGAAGTCTAGTTTACTCGCTAAGTAAGTAGGATCGACACTCTTTCTAACCCAACCGAGAGATCCAGCCAGGCTTACTTTTGAGTATAAACCGAGGGGAAAAATAGCGCTGGAAAAGAAACAACGCGCAGCCCCTCTCGCCAAATCAATTTCTTTTTCGGTTTTTTGAGCTTTCCTAATCATTATCCTTTTACCCCCCATCCCATCCTCTCAACTTTATTCATTTCTTGCAAGGTTGTTTTTTTTTTTTAAAGAAAACTTCCGCAGGAACAGCGTTTTATGGTTGCTACGGGCGCGAAGGCTTTAACCATCTGGCCGCGTTGTCCTTTCTAACTCGATCCTAAAAAACCCACCAGCGATCGCCTCGAAGATGCATTTCGTTTTCTTTGGCGCGGGGTACAGAAAAACAGCCCGGCACCCTAGTTCTCCGTTTCCAGTTCTTTGGAAAATTTTGGAAATATATTTTCAAATATGGAACTTTTTGTTTCAAATAGAATCCGGCAGTATTTTTTTTTAAATAACTCCATTCCCTTTAAAAAAAAATAACAATAATATAACTGGCAGGAATGCAAAATGGATGTTGGTTAGGTCGCTCTTGAAATAAGCTGTATCTGGATTTTAAAACAGTCGCCCACGTAAAGCAAAAAGCTCCTTTTAAAACATTTAAGAAAGTTTTAAAAATTCTAAATTGTAGGTTCAACTCCAATTCTTTAAATGCGATGCTTTCCGATTTCTTCCACTATAATCGAGGCAAAAGTCGGAGAGGGCCGATTTCAAAGCTTCGTTTTAATCTCTCCACATTTCTCTCCCGACCCCTCAAAAGTTCTTTGGCCCATAGAAGAAGCTGGCCGGGTTTTAAAATCCCATGTATAAAATAAATTCGGAGCAATAATATTTCTTTGATTCGCCTTCAGTGTAGGCAACATATGCACATTTCTGAACTAGGCAGAATTCTTCATCAGACCAGACAAAATGGATATTTAGTGACAGACGCGGTTTGTTTTAACTTCAGTAAGGCTTATTCCATAAATTTAAGGTTTAGTTGCTTTTTTATTGTTTTGTTGGTCAACCCTGTAGATTAATAACTGGGGATGTTACACTGTTAGTGCACGAGTGTGTTAATTCATACTATAATGTCTGGACATGCCTATTTTCAAGTCAGGGTAACTTACTTTAAAATAAAAGCAAAAGGAAAAATTTTGTTTTTCCTATATATATGTTTCTCTTCGGATAACATCCTACATCTGATGTCAAACACAGTAGGGGAAAACTTACACCATGCTGGAAATTTTAACTTTAACTTTATTGAATAAGACCGAAATTTTATTTTTACTCTTTTCATTTTAATAATAATAATAATAATGATGATGATGATGATGATAATAATAATAATGATATATGTGATAATTGATTATATTTCGTCTTCAGATATAATCCACGCATATAAACCCCAATAGGGAGCTTAATCTTTCTAGCAATCGCTAAAGAATTGAAATAGAAATACAAGAATGGTGTACTGTATGCCTACCTTTTGGGGATTGTGAAAAAAATACAGGTTTTATCCACGTGGGCACATTTTATTTAATGATACGCATTTGTGCAGGGCCTGCGTTCTCACGATAGGCTTCATCAGGGCCGAAAGGAAACCTAGTTAATACAGACCAATGGCTCTGCTAGAGTAATTTGAACCTGGATTAATTTTTCTGTGCTTTAGCGTGTTTGGGGGATGTCCCACGGCAGTTCGCAAAGGCAAAATCTAGCCTTAATCAGGTTAAGACGTCTCGCCCAATGCTCCCGACTTCCATCCCGCGTTTAATACGAAGGCACATTCACACACATAGAAATAGACTCCTTGAAGTGCCGTGTGATTCCTGAGCAATTTGATCCCCTCCAACAAGTGATTTTAGGGGGTACGTTAGACGTCTTTTTCAAACTTGGTGCGATCTGGTAGGTTCGAGTCTGAAACACAGTTGGGCGTTTCCTCGTGGTCACCTTTCCAAGCCCTAACGCGGTCTGACGTTATCTTCCAAAGCCAGACAAACTCAACCACAGGGCTCTGATGGTTGACAGCTGACTGTCAACAACCCAGCGGAGCTCAATCTTGGAAGGGAAGAGGGGGTGGGGGTTACCTGGAGCTCCGTTCACACGTCTCCTTGTACCCGTGTCTGCTCCTCCACCTCCGCGCCCCAGTCGCGCGTCTGCGGAGGGAGATTCTCTGGGCCTTTGCTTGTAACGAACGATTTGGAGATAGAGGGTCTTCGCGCCCCCCCCAGACCCCGACCCAGAAAGAGGCCGGGAAAAAGGGTGGAGGGGGGAAAGAGTCTGCTTTGAGTGTTGCATTCACACGACCCGACCCGCCTCGCTAAGAGCAGCTGCATTGGTGGGAGAGAGAGGGACAGGTGTGCGAAGGCTGCTCTCGGTCGCCCCTTTTCCCCAGTTTATGCGGGATTCCATGCATGACGTGGGAAGGCAGACAAAGTCACGCCCCTGGGGAAGCAGGTCGTATGAAAGCGTCCAATGTCTTAATGGAGAGAGAACCTCAGCTGGGATTTCTCTGCTTTGAGGCTGGAAAAAGGAGGATCAGATTCTGTCTTTGTAACCTCTTCCCACCCCCTTCTGTTCCTTGCAACCCCTGTCAGTGGGCCCACCCCTCCATTGCCCCCCTCCCCTCCCCTTGAAATAAAAAGTATCCTGGATAGCTCAGCAGACTAATGCATTGTAATTTAACTCCAGCTGTTTGCAATTAGTAAGTTCGAATCTCGCCAGGCTCAAGGTTGACTCAGCCTTCCATCCTTTCTAAGGTAGGTAAAATGAGGACCCAGATTGTGGGGGCAATAAGGTGACTTTGTAAATATACAAAAGGATGAAGGCTATTGCTTAACGCATTGTAAGCCGCCCTGAGTCTCCGGAGAAGGGCAGCATATAAATCAAATTAAAAAAAAAATAGTCATCCAAACCTCCCACCCAAATTCCCAGAATTGTACTGAAACACAGTCATTTTACGGCTTTGTACAAAACCCAGCAAGGAATCTGAAACTCTGTGGAAGAGGTTTTGGGCGAGTCCCCCTTCAGCTGGGAAACTGGGGTGCTTCCAATTCACACCTTGCATCCTGGGCTAGGAAGGAGCCAGAAAGCAGGAAGTGAAAAGGCTGTTCGCTAAAACGCCACTCTGGTATTTCCCCCGAGTTTCTTTCACCTCCGGGTATTTCGAAATGAGGTGGTTTTTTTAAGGCCAAGGCTTTCTATTCCTTCCCTCTTTTATTCTTTTATTATTAGTCTGTTGTTTTGCATGGACAATGAGAGCTTCTGCACCAGAGTCAAATTCCCTGTGTGTCTAATCACACTTAGCCAAAGAAAGTATTCTGCTCTGTTCTGTTCTGTTCTGTTGTTTTGTTCTCTGTTCTGTTCTGCTCTATTCTAACATCAGCCAATCCAGTGTTGTACCTTATGATTCTTGATTAATGTATCTTTTCTTTTATGTACACTGAGAGCGTATGCACCAAGACAAATTCCTTGTGTGTCCAATCACCCTTGGCCAATAAATTCTTCTCTTCTCTTCTCTTCTCTTCTCTTCTCTTCTCTTCTCTTCTCTTCTCTTCTCTTCTCTTCCCTTCCCTTCCCTTCCCTTCCCTTCCCTTCCCTTCCCTTCCCTTCCCTTCCCTTCCCTTCTAGCAGCCAATCCTTTTTTTCTGAGAATCTGGAGTTTCCCAAGACAGACATAAAAAGGCCACATTTTCCAAGAAGGTTGTTTATGAACAAATGAGCACATTCTCTGTTTGTTTGTTTCTCACCTTTATTAATTTTTTTACAAATAACTCAAGTTGTCAGAGATATCCAGCATATTTTCCTCCTCCTAGTTTCTCCACTTCTACAATCCTGTGAGGTGGGGTGGATTGATGGAGAGGGACTGGCTCAGCCACCTAACTAGCTTTCATAGCTAAGGCGGAATTAGAACTCACCATCTCGTGGTGATTGGTCCAAAGGCACCCAGTCAGCTTTCATGCCTAAAGCAGAACTAGAACTCAAGATTCCCGGTGGCAACTTTAAAGTTGTGTGACTGGGGAATTCTGGGAGTTGAAGTCCACACATCTTAAAGGGGTCACGTTTGGAAAAAACACTACTTGAAACCTTGCTTCTACAAAAACCAGTGAAGACTCTTTCTGTCCCAGACATTAAGCTAACTATCCATAACATCCTCCATCCGGCCCCTTTCTCTCCTGCTCTTTCCCTTTTACCTTTGGGGTTTGGGGCCTTGATCCAGTCCAACCACTTCCTCTGCAGGCCACAGATGACTTGAGCCAACAGTCACAAAAAGTCGAACATCCATAGCTGCACACCAGAGGCACTCTGAAAGACAGACAAGGTTGGGTTGTGTTTTTTTTTTCCATGTGGTTGTGTTGGAAAAGTGCCTCCTGGCTCCCCGCGTGAAGGAAAGGTTTACAACCTGCACTTGGGGGATTGAACTGATCGATGGATGTTTTCCCCCCCCCCCTCCTCTCTTTGCTAGATGCCTGACATCCTGTGGGAAGCCTTTCCTTGCATAAGGAGAAAATGCAATTTTATTTCTCCTCTGAATTCTTGCAGGCAGATCGGAAAGGAAGCATTTGGCCTTCCCCGAACAGAAAAAAAATTTTTTTTTTTACTCTGCTCCTAAAGTATTCTTTGGGTTGTTGCTGTTTGACATAACACACGGAGGTGTTGTTGTTGTTGTTGTTGTTTTAAAAAGAATAATGGTGGGTCTTTGGATATGATGGATGATTCCTGTTGGCTGTTTTCTAGAAGTATTTTGGGTTTTGCAAAAAAAAATGTTACTTCAAGGGAATAAGCTTTCATGAGCTGCAGGCTGCTTCATCACACAATTTACTGAAGTGTTTTTCAGTAAAATTCACTAGTCTGAAAAGGGGCTAAATAAATTCCTTTAGGTTTTGGAGCACCATTGACTAACATGGCTTCTCTTCTACAAAAGCAGAAAACATTCATTCCCTTCCTTCCTTCCTTCCTTCCTTCCTTCCTTCCTTCCTTCCTTCCTTCCTTCTTTCCTTCCTTCCTTCCTTCCTTCCTTCCCTCCCTCCCTCCCTCCCTCCCTCCCTCCTCCCTCCCTCCCTCCTTCCTTCTCTCTCCTTCCTTCTTTCTTTCCATCCTCCCTCCCTCTTCCTGATTCCTTTCCTTTCCTTTCCTTTCCTCCCATCCCCTCCCCTCCCCTCCCCTCCCCTCTCTTCCCTTCCTTTCCTTTCCTCTCCTCTCCTCTCCTTCTCAGTATCCTCCCTTTTCTCCATTCTTCCCTTTCTGTTTTTCTACCTCCCTTCCTTCATCCCCTCCTTCCCTTCTTCTGTTTCTATTTCTCCTCCCCTTTCTCCCGTGTGTGTGTGTGTGTGTGTGTGTGATTTATTTAAGGGCAATGCACAATGATTCCTTTTGTGATACTTGTACATAGGGAGGCTCTTCTATTTCCCATTATTTTTTTTTTAAAAAAAAGAGCTTTCATCGAGTGTTAAAGATGGAAAATCTGGTTCAATCTGCATTGCTATCATCCCAGATCCAATTAGCCATTTGGAACAGACAAAAACATTACAAGATCAATCCAAAATCAGATTAATATCCAATCCGTAATCACATTAATCACAATCTGTCCATAATTAGACATCAGATAATCTCAGTGGACAGCCGGAGAAGGCCGAATCCCATTACCAAACTAATTCTCTATTTTTCCAATTTGTTGTCTCTCAGCCCACCAGGTTTCTTAGAGAAAGAAAACCCAGAAAGAAATCGAATCTCACTCAGACGAATGCTTTCTCTGAAGTAAAGTCAACATTTAATAATCCTTCAAGTACAGATTTATTTGAATTTTGGAGAATATTAACGAACGACTAACATTTATTTCCTCAAGAGAAAAAGAAATTACATTGGTTATAGTTTTCTGGTGGACAAGCATTCTTTGACCTACTTTATAGATTTATGTTTAGGTTATTATAATAATATATCATAATTATTTGTCAATCTCTCCTCAAAATGCTATGGAACTTTCAGATAAAATCAAACAGGGCTAACATAATGCGAGACAACAGATATTTTGATAATAACAGAATCAGTATGCTTACTGAGGATGGTTTCTAGATCTGGGTGTTTTGATTTGATGAATGGACATAATCCGTTCCTAGAGTTGAATAAAATAGCAGGAAAATATTTTTTGAAGATTCATGTAACTAAAACAAGCTCTTCTAAGTTATCCAATCACATCAGTGGATTTTGACTTACAAAACTGATCCGTGGATTACACGGTTTATCGATCGATGGACAACTTCTTGCTAAATAATTGCCAAAGGTTTTGAAATGTAAATGAATGATCACATTTGCAAATGCTTTTTGTGAACCTGGAAATTCTGGGTTTGAAACTTTCTCCCTAATGGATTAGCTTGTAACTGGAAGGTAATTTATGTAAGAAGGAATTTATTTCCTTCCCTTAACATGAAGCTGTGTAAATCCATTTGTATAGCACTTCATGTGCAAATTTCCAGGCAGAGCTTATGAAAAGTAAGCAAAGCTGAAAAGAAGGCAACATTAAATGCATCCTACTTCAGATTTCTCCAAAAAAGCTTCGAATACAGTTATATTTTTTAATTAATATATTAATGAAAAGAAGGAGTAGATAGAGAATACTTTCAAGCATGGGATTTATTCTACCAATCATTGGATAATAGAAGTAGACATTAGAAATCGGAAAAATGCTATTGTGTATGGTTTATGTTTAATATATCATTATATTATACACTATTATGTTAAGCAAATTCACCCAGACAATACGCTGTTCATAAAGTATTAATGTATGTTAAGGAAAATATACTGCTCAAAAAAATAAAGGGAACACAAGCAGCAGAAGACATCCGAGATCTGAATGAATGAAATAGCCTTATTAAATACTTTGTTCTTTACATACAGTAGTTTATACACTGCTCAAACAACTAAAGGGAACACAAAACTACTGTATGTAACAAACAAAGTATTTAATAAGGCTATTTCATTCATTCAGATCTTGGATGTCTTCTGCTTGTGTTCCCTTTATTTTTTTGAGCAGTGTATATCAATAAATTGTTTAAAAAAAAAGGAATCTGAGTTTGCTATATCCCAGACTGGACGGAGTTTCAGAGACTCCACCAAGCTTGAGGTTCAAGTCCCATCTTGGACTACCAAACCTAATCAGGTCTCTCTAGGTCAGCGTTTCTCCAAACCTTAGCCACATAAAGATGGGTGGACTTCAACATTGAACTAGAAGATGAATAATGATGTAGAGCATTTTCAGACCAAAATCGGGCCTTCTCTGTTCAACTCAAAGAGGACCAGGACAATGATAAGAAGCTAGCTGAAGTCTCCGTTGGGTTCCTGACCTTCTTGGAACCATTTGTTGGGCTGGAGCTGTCCAAGGTCCTGCTGCTTCAGATGGACAATCGGCTACCTTAGCTGACTGTATTAGTCTCCTGGCTCCTTCAGGTCCTACTCTGAGCAGTTATTTGTGTATTTCTACCTCTCTTTTTGACAGGGGAAGAAGACAGGAACTCTCAGTGGTCTTGGAAAGACAACTTCTGGATCTAAACAGAGTCTGTTTAATCTAGAACTCCAACTTTACTGCTAGTCAGTAAAGGCTAGGAGCCTTTCAAGAGACAGTTCTAAACCTTATCCTTAAAAAAAAAAAAAGGAATGCCCACTCCTGGTCTATAAAGAAAGTAGTTCTAGGATTTTAGGCATGACTTCTTCCCAGCCCCATTGGACAGTTTGCACATTAACCTTGGAACTTTCAGTGGAGAAGATTGTGTGATAATTCCAAGTCTCTCTCTCTCTCACACACACACACACACATCTCTATCATCTATCATCTATCTAATCTATCCAATCTATCCATCATCTATCTATATATCATCTGTCTATCTATCTCTATCCTATCTATCTATCTATCTATCTATCTATCTATCTATCTATCTATCTATCATATCTATTATCTACCTACCTACCTACCTACTTACATACCTACCATCTATCAAATCTATCAATCTATCCAATCCATCCATCATCTATTTAATCAATCCCTCATCTATCTATCCATCAACTATCTATATATATCATCTCTGTCTGTCTGTCTGTCTATCTGTCTATCATCTATCTATCTATCATATCTATTATCTATCTACCTACCTACCTACCTACCTACCATCTATCATCTATCTAATCTATCTAATCTATCCAATCTATCCATCATCTATTTAATCAATCCCTCATCTATCTATCCATCAACTATCCATCATTTGTCTGTCTGTCTGCCTATCTATCTATCTATCTGTCTGTCTGTCTATCTATCTATCTATCTATCTATCTATCTATCTATCTATCTATCTAATCATTTACCTCTATCTCCATCTATCATTCATCTATCATTAAAATAAACCAGAACAGGGCATCCAAGGGATTTAATCCAGGGTAACAATGGGCTTTTTTAAAAAAGTCACTCATTACATTTCCCCTCCCCTTTTCTTTCTTTTTATTAAAATAACATTCCAAAGAAAACTCTAAACAATGAAGCCTCAGGCTCTGGTTTAGTAGGACGGGTGTAAAAAGCCCAACCCTACCCCTGTTCCTTTTCTTTTTTAAACTCCATTACACTGAAAGCCTTTTCCCCACCCCCCCTCACCCCCAGAGAAAGATTTTGTTGTGGTTCAGCTAAAGTGGATCAAACTGATATGATCTTCACCCTTATTAGAAGCTTCTAAAATGCTCTGCCAAATTGAGGGGGGGGGAATGTTTCCTTTAGGTAGTGGGATTCTGGTTTTGTTTTTATTTTTGCTTTCAGTGGTTCTCTAACCACTGAGTGGGCCCAAGCCTTGTCTGGCATGCCAGCATTTCTCCGGATCCTTTAGCCTTTCCCTCCCACGTCCCTCTCCCCATTTTCACAAAACCCACCTATTGATTAACCACCTGATCGATTTGTGTTCTTCGCTGCGATAGGATTCATGCTTGGCCAACCGGTTTCTCATTGGTGCTCCAAACGCACCGAATCTCTTGCCTCTTCTTGCAACTTTAAAAAAACCCCAAATCTCAGAATCAAACCGGATATCCAAGCAGCCAAACCTCCCAGCCGATCGGTGGGAGGAAATCACTTACAACAGCAAACAATCTACAAGAACGAAACTGGACTCTTCTGGGAAAAAAACCCGCAGAAATAAAATAATAAACTTGGCTAGCTGGATCAACGCAGATAAGAGAAGAGCCCCCGCCGGCTGTTGGGAGAACGAGGGTTTGTGGGCCGTTTTTGGCAAGTTCACAGGAGTGGTTACTGGTGGTGGGTTGAGATGTGATCTGCACCCTGTGTGCTTACTGGATGCATTTTAGCAGAGCGAAGCGCGCTCTCTGTTTGCAGAGACGGAAAAAGATTTCCTTCGGTGATCCAGTTGGATTGGGAAAGTAGGGTGATCACCAGTTTCAGGAATGATGGTGAGTTGCTTTGTAACAATTATAGCAGTGTTTCTCAACTCTGGCCACTTTAAGATGAGTGAACTTCAACTTCCAGAATTCCCCAGCCAGCATGGCTGGCTGTTGTGGTCCGTAGGCGGCCTGTGCAGTTAGCAGCTGATTCCAACAGTGAGGAGGCTGGTGTGGTGCTGTGCCAGCAGCCTGTGCAGCTGGCACTTGAGTCGGACAGTGAGGAGGCTGGAAAAGATATGGGCCCAGAGGCGGGGATTCAGCCAGGGCCTTCAGAACCTCCAGAAGCTCCCATAAGTGAAGAGGAAGAAGAGGAGGAGCCTCTTCTCGATGCAGGGGCGCACAGAGCTACCAAAAGGCAGGAGTGGCTCCTCAGGAGGTGGTCTCCTTGAGAATAAGGCTTGGGGCTAATTGGCCACTCCCCTAGCCTATTTAAGGAAGAACGCTGACTGAGGCAATTTGCAGGGAACATCTTCGTTCACACTCCTTCATGTCTTGGTCTTGCTTAACTTATCAGTTTCCTGCAAATTGCTTCTGGGCATTCTGCCAACCACAGTAAGCTTTCAGTTATTATTCTTTGAATTCTTGGCGGCTGTTAATGCAGTTAATTAACAGCTGTTGTTGCAAAAGACTGGTTTATTTAGTAAACTAAGGTTTGAATGGACTTTGTGTGTGCTGTGTTCTTTGGGGCAGAACACTAGCTGCGGAATTCTGGGAGTTGAAGTCCACCCATTTTAAAGTGGCCAGAGTTGAAATACACACTGAATTAGGGGCTAGATAAGCTATCTGTCAAGCATAATAGCACAGGTAATCCTTGATTTACGATCACAACTGAGTCCCAAATCTCTGTTGCTAAGTGAGTAATTTCTTAAGCGAATTTTGCCCCATTTTACAACCTTCCTGGTCCCCTTTGTTAAGTGAATCCCTGGACTTGTTAAGTTAGTAACATGGTTGATAAATTAATCTGGTTTCCTCATTGACTTTGTTTGTCAGGAGGTCGCAAAAGTGGATCACGTGACCCTGGGCCACTGCAACCATCATAAAGACGAATCTGTGGCCAAGTCTCTGAATTTTGATCACGGGACTGTAGCCTAGGGATGCTTCAACGTCCGTAAGTGTGAAAATCGATCATAAGTCCCTTTTTTTTCCAGTGCTGTTCTAACTCTGAACGGTCACTGAACAAACTGTTGTAAGTCAAGGACTATCTGTAGAACCCTGCACCGGGCAGAAGGGGTGGAATAGATGACTTCCGAAGCTCTTTCCCCCTCTCTTTCATTTTACGATGCCAAGCAAACCTCTGGAGAATGTTCGCAAGCTGTTCTCTGCAGTGGTGGGTTTCAAAATTTTTTACTACCAGTTCTGTGGGTGTGGCTTGGTGGGCATGGCATGGCTTGGTGGGTGTGGCTTGGTGGGCGTGGCAGGGGAAAGATGCTGTAAAATCTCCATTCCCACCCCACTTCAGGGCAAGGATACTGCAAAATCCCCATTTCCTCCCGATCAGCTGGGACTTGGGAGACAGAGAATAGATGGGAGCGGGGCTAGCCAGAATTTTTATTACCGGTTCTCCAAACTACTCCAAATTTTTGCTACCGGTTCTCCAGAATTGGTCAGAACCTGCTGAAACCCACCTCTGTTTCTCTGTCACCCTAGATTGGTTGAGTTAAAGACGGACAACTACCATTAATTGATTTCTGGTTTACAAGAGTTACGGACATGTGGCACCGATCCATATGGTCTCGGTCTGCTCTATTGATCTCATTGATTTGCAAGGGCAGACACCTGCTGGCTGGGGCCCCCCTTAAAAGTTTCCGAGACGTTTGTATGGCAGGGGTGCAAACCTGACCTACATTTCCCATTTTTTTATTATTATCGTAAGCCAAGGATTTAGTGCCTAACATATGCATACAACTGGTGTAAAATCTATCACCGATTATTATTATATGAAGGATATTGTTGTTGTATGTGGGGTTTTTCTTCCTCAGCCAAGTCTTTCTAAAACAGAGAGAGATAGGATTATTTGCCTGGGGGGCATATATATATATATATATATAATTAGAATTAGAATTTTTTATTGGCCAAGTGTGATTGGACACACAAGGAAATTGTCTTGGTGCATATGCTCTCAGTGTTCATAAAAGAAAAGATATGTTCATCAAGAATCATAAGGTACAACACTTAATGATAGTCATAGGGTAAATAATAAGCAATCCGGAAACAATATCAATATAAATCGTAAGGATACAAGCAACAAAATTACAGTCATACAGTCATAAGTGAAGGAGATGGGTGGTGGGAACGATGAGAAGTTTAATAGTAGTGCAGACTTAGTGAATAGTTTGACAGTATTGAGGGAATAATTTGTTTAGCAGAGTGATGGCATTCGGGAAAAAACTGTTCTTGTGTCTAGTTGTTCTGGTGTGCAGTGCTCTATAGCATCGTTTTGAGGGTAGGAGTTGAAACAATTTATGTCCAGGATGCGAGGGGTCTGTAGATATTTTCACAGGCCTCTTTTTGACTCCTGCAGGATACAGGTCCTCAGTGGAAGGCAGTTGGTAGCCATTGTTTTTTCTGCAGTTCTAATGATCCTCTGAAGTCTGGGTCTGTCTTGTTGGGTTGCAGAGTCAAACTAGACAGTTATATATATAGTTATCTAGAAAATCCTGACATTTTTTCTTCTTGCACCTCAATGAGATTATTTTTTTTAATGGCGTTCGGGTTCAAAGCTCCCCCACGCAGCCCCGTTTAATTTCCAGTTGATGGTTCCTACTTTTATTGCAGTGGGTCAGGGAAAAAAGGACTTTGCTTTGCAATAAATGTAGGGTCTCCTCTTGGGTGGGTGGGTTGGACTAGATTACAGCCTGTAATCCTGTATGGAATCCAAGAAAAGTCCAGTAAGGGTAGTCCTTGACTTACGACCTCAATTGAGCCCATGATGACCAGCTTCAAGTTTGGCAGCATGGCTTGTCCTGAACAGGATTAGGTAAACCACCGAGGTTGGATTTAACAGATTAACAGATCAACAGAGTTGGGAGGGACCTTGTAGGTCATCTAGTCCAACCCCCCACCCAAGCAGGAAACCCTACACCAATGGCAGTCCAATCTCTTCTCAAAAGCCTGCAGGAATGAAGCTCCCACAACTTCTGAAGGCAACTTCAGTTCCATGGGTTGATTGTTCTCACTGTCAGGAAATTTCTCCTTATTTCCAGGTTGAATCTCTCCATGTTCAGTTTCCATCCATTATTCCATCTCGGTCACATCTGCTGCCTCCAGAACGCCGTCCTGCGCATTCCGAGGAGTTCTCCTTTAATCATTTTCATCTTGCCCCGTGAAATTCAAATCCTGAGACCAGAGAGACTTGGTTCCTTAAAAACCCCTTGAAAGCCCATAAATTATAGAAAGGGAAAGAAGGAGCCTGGGTCTCTTGGAACAGGCTCTGCACAGATTTAATGGCCTTTGAGCTGCGTCTGAGGAAGGAGCGTCAGCTGACGGAGTAGTAAATCTCTTGGACGGGAGATACAGGGGCCGGGCTGGTGTGTGGCGTGATTGGGCTTTGAAGCTGCTAGGTCAAACAGACAGTTGGCAAGAGGAGAGGGGAAGGGGAGGGAGAAGAAAGAGGCAAGAAACTCCCGAGCATTTCGGCTTTCCAATCTTGTTCCAGGCACCTACGGACAGATTACGCAAAGCCCCTGCAAGCTTTGAGCCGATGCAAAGTGGAGAAACAGGAGGGAGGTGTAATATTTCTTCCATTCAGGCCGAAAGGAGAGTGACGGTTGCTAAATACGAGGCCTCGGTTGCAAGTCACTTTTTCCAGTGCTGTTGTAACGTAGGATGGTCACTAAACAAAATAGTTGTAAATCGAGGACTAACTGTAAAAAGTGGTCTCTTAGGAAGGTTGGCTGATGTTAGCTACAAATGGAGACTCCGTTCTCGTGGTTTGAAAGAGCTTAAACACCTGTCCTGCTCAAGGTGCCAAGCCTTCTGGATTAGTATAACTGCTTGAGGCTTAAATTTACTAATTTATTATCCTTGCAAGTCCAAAAATCTTCATGACTTGTTTAAATAGTAGATGGGTCCCTTCTGCCAGTGGTGGGATTCAGCCAGTTCGGGAGAACCGGTTGTTAACTTTCTGAGCCGTTTGGCAAACTGGTTGTTGGAAGAAATAATTAGGGCAGAGAACCGGTTGTTAAATTACTTGAATCCCACCACTGACTTCTGCTATGGAATCAGGCTAGCCAGCCAGGCTGTTTATGATATTTTTTTTCCACAAAATCATCCTATGTTATAGAATAAATGATAAATGTAGCCAAATATTGCAATATCTCTTTGATATTAAAAGGGCAGAGACATAGTTTTTTTTAAATGTATTGTAAGCCGCCTTGAGTCTCCGGAGAAAGGTGGCATATAAATTAAACTAATAAATAAATAAATAAATTGTATCTATTGCAGAAACATCAGGCATAACGACATAAAGGGCAGGGAAAGATGCAAAATCACAGCGCTGGAGAAAACGGTTGAAAACAAGAGGAATAAAATATTTTAATATTAGAGGCCATAAAAGCAGATTGTTCATCAGGAGCGCTGACAAGGAGGTTAAATTTGAAAATGTTTGTATATTGAATACAGAAGAAGGGATTCGTGGCTGGGGAATTCTGGGAATTGAAGTCCATATTAGAGTTGCCAAGGTTTGGGAAACCCTGGTTTATACCATTTGGGATTATAGACTCCCAAATATAGATTATAGACAATTCCCAGAAGCCCCCAGCGAAAGGGCTTATGGGAGATGAAGTCCAAGCGCTGCGACCTTCCAGGCGGCGCTAAGGATCAGATGAATCACCAAAAAAAAAAAAAAAAAAAAAACCGCCACGCCCCCCTTTCCCCTGATTGGCCACTCCGTCAAAAGTCACCACGCCCCTTTCTAGCTCGTGTCAACTGCGGATCGACTGGGCGAAAAAAATTGGCGTTCCCGCCTCTTTCGCTGATTGGCCGCCGTCCGCCAATGAGCAGCGCCGCCGCTGTTCTTTCCTTTTTCCCCCGCCCCTCCACCTCAATGGCGGACTCGGCTCCGCCCCTCGTTCCCCAGAAACTCTCGCGAGATGAGACGGGGCGGGGGCGGCTCCTGAGGAGGAGGAAGAAGAAGAAGGCTCGCCGTCCGGGTTCGTCGCCATGACCGCGCTTCGGGGCTTCCTCAGGGCGCAGCGCCTGGGGCGGAGAGCGGTGAGTGGCGGCTGAAGCCACGGGCCCGGCCTTCCTGACGGCCGGCCCTGCAGGGTAGGCCGGCCGCGTTCCCAAGGGCAAAGGTCACGCTAGCTGAGGACAGTGTGGGAGGGGCTCCTGAGAGGGGGCGTGGCCTTCAAAGCTCCTCCCTCTCCTCTTCTGCCGGCCCTGCAGGGTAGGACAGGGAGGGCAAAGTTGGGCTGGCAATGACCCAGGTTTGTCCCACTATATAAATATAAATTGGTATATAAATTGGAAATTAAATTAAATTAAATTAAATTAAAGGGGGGGTGTCTTTGGGGGCGGGGATAACCACAGACACGCCCCTCTCCCCTGGGAACCCCTCCCCCCATCTTTTAAAGTCATTGCAAAATGGGGGTGCCCCCTCTGGGCCCCCAATGCGGCCCATTTGCAGCATGGCTGCCTAAATTGGGGTCAGAAAAGGGGTCCCCTCTGTGTGCCCCAGTGAAGGGTCTTGTGGGGCACCCCAAGGGGGGGGCAGGATGGCATGCGCCACTTTCACATGCCCCCTCCCCCTCCCCACCTTTATTCTGGGCATGTGCCCAAGTGGCTCCGTCACAGCACCGGATACTCTTGAGGGTCCTGAGAATCGGATGTGGGACCCCTCCCCAACAACAACAACAACCCCCCCTCCCCACCAAATCCTCTCTGAAGAAATGCCGCCCTTTGGAGCACCCAGATTTGGGATTTGACGGCTTGGTTTCTTTTATCTACATTTTAACGGCTGGATTTATCAAGTTACACGTAATTTAATTAATTAAATTTATATGCCGCCCCTCTCCGAAGACTCAGGGTGGCTCACAATACATTTAAAAAATCATTATAAAAAGACATTGAAAAATTCAAAAACATTTAAAAACGTAAGTCCTCGATTTACGACCACCATGGAGCCCAACATTTCTGTTGCTAAGCGAGACGTTGGTTAAGGGCGTCTTGTCCCATTTTACCACCTTTCTTGCTCCCCCTCCTCTCCCTCCCAAGTGGTTAAGTGAATCCGGCTTCCCCCGTGAAGGTCGCACAAGAGGTTCAGGAAATCCCTGCAACCGTCATAAATAGGAGTCGGTGGCCAAGCGTCTTGAATTTTGATCATGCGTGATCGTGGGGATGCCATTAAGCGTGGGAAAACGGTCATGTCACACTTTTCAGTGCCGTTGTAACTTCGGACGGTCACTAAATGAACTGTTGGAAGGCGATTTCCAGCTCTTAGTGACCACATCCGATAGATTGTCTGCATCTTATTGATATTTATTATTTTTTTTAAAAAATTGGGGGGTACATTTATATATAGTTGCTAAATTATATCCAGGCATCTCTGAGTGGCATATGAATTCAAGCGACTTGTTGTGTATAGTTTCTGCAAAGCCCTGGAAAGCTCTTGAAGAATGTTCCTGGCCCGTCCCTGGCATGTCAACCTTCATACTGGTTATTCTGGGTCGGCTTTCACGGGTGGGGTCAATTAACCAGGGGGCTGAATGGCCATGGTCTAATTTTCTGGTGTCTTGGCAGCTCAGAGGTAGGCTACAAAGGAGTTGGCTCTGCCTCCGAAGATGCCAGCCACAGCTGCCCACAAAACATCAGGACATCAAAAAAAAAACACCAAAAACCCAGGTATCAACCCTTCAGCTCCAAAGGTCATAGCTTCCTCATATTGTCATTGACAACAACATCACATAAGTTGCGACGTCACCATGCGAAGGATAGAAATGAAAAGGAGTCATGGATAGACGGGTGCGGCCCGTAAAGAAAAAGAAGGAATTAACTATGCTCGCTTTGGCGTGGGAAATCTAGAGCTGGTTTTGCTTCTTCTGTGCCGATGTGGTTTATTCGGTAAAGTTACATATTCTTGGAAAAATAATATCCCAGGAGTTTCTTTTTCTGGATTTCGCCAGCTGGACATTTGGTGTGAGGTGCCATGACAGGATGGCTGGGTCTTCAACGTGGCATTGTAGCTTTTGTGGTTGTCAGTTTGCAAAAATTGACCTCCTGAGATGGTCTCCCTAGAAGTGGGAGAAACAGTTTACCTTTGATACTGAATTAGAGGCCACTTTTGAAACTTGCGTTTTTTGCTGACAGTAATGCATGGAATTTACAAAACTAGAGAGCGCCCTCTGATAGCTTAAGACAGGCTGTCCATTGGGCTTGTAGAAGCGGAAAGAACACCACCCCTGCAGTGTAGGAATTCAGATTAAAGCATTCTCCTCAAATCTTAATCCTTTGCTTGAATAGGTCTTACAGAGTGTATCTGCTGGACTTTTAAACCAAGATTTCTCAAACTGGGTTTAGCGGGGGTTGCATGGCAGATAAAGAGCTAAAGGAAAAACTAAAATGTCCTCAAATAAAGTCCATTTTCTCTCATTAGGTCAGGAATTTGGGGAATTTGTTTTCTGAGAAGGTTCAAAAACCCCAGCTTTAAGCCTGTGGAAACCAGCTCTATAAACGTGAATGGAGCCATCTTACTTCCACTGTGCGTTTATACATTCCCAGCAAAGTACCCATCAATGTGTCACGGGTGAATTATGCGGCACACAAGCTTTAATTTAAAGAAATACCCTGCCGGTGGATGTTCTCTCCCGCAGTTTTGCATCAGGGCCCGAGCGCAAGAGCCCAGGAGGCAGCAACGCCCGGACACCTCAAAGAGATTGGTGGGCTGAAGCAGTGAAGGAGGTAGCAGAGCCTGTTGGTGAAGTTTTGTTTAATGAAGCCGTCATGGGTGGGGAAACCCTACGTTTTGCACAAGCAGGCCGGGCGAGAAAATTGTGCTTTCTGGCGGGCTGCTCTGTTAATGGTTAATTGGAATCCCGCCACTGGCCAGGACCCCGTAGTCCGATCCTCCCTCCCTCCTGGCTGGGTTCCTAATAGGTCAAAAGTGGATCGCCTTTCAAAGAGAGCAAGGTTGGAATAGGATAGAGAAGAAACCAACCTTTTAAAAACACATTGAGCATAATTATAGGCTCCGTTTTTTAAGGAAGGACGTGGAAAGATACAAAAAAACCCCCCATGCTTTTAAAAATCTTAAAAACAGAACAAGGGCACGACTGATAACAAACTATATATCTAGTAATAAGAAAGGTCCCTATGAATGCGTGGCACTGATAAAAGTAATCCCAAGACAAATAATTCAGAAGGTTTCAGGAAAAAAGGTGATAAGCAGCAGCAGCAGCGAATCAGCTGGTCTACATTCTGGGTAAGACCTTCCCTTTTCCACAAAGGCAGAGAGATCGAATTATGACTGTTTTGCACCCTTACAACATCCCTGTGGGTCAAAATCCAGATGCTTGGCAACCGACTCACATTTATGACGGTTGCAGTACCCCGTGGTCACGCAATCCCCTTTGGCGACCACATCAACGGGGAAGCCCGATTCACTTAACAACCGGGTTACTCACTTTGTCAGCCGCAGCGATTCACTTAACAACGTAGGCGAGAAAGCTCGTAAAAAGGGGCAAAACCCACTTAACCAAAATGTCTCCCTTAACAACGGAAATTTGGGGCTCAGAAGTTGAAGACGCGGCTGCAGAAAAGTATCATTTGATCCCATCATCACGAATTCTACCCTGGGTATTTTATGAATAAATAAAAGAGACATCTTCTCCGGCGAACACTGGATGGACTTTTCTTTTTTCTTTTTCTTTTTTTTTAAGTTTTTTATTATCTTCTAAAGTTCTTTCTTTTTCTGTATAGTTGTCATTACTTCTATCTTGATCCTTATCCAGTCCACAATATCAATTCTTCACTAACATAATATTCAACTCATCCCATATTTTTACATACTTATATAATTCATCATTTATATCTCTTCTCCAACCAATAATAAAAATCATTCCATATTTTAAAATATTCTGAGTCTTCTCTATCTTTAATCATCAAAGTTAATCTATTCATTTCTGCACAATCTTAAGCTTTTTTTTTTTATTACTTCTTCTTCCAAAGGTATTTTCTCCGCTTTCCAATTTTGTGCATAGACAATCCTTGCAGCTGTTATTACATGTATTATCAGATAAACTTTTTCCTTGCTAATTTTTTCAGGTAGGATACCCAGTAGGAACAGCTCTGGTTTAAATTCAGTACGTTGATCTATCATTTCCTCCAACCAAGTCTTAAATTTAATCCAATAGTTTTTAGCTTCCGGACATGTCCACCACATATGATAATATGATCCTGGTAGTTGATGACCCTTCCAACATTTAGCTGATTTTTCTTTAAATTTTGCTAATTTAAATTTTTAAATTAAATTTTTCTTTAATTTTTCTTTAAATTTTGCTAATTTCTCAGGTCGCATATGCCATCTATAAAACATTTTGTATTGATTTTCCTTATATGCAGTGGACACCGTTAATTTATAATTCCTTTCCCATAGTTGTTGCCATTTTTCCAAATCAATTGAATAACTGGATGGACTTTTCAAGGGCCTCTCAGTTCCCGCTGGAAACGTAAACCTCCCAACTTTTAGCGGTTACAGCATATTTCCCTTTGTGACAGGCCTATAAATTTAAGGAAATGTGGGCATTTTGCCACGAAGAGATAAGATTTATTCTTCAGGCAGCCGCTCTGTGGCCTTGTAACTTTTTCTGGGAAATGATGGATGGAGCGTTATCAAAAATGTGCTCTTTTTGATGTACCTTGGAAATAAGTAATTCCTTCCTGGTAATTCACCTCAAATGATTTAAAAATCTTTTTACACCTTTTGATGATTTAATACCCTTAACGTTGGAACATGACGCATCCAACAGAACCCGGCACTATTCTTCCCACGAGGTCTTAAATCATGGATCACTGAGCACATCATCCAGGGCACCTTCATAACTTGGAGGTCTCAATAAAATCTCTTTTTATGTTGAGCCAGTAATGAAGCAATTGAAAAAGGTAGTTATGAATTTGCAGTGAACTTTAAAGTTTTGGGGGGGGGGAATCTAATAAATTGGAGAATCATTTGTTCTAAGCGGGGAAATGAATAGCAAGAAACGTCTTCGGTTTTTGCTAATTGGGGAAAAAACCCCTCTGTACAGATAGTCCTCGACTTAACGACCACAATTGAGCCCAAAATTTCGGTCGCTAATTGAGACAGTTGTTAACTGAATTTTGCCCTGTGTTATGAGCTTTCTTGCCACAGTCGTTAAGTTAGTAAGGTGGTTGTTAAGTGAATCTGGCTTTCCCCATTGCTTGTCAGAAGGTCGCAAAAGGTGATCACATGACCTTGGGGCATAGCGACTGTCATAAATATGAACCAGTTGTCAACCGTCTTGAGTTTTGATCACGTGACCATGGGAATGCTGCAACAGTCATAAGTGTGAGAAACTGTCATAAATCGCTCTTTTCTGTGCCGTTGTAACTTCAAACGGTCACAACAGAACTGTTATGTCAAGGACTGCCTTACAGTGTTCTTATTTCCACTGTTATGTGCCCTCCGCTTATTTTTGGCATGGTATTTCATAGACCGAGAGGCACCGTGGCATAGTGGTTAAGGTAATGGATTAGATACAGATACAGATTAACAGAGTTGGAAGGGACCTTGTAGGTCATCTAGTCCAACCCCCCGCCCAATTAGGGCCAAAGGAGATCCAAATTCTAATTGTCATTTATTTTTTTAAAAAGATAATTTTTATTGAGTATTTTGCATTTTAAAACCAAACACACAATAGCAAAAGAAATCAAGAGACAAAAACAAAAAACAAAAACACACGTACACCAGACGTTAAAATACAATATTAACAACAGATATATACAGTTTTACAACTTTCTGCATCGACTTTTGTCTTTACTCTTAGCTTTTATCCTCCTGCTCCTTCTCTTTATTTTTAAATATTGATAATTAACTGTTTTGTTAGCAGGATCATTATTTACATTTATATCCAGTATGTTAATATCTAATTTCACTTTATATTCTTATTTCTTAATTTGATTTCTGTTTTCCAACCATGTATAGAACCTATTCCACACTTTATAATTGTCTTTTAAGTATGGAAGATGCTCGGGTGAATTTTGCCCAGGCATTCTTCAGCCCTTAAACTGGGACGTTGAAAACATTTATCTACCAACTCAGAATATTAAGCGTGGTAGATTATGTTACGACAATCTTCCATGGTTTATAACCATAATCACCTTGCAGTGGATTGTTTTGGGATGATAAAAATTATATTAGAGAGACCAAGGATAGTGAGGTATGGAGAACCCTTCACAAATAGATCTTGACAGAAAGCAGTAGTACTTGTTTTACGCTTGCAAACGCTGGGCATACAAGCCTCTATCTACAAAATAATTTATCCTGTTGATGAATACAGAACAGCAAATGAACGCTAAAATTTGTGGCATGCCTTATTTGTCCGTGCAGAACTTCAGGTATTTTTGATTTTTAATCCCTGCTTTGTCTTTTCCAGGTTTCATTGCTTCACCGGTTTCAGAGTACGCTGGTAATTGCTGAACACGCCAACGAGGCCCTGACACCAATTACTTTGAACACCATTACTGCGGCAAAACGACTCGGGGGTGAAGTCTCCTGTTTAGTAGCAGGGACCAATTGTGAAAAGGTAAAAGAAAAAAAAAGTGTGCTTTTTTTTTTGGTGTCATTTATAACTTGCTGGTTAAAATGCTAATTAGTTTGGTGGGAGTTTTTTTCAAGCGCGAGTACAGAAATTTAAAACAATTCTAATGTTGGAGCTGTCTAAGATATCTCAGCAGGCCTGAAAGAATTGAGAATATCCTAGCTCAGGGGTCAGCAACCTGCGGCTCTGGAGCCACATGTGGCTCTTTCATCCCTCTGCTGTGGCTTCCTGTCACTCGAAATATGCATCACAGCCGCTAATGTGTCACACCCGCCAGCGGTAGGCCAACCATGGATAAATCCAAGAAAAGAAAAGTTTCAGTAGACAACAGAACGTTTAATTCAACTACATAGGCTAGTTTTGTGGCCGCTCAAGAAATAGTCAGGCACGAGAAGGGTTTTGTGGCTCCCGGTGTTTTCTTTTCTGTGGTGAAACGGGTCCAAATGGCTCTTCGAGTGTTTAAGGTTGCAGACCCCTGTCCTAGCTCTAAATATTTTTCAATCTTGGTAACTCCAACTCCCAGAATTCCCCAGCCATCATGGAATTCTGGGAGATGAAGTCCACATGTCTTAAAGTTGAGAAACTGCTCTTAATTACAGTTCTGCATCCCCCCCTATGTAATTATTTTCTCACAAACATTTAGGGCAGAGAGAAATGCATTCCTTAGACCAGTATTTCTCCACCTTGGCAACTCTTGAGATATATGGACTTCAATTCCCAGAATTCCCCAACTAGCATGACTGGCTGGCTGGGGAATTCTGGGAATTGAAGTCCACACATCTCAGAGCTGCCAAAGTTGACAAACACTGCCCTGTACCAATAATAATCTTAACATTCCAGATGTGTGGAGACAGCTAGGAATTCTGGGAATTGGGGGACACTGACCTCACGATCTGCTTCTCACAGGTGGCACAAGAGCTGAGCAAAGTACCGGGAGTTTCTAAAGTGCTTTTTGCCCAACACGATGCATATAAAGGACTTCTGGCTGGTGAGTCTTTTTTTCCCCAAGCGGATTGATTTTGTATTGAAATTCTTGGCAGACTTACCTTTGCCCCAGACCCTCCTTAAAAAGAAGAAAAAACTAACGTTGCTCTGACCGGTTGCATTTTCTCTCCAGAGGAACTGACGCCCCTGATTTTGGAAATTCAGAAAAAGCTCAGTTGCACGCACATCTGTGCCGGAGCATCTGCCTTTGGGAAGGTGAGATTTTAAATTGAGTTTTTAACCACCCAGGAATCTGTTGCTCCAAAGACATTGAACCATTTTATATACATATATAGGTAGTCCTCGACTTAACGACCGTAACTGGGCCTGGAAATTGCAGGTAATCCTCGGGTTGCGGCCACAATTGAGCCCAAAATTTATGTCGCTAACTGAAACATTTGCTAAGTGAGTTTTGCCCCCACGTTATGAATTTTCTTGTCACTGCTGTTAGGTTAGTCACGTGGTCGTTAAATGAATCTGGACTCCCCCATTGACTTTGCTTGTCAGCATGTTGCAAAAGGGGAGCACGTGACACCCCCCCCCGGGACACTGCAACCGTCATAAATATAAATCCATTGCCAATCATCTGACTTTTGATCATGTGACCACGGGGATGGTGCAAGGGTCGTCAGTGTGAGAAACGGCGCTAAGTCACTTTTTTCAGCTCCGTTGCGTCTTCGAAGGGTCACTAAATGAACTGTTGTAAGTCGAGGACTACCTGTACAGTTGCATGGCATGACAGTTGTAACCAGATCATTACGTTGACTGTTAAGTGGATCACTGCAGTTTTTTAAGGCAATCATGCGGTCATTAAACGAATCCGGCTTCCCCTGTTGACTTCGCTTGTCCGGCCAGTCATCCTAACTATAGAACCAGCTGGTAAATAAATGTTGATGGGTCCTTTAGAGTTTTAAATGGTGTTTAAGCAAGCAGTAGTAAGTTAAGGGCTGCTTGTAAATAGGACTCTGAATATTGGGGGCACTGCCAGAATATTGCATCCGTTTTCAATCCATCAACCTTGCCTTAATGGAGCTTGGGTCACCCAGAAGCCCTAAATATACTTCTTAAATGTATCTGTAATTTCCAGGGTGGGACGCGGTGGCTCAGTGGCTAAGATGCTGAGCTTGTCGATCGAAAGGTCGGCAGTTCAGCGGTCCGAATCCTTAGTGTCGCGTAACGGGGTGAGTTCCCGTGACTTGTCCCAGCTTCTGCCAACCTAGCAGTTCGAACGCACGTAAAAAATGCAAGGAGAAAAATAGGGACCACCTTTGGTGGGAAGGGAACAGTGTTCCGTGCGCCTTTGGCGTTGAGTCATGCCAGCCACATGACCACGGAGACGTCTTCGGACAGCGCTGGCTCTTCAACTTTGAAACGGAGATGAGCACCGCCCCCTAGAGTCAGGAACGACTAGCACCTATGTGCAAGGGGAACCTTTACCTTCACCTTTAATTTCCAGGGTAGAATTCCGAACTTCCACTTAGTTTTGTCTTGGGGTTGCTGAGCTGTTGTTGTGACCCCCAGTGTATTTTTAATATTTAGAACCTGCTTCCCAGAGTGGCAGCTAAGTTGGATGTCGCTCCCATCTCAGAGATCATCGAAATCAAGTCACCCGATACTTTTGTGAGGACTATTTATGCAGGTGAGGCTTTGCGGGCCTTTTCGGGGCTACCAGTGACCTACAGAAGCTCCCCCCCAAAAATAATAATAATAGGAAACTGTAGGATCTGGGGAACCAGAAATGATTTTTCCGACACAGCTGACGGGATCCTTCGAATGTCCTGTAGGATTGTAGCTCAGTGTTTCTGAGAAAGCGGAAAGCTTAATTAACCAAATCTGCAGACATTCCTGATACGCATTTATTTATTTTATTTTAGGAAATTTATATTGCGTTCTCGTTAATGCACTTCTGATCAGATTTTGCCAACCCTCAGCCATCCGGCTTCATCCCTCTTATTTCACGGGGGGGGGGGGGGTGCACATTAGTTTGGATTTCAGCCAATCTACGTAGGGTTATTTTTCTTGGTTAGCAGGACATTGATACAATTATTTGTAATATTTAATTGACTTCTCCCTAATTATTGTGCAGCCCAAATACTTGTCTAGCCTCATTATGTTTATCTGATCCCCTAATGTAATTTGGACATGGAAACATGAGCTTTTATGTCGTTTTAAATTTGTTATGGCAGTCTCTCTTTTTTTTCTCCTTTGGTCAATGCTGTCCTGCCTTGGAGATTGATGGATTGCATAGAGAAAGGCTTGAATCACTGTCTAATAATTTCCTTTTTAAAAATCATTATGCTGGTGTACCAGTGGATAATCTCTTCTTCTCCTCCTTTCCTCCCTCCTTCCCTCCCTCCTCGAGTTCCTCCCTCCTCCTCCTCACCTTTCTCCTCCTTTTCCTTCTCACCTTCCTCTTCTCTCCCTCTCCTCTTTCTCCTTCTTCTCTTCTTCCTCCTTTTCCTCCGCTTTCTCCCCCTCCTCCTCCTCTTTCTCCTTCTCCTCTTAGGGGACTGGAGGCTAAAACATATGAAGAATGGTTGCAGGAACTGGGCATGTCTAGTTTAATGAAAAGAAGGACTAGGGGTGACAGGATAGCAGTCTTCCAATATCTCAGGGCTGCCCCAAAGAAGAAGGAGTCAAGCTATTCTCCAAAGCACTAGAGGGCAGGACAAGAAGCAACGAGTGGAAACTAATCAAGGAGAGAAGCAACTGAGAACTAAGGAGAAATTTCCTGACAGTTGGAACAATCAACCAGTGGAACTACTTGCCTCCAGAAATTATGAATGCTCCAACACTGGAAGTTTTTAAGAAAATGTTGGATAACCATTTGTCTGAAGTGGTGTAGGGTTTCCTGCCTAAGCAGGGGGTTGGACTAGAAGACCTCCAAGGTCCTTCCCAACTCTGTTATTCTGTTCTATTCTGTTCTTCTTCTTCCTCCTCCTCCTTTCTTCTCCCCTTCCTTCCTTCCTTCCTTCCTTCCTTCCTTCCTTCCTTCCTTCCTCCCTCCCTCCCTCCCTCCCTCCCTCCCTCCCTCCCTCCTCCTGGATTTCTTTTTTCCCTCTTTTCTAAGTAGCTCATTTGCACTGTGCCTACATTTATATTTCTTTTGAAATATATTTCTTTTGAAAATATTTATTTTTTGGCCAAACGGGCCGAAAAAAGCCTCAAAAACAGCCCCCCAAAAGCCTTGAAAACGGCCTGAAAAAAGCCCCCAAAACAGGCCGAAAAAAGACTGGAAAAGGCCCCCAAAAAAGGTAGGCCAAAACCTTTTTTGGGTTGTTTTCTAAATGTAGGTGCGTCTTATATTCAGGTGTGTCTTCTAGTCTGAAAAATACGGTAGTTTCCTCTGAACAACAGACAAGGCTTGGTCTGGGTGCAGCTGCATTTAACTCTTTTTTTTCCCTGGGTTTTTGTTTGTGTCAGGCAATGCTCTGTGCACTGTGAAGTGTGATGAGAAAATCAAGGTCCTTTCTGTCCGAGGGACGTCCTTTGAGGCTGCCCCAACGAGTGGGGGCAGCGCAGCCATAGAAAAAAGTGAGTGGGGTGTGGGGTTTTTTTTGCCTTCTTTTGCTTCAAATGTCATTGGGTTAAAACATTTATTAAATACCGAAACTTGCTTTCTAATATACCATGTTTCCCCAAAAATAAGACTCTGTCTTATAATTTTTTGAACTCTGAAATAAGCGCTTGGCCTTATTGCCATGCACTCAAAAGCCCGATTGGGCTTATTATCAGGGGATGTCTTATTTTGGGGGAAACAGGGTAGTTACACATGTTTCTTGCACACCCCTCTCTTACATTTTCCGATTCTCAAAGTTCTTTAGAAGGTTTGATCTGTGCTCCTTTTCTGGGTTTAGAAAATCTAGGTGGATATTTTGTGGAAATGCAAGGCGTGTAGAATTCTTGGATGCCGCATCTTGCAATATGTAACTCGTTTTAGAAAGCTGCTAAGATTTAGTCTCAAACCTTCACCCTGCCAAGATGCTAAATATCCTAAATATCATGCTTGAAAATGGTAGAAAGCAGTTGGGGTAAACTACTTTTAATGGGTCCTTGGTGCTCTCTGAGCTTGGCTGTTTTCTTGGAGACATTTCATTACCCAACTAGGGAACATCATCAGTGCTTGAAGGGAATGTTTTACACTAGATTCAGATTTGTGATAATAAGTTTCTGTGGAGTGAAGTCCATCCTCCTATGAAATGAGTGCTAATCTGATTACGGCTCTTCTATTTATAATCCCGTTTAAAATGTGTTTTTAGAGAAGAGTATTTTGGCTTAGAAGTAATAGCTGGGGAATACCTTGGACTCTGCAGAAATATTCAGCCTCTCTTAAGTGTCAGGATTAATTTTTAATTACTGCCTTGTTAATATCCACAGTATCGGCCCCTGCACCTGTTGGCCAATCGGAATGGATTGAGCAGAAATTAACCAAAAGTGACCGGCCAGAGCTTACTAGTGCAAAAGTGGTTGTATCAGGTGGTGAGTAGTGATTAATCAAAGTTCATTCAAATTCAAAAGGGAGAATGTATACAGGTAATCCTTGCCTTACAGCCATCCCATATCGTGACCGTTCAAATTTACAATGGCGCCGATAAAATTGACTTACGACCCCATGGTTACCTGGTCAAAATTTGGACGCTTGGCACCTGACTCATATTTATGACAGGTCCTTTTGTGATCTTCCGACAAAGTCAAAGGGAGAAATCAGATTCACATAACAGCCAGGATACTAACTTAACTGCAGTGGTTCATTTAACGACTGTGGCAAGAAAGGTCGTAAAATGGGGTGCAAAACTCACTTAACAGCTGTCTCGTTTAGCAACAGAAATGGTCGCAAGTCAAAGACTACCTGCATTTTAAAGAAGTGTATACCCGAGGAAAGTGTTTCTCAACCTTGGTAGCTTGAAGATGGGTGGACTTCAACTCCCAGAATCCCCCAGCCAGCGCTGCTGGCTGGGGGATTCTGGGAGTTGAAGTCCACCCATCTTCAAGCTTCCAAAGTTGAGAAACACTGCCTTAATAGTTCTAACTTAGAAGCTTCCAGCCAGAGGTAAAGGGAGAAACTCCTTCTGCACAGTCTACCAAGATGTATGTGACATTAATCACCGTAAATACCAACCTTTGGACTTAACAATTGGTGTAGGACTCCCAATAAAAGTCTTAATTTCCAAACTCATCCGCACTTCATTGGTCACAGTGGGCAGATAATTCTGTAAGGCTGAATCTCACTCGGTCTCTCTACCTTAAAAGAAAGCAAGCGGTGAAATGTTTCTTGACGTTTTGCCAAGTTTTAAGTCCTGTTGATTTTGTGGTGCACGGATCAGGAAATAAACCCGTTAATCTCAAAGCAAGACTTGCTTTATGAATATAACCACAGCAAAACGGCCATCTGAATTCTTCCTGTTCCTTTGCTGGGAGTGCATGGAGGAATTAATTTGGCAGAAGAAACCAGAATACAGAATGCAGGAGTTGAAAGGTGCTTGGAGATCATCTAGTCCTACCCCGTGGTCTAATGCAAAAAACCCACCACTCACACAGGGTGGATTTGATTTAAATCGAGTTGATTTAAATCATGATTTAAATCACTAGTAAAAAGGCTTGATTTAAATCAACTCGATTTAAATCATAATTTTTAAAGAGCCACTGTCATCTCTGCTACTTCTTTGACCCGCTGTTCACTCACCGATAGTCCCAGTGTTGCAGAATATACAGCCTCCTGCTACATAACTAAGCTCCATTTCATGCTGAATAAACTAAGTTATTTATGTATCTTAAATAGAAAACTATCTTATGATAGATTTTTACCCCAAAAGTTTTTTATTAAAATAAATTCGATAAAAATCAAAAAAATCTGATTTAAATTTAAAAAATCTGATTTTTTTGATTTTTTTAAAAAAAATCATTGATTTTTATCCACCCTGCTCAGATCCCTGAGTAATAGCCATCCCTGCCTTTTTTTAAAAAAAACAAAATCTCCAGTAAAAGAGAGTTCGCCAGCCCCCAAAAGAGAATCTGTTTGACACCGTTTGGACTTTTAATTTGGACAGATTTAATTTTCTTATTTTTCAGGGCGAGGCTTGAAGAGCGGCGATAACTTTAAGCTGTTGTACGACCTGGCTGATCAGTTGCACGCCGCAGGTAAAAGAAAAGTGTTTTTAGTTTTGATTCTTTAAACAATTCATATTCTATTATTGGTGGTTTTGAAGTGGGAAGGTTGGTTCAAGGTTGGCCAATTGATACGTGAGGGATCGGTTGGCTTGGGATGCTACTTTCTCTGTGGGGTCCTTGGTCCTCTCTCTCTCTCTCTCTGAGCTTGGTTGTTGGCTTGTAGACGTTTCACGACCCAGCTAGGTAACGTCATCAGTGCTCTGATGGTGATGGCGATCATCATACACGGATGGTATGACTGGTCACAAAAAGTCTGTATCAAGAATCAAGCTCAGAGGGCACCACCGTTCAACTCTTGAGCTTCAAATATTCTTTCCCTGGTCTTTTAAGGCCCTTTATTTTTATTTATTTATTTATTTATTTATTTGTTCCTATTTCTATACCGCCCGTCTCCAAATAGGACTCAGGGCGGTGAACAGCCAAAGTAAAAAACAAGACATACAAAATTTAAAAGCAGTTTAAAATAATTAAATATTTTGGCTGTGAATTAAAACAACCCAATTTAAAATCAATTTAAAATTTAACTCAAGCCAGCCCAGCTAGTTGAAATAAATGGGTTTTCAGGGCCCGACGAAAAATCCGGAGGTCTGTTATTGTACGTATCTCTGGAGGGAGGTTGTTCCAGAGGGTGGGCGCCGCCACAGAGAAGGCTCTCCCCCTGGGAGTCGCCAGCCGACATTGTCTGGCGGACGGCACCCTGAGGAGGCCTACTCTGTGCGAGCGTACTGGCCGGTGGGAGGCTATTGGTGGTAGAAGGCGGTCTCGTAAGTACCCCGGCCCTAAGCCATTTAGAACAGGGGTCTCCAACCTTGGCAACTTTTAAGACTTGTGGACTCCCAGAATTCCTCAAATTTACAATGGCACTGATAAAATTGACTTGCGACCCCATGGTTACGTGGTCAAAATTTGGACGCTTGGCACCTGACTCAGATTTATGACGGTTGCAATGTCCCAAGGTCCTGTGATCCCCTTTTGCGACCTTCCAACAAACAAAGTCAAAATGGGAAACCAGATTCACTTAACAACCAGGTTACTAACTTAACTACAGTGGTTCATTTAACGACGGAGGCAAGAAAGGTCGTAAAATGGGGTGCAAAACTCACTTAACAACTGCCTCGTTTAGCAACTCCCAGAAATTCTGGGAGTTGAAGTCCACAAGTCTTAAAGTTGCCAAGGTTGGAGACCCCTGCTTTAGAATATTATCAGTCCTGTCAATCCAGGTCAGGGACGGGATCTAGAAATGGAAATTGGCCAAATTAAGGAATCTTAACCTCAGGGAAGGGATTGGGACCAAGCACTGAACGATCTTCCTTGCTTGTAGTTGGTGCTTCTCGAGCAGCGGTGGATGCCGGCTTTGTCCCCAACGACATGCAAGTTGGACAGACGGGCAAAATCGTAGCGCCGGTAAGTTTCGGAAACCAAAGTGGTTGGAACGTCTTCGCATCTCCTTCCTATGGCTATTTGCGATTGTCAGTTGCCTGAAGTTGAGTGGATCTTCATTTTGAATATTGTTGGAGAGGAGCTGTGCTTGTTAAATCTGTTCAGAATGGATCACCTTGCCTTCCGGGCTCAGTTTTTGCTGGTTGTATTAGGGTGTCTCTGCTTTGATGATTGTTTATACCAGTATTTTTCATCGTTAAGAGGAGGGGGCTTTAACTCCCAGAATTCCCCAGGCAGCAGGTGTGAATTTGGGGAGCTGCAGTCCATCCATCTTGGCTGGAGGTTTGTGGGGGTTGGAATCCTCAAATCTTAAAAGTCTTGCAGTCTTCTAGTATTTGAGGGGCTGCCTCAAAGAAGGGGGGGGGGGTTCAACTTATTTTCCAAAGTACCGGAAGGCAAGATAAGAAAAAATGGATGGAAACCGATCAAGGAGAGAAACAACCTGGAATTGAGGAGAAACTTCCTAACAGTGAGGACAATTAACCAGTGGAACAGCTTGCCACCAGAAGTTGTGAATGCTCCAACACTGGAGGTTTTTAAGAAGAGACTGGACAGCCACTTGTCTGAAATGGTATAGGTTCTCCTACTTGAGCAGGGGGCTGGACTAGAAGACCTCCAAGGTCCCTTAAATCTCTATCCTGATCCTTCTAGCGGTGTCCAACCTTGGCAATTTTTAAGACCCGTGGACTTAAACTTCATGGCTGGCCGGGGAATTCTTGAGCGTTGACGTCCACTTATCTCAAAAGTTGCCAAGTTTGAGAAAGATGCCCTGGGGGAGGGGGAAAATATTCTTCAGAACAGGACATTCAGATCTAAACAACATCACTTCGTTTGTTGACTTGAGGAGAGCCGCGAAAGAAAAACACCCAATTCAACAGGGATATGCTGTCCGGAAGGCTTTTACTATAGATGTTAAAGCTTAAGGGTGGATTCGGCGCCAGGAAAATAAGTGAGCCTCGGTTTACAATTTTGTGTTGGCATTACGATCATCGGGGAACCGGGATTGCTTTATGGATCCGTCTTCTGTTTAGGGAACTGCCACAAGTGGCTTAGCTTTTCTTCCCCCAGGTTATGAGCTGGCCAAGAAATCAGCGGAGATTGAAGGGGGAGAATGGCCTTATTCATAGCCATATCATCCCGAAGGTTGCTGGTGTGTTTGTGTGGTGTCAGAGGTGTTATGTGAGTTGCATCATTCCTACAGGTAGTCCTCAACTCAATGGCCACAATTGAGCCCAGGGTTTCTGCTTTTAAATGAGACATACTGAGTTTTGTCCCGTTTTACGACCTTTCTCGCCACCGTTGTTAAGTGAATCACTGCAGCTGATAAAACGTCTACGGAGATCCTCAGTCACATCCAGGCCGTGGTTGTCCCAAAGGCAACTGGACTTTTCTGGTTTTTTCTTCGAAGACGTTTTCGTTTCTCCTCCGAGGAGCTCCCTCAGCTCTGAGCTGCAGTTGATAAGTTAATCACCCGGTTGTTAAGTGAATCTGGCTTCACTTTGACTTTGCTTGTCAGAAGGTCGCAAAAGGGGATCATGTGGCCATCATAAATACGAACCAGTTGCCAAGCATCTGAATTTTCATCACACGAGCATGGGGATTCTGCAAAGGTTGTAACTCTGAAAAACAGTCGTCAGTTGCTTTTTCACTTAACGACTGTGCCAAAGGTTGTACAATGGGGCAAAATTAACTGTCTCACTTAGCAACAGCAATGTCGAGTTCAATTGTGATCGTAAGTGGAGGATTACTCTTTAGTACTTTCAATTCCTGCACAGGCATGGAAGCTTCTCTGGGTCCTTCCAACTCTATGATTCCTATGAAGTGAAAACAGTAACAACTGGGGATGTGTGTTTGTGTGTAACATAGTGTTGTGGCCCACCAGCTGCCAGTGGAGCTGGCTGCAGACTCGGACGATGAGGAGGCTGGGGAAGAACGGGGGCCAGTTCTGGAGCCTGGGGAAGGCTCTGATGGATGCTCAGAGTCAGACAAAGAGATAGAGCCAGGGCCGCCCGGCATTTCCCAGCCAGAGAGGCAGCTACCTTTGGAGTCAGAGATGAGTGAGGAGGAGGAACAGCTGGGGCCTGTTCCAGATGCACGTATAAGCAAAGCAGATAGGAGAGGTGAACAACGGAGGACAAGGAGTCGACTTGGGAAGCAAAACAAATGTGGATGCTGAATGTCCCCTCCCTGGCTGGGGAATAAATAGGAAGAAAGGGGAGTGGTGGTCGTAGCAGACAACCGTTCGTATTTCTGGAGATTTTGCTCATTGTGTTTCGTGTGACAAAGACTGCCTTGCCAGAACGGAGGTTTGTCTATTTGAAGTGACTTAATTTGCAGCCCTTCCGGGCCTTGCAATGATCAGTAACAAGCTGATAAGGCCTATTGCTTCAGTTGACTCCTTGCAAGACCCTTGTCTGGACTTTCTGTTGGCGAATGCAGTTCATTCACAAGGTGTAAATAAAGAGGGTTTTTTTTCTTTGCGAGGAGTTCTGTTTCTTGCTTCTGCGAAGGCCGGGCCGGGTCAGAACACATTCGGGCTCTGTTGCCCCCTCCCCCAGCTCAGTGGAGATTGAACCAGGGTCACTTGGGGTCACTTGGGGGTGAGAATTGCAACAGCCGGCTGGAAGCGTTGACCCTACCTGAGTCAAGGACTTACTTGCAAAACCCCATTAGTTGCATTGATGGTTAGCAACGAAGCAGTGACTGTAAGCCAGATGTTTCTGCTCTACTTGCGTTGAGCGCCAAGGAGTTTTGCCGAGAGGCCCATTTCCTAATGTTGGTTTGAACTCCGCTGGAAGCTGGCTTGCACTCTCGATGCCCATCGGAACGCTCTCCCGATGGGGTCTATGTAGATCACTTCCAGGTCATTTGGATATTCAGTGGCTGCACTTAAAATGCTTTCCGAGTTCAGCCGGTGAAGAAAGGATGTGTGTTCTGTCTTCTTTCCATCTGGATTTTTCTGCTAGGTGACTTTCAGTATCAGTCAGAAGGGACCTTGGAGGTCTTCTAGTCCAACCTCTGGAGCCGCATGTGGCTCTTTCACCCCTTGGCTGCGTGCAGCTCCCTGTCCCTCAAAACATGCGTCACAACTGCCAATGTGGGACACCTGCTGGCATGCGATTTATTGAGCTTTTCAAACCCTGGTAGGCCAACCATGGATAAATCCAAGAAAAGAAAAGTTTCAGAAGAAAACAGAACGTTTAATTCAACTACATATGCTAGTTTTGTGGCCGCTCAAGAAATAGGCACGGGAAGGGTTTTGTGGCTCCCGGTGTTTTCTTTTCTGCGGGAAAGGGGTCCAAATGGCTGCAGACTCCTACCCTGTACCATTCCAGAGGCTGTCCAGTCTCTTCTTGAAAGCCTCCAGTGATGGAGCACTCACAATGTCTGGTGGCAAGCTGTTCCACTGGCTAATTGTCCTCACTGTCAGGAAGTTTCTCCTTAATTCCAGGTTGCTTCTCTCTCCTCGATTAGTTTCCATCCATTGTTTCTTCTCCTGCCTTCAAGTGTTTTGGAGAATAGGTTGACCCCCTCTTCTTTGTGGCAGCCCCTCAAATATTGGAAGACTGCTATCATGTCTCCCCTGGTCCTTCTTTTCTCTAGACTGGCCAAACCCAATTTCTGCAACCGTTCTTCATATGTTTTTGTCTCCAGGCCTTCAATCATCTTAGTTGTTGTTCTTTTGTCTTTAAAAAAAAATATCAGACTTTAGATAAAATAAACTGTTTGCTTTAAAAATTAGTCAACATCGTTATAAAGACTTCTTTCTAATTCAACTTTTTTGTTGTTGCATATTTTCTTATTTTGCATCCACGTTTTTGTACCCCGTACTTAAGAAATGCAAACCTGTGTTTTGAGTTGTGCATTAGGAAACTGATAACGTGGAGACCAACTTCACACTTTTAATAACATGCATTCCTGGAAGATTTTTGCACTAACATTTCTGCAACGATGAAGATCGCTTCAGGCTTCTTCTATTTCACCCAGCCCTAACTTTTAAAACCTACAGTGCATCTCACTGTATCAGGTTATTCTTATCACCAGACTACCACTGGTAAACCGGTACTGTTGTGGCTGATTAAAATTTGGGGAGGGGGGATTTGCTTTCGATTAAGAAATTGTTTATGCCTTTTGAAAGCTTTCAAGGTACAACTTCAAAGCGTTGTTTGCCCGTATCCAGGACAAAAAAATGTTTAGGCTCTTTCCCCGCCCTGTGAATTTAAGTTTTAAGGCTGACAGCCTTGTTCGGGCTGCATTATCCAACACGGCTTTTAAGTCCGAGAGTTCTCAAATTGATGCTCTGCTCCTTGGGGATTGGTGCAGAAACATTAAATTGTACTAAAATATTCATATGAGAGTGCATTTAGCTGAAAGCAATTGATGTGCGTCTCCCAGGAGAACAAAGCAAAAAAAAAAAAAAGAAAAGAAAAAAGAACCCAACTTAAAATTGCAGGGCCCTGCACTCAAGCGAACACCCCAAGCAAGCTTCTTAAGAGTCATCACGTGTACCAGCTGATCAAAGGCCCTGTAAGTTCTTAAAGTGAAAAAGCATTAGAGAGGGATGAAAATGCTTGACCTAGCGTGGGTGTCAGCAACCTGCAGCTCTGGAGCTGCATGCGGCTCTTTGGGCCCTCTGCTGTGGCTCCCTCTTGGGTGATCCCATCACTGGCTAGCCTCACCCTCCCCTCCCAGTTACTCTTCGCCTGGCCTGAGAAGGTAAGGGCGACGGTGGGGGATGGAGAAGTGGCCAGGGCAGAGACAGAGAGATACAGAGAGAGAGGGAGAGAGAGAGACAGAGAGAGATATAGAGAGATACAGAGGGGGGGAGGGAGGGAGGGGAGAGAGAGAGATGTCAAAAGGGTTTTGTGGTTCCCGTTGTTTTTTAACAACCGGTTCTCTGCCCTAATGACTGGCTGGGTAGGCGTGGCTAGGGGTTGGTGGTCATGTGACTGGTGGGAGTGAGTGACATCAAGTTGGCCACGCCCATCCAGATTTTGTGGCTCCCGGTGTTTTCTTTTCTGTGGGGAACGAGTCCAAATGGCTCTTTGAGTGTTTAAGGTTGCATACTCCTTAGGAACATGAAATTATTCTGTGGCTGGGATTGGAACCGTTTCTCCCGGTACGGCAGGATCACGTGAAAAGTGATCCTGCCGTATCAAAAATAGAAGAGAGTATTTGGAGGTCAGGGTTGAAGTGTGGGGTCCTTAGTGGTCTCTGAGCTTGGTTGCCTTCTTGCAGAAGTTTCCTTACCCAAGGAGGTAACATCGCCAGTGCTTAGAAGGGAGTGGGGTTTGCGGAGTGGAGGAGGAGGACAATTGTGGGGATTTGGGTGCTTTCTGAGCTTCGTCGTTTGCTTGCAGACGTTTCATAACCCAGCTAAGTAACCTCATCAGTGCTGGTGAGAGTGGTGGTTTGGGGTTTGCTCCCTGTTAATTACCTAGCATAGAGATACAGTAATAAATCACATTCAAAAGAGACAAAAAAATAAAAATAAAAACACAACCCATAAACAAAAAGACCAGAACACATCCCCTCCAGCAGCCTACACCCAGATAAGCAGGGATTAACACCAGACAAACAATGAAGCAGAAAACAATCCCCAAATCAAGAAACTACCAAGGAGAAACCCACACTTCCCCCAACAATGGCAGGGCACATTATGTATATAAGCAGGAAGCAAACCCCTCATTCATCACACTGATATTGTTACCTGGTTGGGTAATAAAATGTCTGCATGCAAACCACCAAACTCAGAGCACCAAGGACCCCACAGTGTTGAAAAAGAGGAAGAAAAAAATTACAGCTAAATTGCTTTTAATGAAGGCGGTATGATTTTCTGTATGGAAACCTGAGCTTTTTCCATCTCTCCCTCCCCACTCCTGTTACATCTGCCTGCAAAATCTGTTCTGATTTGGTTTGTATCCAGATCAGAGAGACGTTATTTTGATTCGGGAACAAATCACCCCAAACCAGCTGTTCCGGGCAAACAACAGCTGGTGCCCAGGCCACTTTGCAAACCCTGTTTGGAAGCCGTCCTACTACGCACGAGGGAATCAGTCCCGTGGAAGCCAGCAGAGTTTCTTCATGCAGGATTGTGGCGAAAGCTTCCAGCGAAGAAATGCGTTGCTGTGTTGTTTCATGACTTCGCTAAATCTGGAAATGAACGATGCCTCTTTGGGTGTTACTAGTTTGAGCAGCTATGTTAAATATGATATTAATACACGTTTTAATGACGGTCACATTTGACGGAAAACGAACCCTAAAACTACTGCATGCATCACATAGCTCAGGGCAGTGATGAAATCCAAATTTTTTTTACTACCGGTTCTGTGGCCGTGACTTGGTGGGCGTGGCAGGGGAAGGATATTGCAAAATCCCCATTCCCACCCCACTCGGAGGCCAGCCAGAGGTGGTATTTGCCGGTTCTCCAAACTACTCAAAATTTCCGCTACCGGTTCTCCGGAACCTGTCAGAACCTGATGGATTTCACCCGTGGGTCAGGGGTGTCAAACTCGATTTCATTGAGGGCCGCATCAGGGTTGTGTTTGACCTCGGAGGGGGGCGTGGCTAAAGTGGGCATGGCCAGCTCTACATTACTCATGTCAGGGGCGCCTGTGGAGGCCCACAGTGCCCCTGCTGGCGAAAACGGGCTCTCAATCTCCGTTTTCGGCTGGGACGGCCTCCGGCAACCACACACAGCCCTCCTGAGCTCCGTTTTCACTGGCAGAGGGTTGCAGGAGGCTGTCCCAGCCGAAAACGGAGATCGGGAGCCCGTTTATGCTGGCAGAGGTACCACGGACCGGTCCTTCACTGTTTCCGGGGTGGCCCCATGGGCCAGTTCTAAGCACCCCGCAGGCCGGATCCGGCCCCTGGGCCTTGACACCTCTGACATAGGTGGATAGGCAACCTAGCTTCTTCCCAATGCTGTCCCTGAAATCGGAGGTAGCTCACCTAATGCAAGTAGTCCTTGAGTTACAACAGTTCATTTACCAACCGTTCAAAATTACAATTGCATTGAAAAAAGGGACTTACGACCATTGCAGCATCCCCAAAGTCACGTGATCAAAATTCAGTCAGCTTGGCAACTGACTCATATTTATGATGGCTGCCTTGTCCCGAGGTCACGCGATCCCCTTTTGCGACCTCCTGATCAGCAAAGGCAACGGGGAAGCCAGATTCGCTTAGCAACCATGTTACTAACTTATCAACTGCAGTGATTCACTCAACAACTGTGGCAGGAAAGGTCCTTAAATGGAGCAAAATTCACTTGACGAGTGTCTCACTTAACAACATAAATTTTGGGCTCAATTGTGGTCGTAGGACGAGGATTACCCATACTTCTGCAGAATTTGCAGAATCTTTTGTCAGCTTAAAGGTTTTTAAAATATTGTATTCTTCTTTTTCTTTTCCGTGCAGGAATTATATATTGCTGTAGGAATATCCGGAGCCATTCAGCATTTGGCTGGAATGAAAGACAGTAAGGTACAGTACAAAACTTTTGTGTGTTGCTACGAGGAGTGGATGGGTTCTGCTTTCCAAATTGTTTTTTGTTGTTGTTCCTGACAATACAAAATCTAAAGGACCCCAGTTGAATTCTATTCCGAAAATAAATTAGTTACAAATAACTCACATAACGTTCCAGCAGTTCACAGGAGAACGTTATTAATAGAGCCGATCCTTTAAACCTTTTGACTGCCAAATCTGGAAACTTGAGTGAGAAACGAACTTGAGTTTTTAATGTGAAAATAAAATTAGGATCCGTAGCCCCGATGCATTTTCCTGTATTTCAGACGGTGAGGCATGAATTCATGCATGACAATGTACAACCTGAATTATGGATTTACTATTGCGCGGAGAAAAAAGGCGTCTTTGAATATTCCACAATTTATCCACTCAGATGGAAACCTAATATAAAATGATAAAAGCTTTAAAAACTTAACTCGTTAGTACCCGTGCTTAACCCGTCTTGGATTCTTATCCAACCTGACCTGTGATGCCAAGGAAAAACTCTATACTGTTTTTTAAAAAATATTTCTCGCCTTTTTAGGCAGCAATTTCAAAAGGTTATCCTCTCCCACCCACCCCCATTTCTCTTGAAGCTGTATACAAGTGTATAAAACTATAAAGGACTTACGTGTTCATCTAAAATATTCTTTTTTCCACACTGCTTTTTCTCTTTGAAATAATAAAATCAGATTCGTCCCCTCCACTTTCTTGCAGAAATATTTTTAAGGAGCTCCGAATCAGTGCAACAGAATGCTTATTACAATATCCCATGTTTGCTTTTAAATGTAAATTTTTAAATGTAAATTTTAATTTGTTTTAAATTATGGGGTATTTTAAATTCAGCCAAATTATTTAATTCGTTTTAATTCATTTTAAATTTTTGTATTTATGTGTTTTATCTCGTGGCTGTTCACCACCCTGAGTCCTTCGGGAGAAGGGCGATATAGAAATTTAATAAAATAAATAAAATAAAAAATAGCAATATTTATGCAGCAAACTAGTGCTAATTCAGGGCACATTTTAACATAACCCTTGAAGGAGATCATTTAGTAACATTCAAGTGCATTTTACTTGTGGATTGCTCCTAAAGCAAGATGTCTTGTCCAGGGAATCTGACCGTGGAAATGTTTTTAAGGATAAGGTCTTAACGTTTATCTGAGATTAAACATCACTTGATCGTAGTAAAATCTGCTTCTGGGTTGCCTTGAAAATTGATCCTGTTCTAAAATCGAAGAATAAAAAGATCTGAAATTCATACCCTCCCTTCTCTCTAAGTGACGTTAGCTAAAAGCTACCCATATATTTTATGAAATTGTAAAAGTGGAATGAACATTTTAATGTTAGGTGCTGAAATGGTAACTATTTTAGTTTGATGGAGAGGGGTGATTTAGATTAAGCCGCATGCACTTAAAAAGTAATAAGTGATCCAGAATTGGCGTGATAATGGTAATAAAGGAATGGCCCCTGGTGTTAAAAATTCCAGACCAAAATGGAGGCACTTGTATCGATAATGATAAATTGATGAGTGTCAGTAAAGTTGAGCCATTTCAAGGTGTATGAAGCGATTCTATTAATTCCCATCTATTTTAGATTTTGCAAGAGAGTTCAGGTTACAGGAGAACACTTTTTGTTTTTACTAAACTTTCACTCCCTGTCTTCAGAAGTGAACAGGAAAATCTGTTTGGCTTGATTTGATTTGGGCTAGGACAGGGGTCAGCAACCTGCGGCTCTGGAGCCGCATGTGGCTTTTTCACCCCTCGGCTGCGGCTCCCTGTCCCTCAAAATATGCGTCACAACCGCCAATGTGGGACACCCGCCTTTACTCAAACAAATAATATTTATTTAAAAGGGTTTTAAAGGAACTCTCTGTAATCACATTAACTGTCTCTTCAGTGGCTTTTCCCTCACGCTAAGAAATATCAGCCATTATGAGTAATTGTGTAGGGAATCCCCTTGAGCGTTCTGCAACTAAAATGTATTATTTACTTCACTTACAACAGTAGAAAATGGGTTTAGTAGAGGGTGGGGTCCCTCCCCCGCTGCCCCTCCCTTCCTCGCTTTATGGATGCTAGGCTAAGTAGACCATGATTTCATCCAGTGGAGTGAAGGTGGCTGACAATGCTGGTCAATCTTAGCAACTTTTAAGAGGGATGGACTTCAATTCCCAGAATTCCCCCAGCCAGCATGAGGAATTCTGGGAACTGAAGGCCACTTCTGTTAAAGTTGCCAAGTTTGGCAAAAACTGGTAGCTCCCAGTTTGCAATCTTTGCAGCCCCTGAGTAGAATTACTCATTGCAACCAATTTCTAAGCCAGGGATAGCTAATCTTTTTGTTGTCGCGTGCCGAAAGCGTGGGTGTGCGTGCCGGCACCCATAATGCAATGTGCGCCCCACCCGTACATGCGGGCGTGACCTTCACGCACTCCCCCACGCATGCGCATTCGAACCCCCCCCCGTACCCCATTTTGGGCCTAGCAGGCCTTCCTGCAGCATCCTGGGACAAAAAAACGGGCTACGGGGGGCGTGCCCCCCACTTCCCCACCCCATGCATGTGCGCGCGACTCCCACGGATGCATGTGCGTCTCCCGCATGAGCCCCACCCTGTGCGCACATGCGCAGCAGAGACCTGAAAATCAGCTAGCCTGCGGGAGGCGCATGTGCAGTGGAGCTGAGCTGGGGCGATGGCTTGCATGCCCACAGAGAGGGCTCTGTGTATGTGCCACCTGTGGCACGTATGCCATAGGTTCGCCATCACAATTCTAAGCTTTTAGCTCCTTAGACTGTAAGTTGGGAAGACCCCAGAAAATTGTATTTATTACTGTTAAGTGGAGCACTTTGCATTTTTTGGGGGGGATGCTTGCAATATATCCCACTGGGATAAAAGTGAAAAGGCAAGATGAGTCTACTTATGCAGAGATTTTTGCTTTGAGGTCTCTTCCTGGGTTGCAGAGAAGATGGCACACAAGCCGGAACTTTTGACATTTGTCTGTGTAGGAATTTCTGAGAAAAGTTTTTCCATTCACTTCCTTTTTGAACTTCGGCTTTATGAACAATGGAAGAAAACTCATTTTGGAAAAGCTGTTGGGTTTAGGCCAATAGCAGCAAAGCCATGCAGAATCCTGCACCGTCTATAACAGAGGTCTTCAAACTTCAAACCGCTTTAAGACTTGTGGACTTCAACTCCCAGAATTCTCCAGCCAGCTATGCTCTGCTATGCTGGCTGGAGAATTCTGGAAGTTGAAGTCCACAAGTCTTAAAGAGGCCAAGTTTGAAGACCTCTGGTCTATAGACTACCCTGTAAATAACCAGGTGTCTCTAAATAGCCCCATTTCATTCTCTCACAGACCATCGTTGCCATCAACAAAGACCCTGAAGCTCCCATATTCCAAGTTGCAGACTATGGTATCGTAGCTGACCTGTTCAAGGTGAGTCTTGCTTCCAGGGGAATCAGCCCAAAGACATTCCTCTTCTTGAGGCCAGGGGTGGGAGTTGAATTAGACTTCGAACAGGACGTTTAGTCCTCCTTGTTCTGCATGGAAGTTCTCACTTCTGTCTAGGGCAGAGGTCTTCAAACTTGGCAGCTTTAAGACTTGTGGACTTCAACTCCCAGAATTCTCCGAGAATTCTGGGAGTTGAAGTCCACAAGTCTTAAAACGCCCAAGTTTGAAGACTCTGGTCTAGGGTGATAGCAGTGGGTATCCTGACCCTTAATATTTCAAGCCACGGAAAGCTTTTATCCACCAAACGTATCAGCTCTTGACCTCCAATTTTGATAGCAACCATGCGTGAAAATGCCACAATTGACTTCTGATGAACCCAATAATCTATTGCCCCGTAGACTATATTCTTTTTTTCAAGAATATGAAGATGTGTCTTGGTACCAATGCAAGAGACCAAGTTGGGTGAAATTGCTATAAAACACGATCGTTGGAGACTTGGAAAAGGTTTTACCCAGCGTCTCTGCCAACATTTAGGGGATCTGTTGATCGTTATTATTAGGCGGTATATCACCTGTTGAAAGCAGGTAACAGAATTCCATTTTTAAGGTGCGCCAGTGTGCTCACAGTAAAAAAAATGACAATAAAGGCTATCTTATCTCATCATTTTTTTTTTTAAGACCGACCTGCAAGGAAGCAAGAAACTATGTGTTCTTATACCAAGTTATTGTGGGGTCCTCGGTGCTTTCTGAGCTTGGCTGTTTTTTTTGCAGACGTTTCATTACCTAATTAGGGAACATCATCAATGCATCACACCGTCAAGATGGCAGCCACAATGATGTGAAGGCCACTCCCCCCAATTCCATGCAACACGCATAAAAAGTTGCAGGAGCTTTCGATGTACCATTGCGGCCGCCATCTTGCTTTTCCCTCCCCTCCCCCAATTATGCCCCGTGGACATTCCCGCAAGGCGAGAAGACGGTCCGAACTCTGCCAGCAGTTAATGCTGTTCCTCGGTGATCGCTTGGCAGTAAACACCGGCCTTTTAATAAGCTGGAGACAAAGCGACATTCGGAAGAAACACGATGTAGACAATTTCCTTAATAAATTTTGTACGACCACATTATTTCCACTTAATGGAAATGTAGCTCTCTTAAATAATTGAGAGGCTATATTCATCAGATGGTGAGTTCAGCTGGGATCTCTCCAAGCGAAGGCATCCTTACAGCGTCTGGAAAGGTAAAGGTAATGGATATTTTACACAAGGAGTTTGCGCAAATGTTCAGGTATAACTGGTAAGGAATATGCCACCTGTTCTCATCCTCTGACGCTCTTTCGATGTCTACAAGGAATCACCTAAGCTGCCCGGGTATTTAGCCTTGGCAGTTCTATCATCAGGAGCCATTCCTTGGCACCAATTTCCACAAATAGTGGCTTTTTTTTTTTCTTCTTTCAGTTGACTGCTTCCAAAAGTTAAAATCTTTTGTCTATAATAGCTTCCTGTGGTCCGAACAATAAACTCGGAAACTGAAATACATCAGTAGTTTAGTTGATTGGCAGTCCAGGTTTACACATTTTGTACATTTTGCCAGTATGTTTTTTTTTTAAAAAAGTGAATTCAAATATTTAGTTGCTTCCAGCGTGGATGAATAAACATCTCTTTTACATTGATTAAAAGTTGGATAAACGTCTGTTGCCCGTTGTTATTCGGCTGATGTTAAGCTTTGTTGTTTTATGTTGCTTCCAGGTGGTTCCCGAAATGACAGCAGCATTAAAAAAATGAAAGCTATTCCACGTTAGGGAAGGAAGGAGTATTTCTTCACACAAAGAGGAATTGTTTTTAAGCAGTTTAAATTATGTTTTATCAAACTAGAAATGTTAAAATTGCCAAAACCAAAATTGCCAATGACGATCTTGCAATACATCCATTTTTGCCCTTTTCATTTCCATTTGGCTTCGTTATTTCCCGAACTCTTTTTTCTAATTCTCTAATAAACACACATCCGCTGTATTTTGTATTATATCAGGCTGTGGAAATTCCTTATATTATTCTACAGGGGTGGTCATTAAAGAGTTGGTATTGACTTAATAACAGAGTAAGAGTTGGAAGGAATCTTGGAGGTCTTCTAATCCAACGCCTTGCTGAGGCAGAAAATCCTTTACAAATTCCATTCATTTTGGGCTAAGCTGCTTGAGAGCGCTAAGAGTTATCACCTGATGAAAAAACACTAGGTGGGATGTGTTGTTGTGTATTTTAATGTGGCCATTGGAGCAATCCATGAAATGCAACAATTTTTCCAATTTTCTTTGGCTATCCAGCATCTTGCCTCAAGCTTTTAATAGCTGAAAAGCTTGGTATTAATGCTGGCACCTTCTCCAGTTCCTAGAGTCAGTTGCATCCTCTTTAATACTTCTAGTAGTTACCGTAGCTATATTTAACAGGCCTATGGATCTCTTTGGAGCACCTGAGGTATACAGAGGTAAGTGTCATTTTGATTTTTTTTTTTCCTTCAATGCTTGGTCATTGGCGTTTCAGTTTAACTTCTGCTTTTATCAGCTGCTCTATTATAACCTACATCTTTTAAAAGCTAGTCCACTATTGGTAAAGCTAGTGCCTGGGACTTGTGACTTCCTCCTTAGTAGAATTACTCTGACGTAGAGTGGCTAACCATAACATCTGGGAAGTGGAAGGATACTCCGAATCCTTAGAAACCCTGACCAGATCATACCAAGTTGGGGGCGTATGCTGTTGCAACTTAGTTCATCACTTTACTTACCAAAAGAAGGGGGGCTATGGCAAAATGGGGGGACAACCAGCATGTGTGGAATTTCAAAGGCTCCAAATTCAACCTATGAATGTCCTGTTTTGGGGGTCTACTACCAGTTACCATTGGTAGTAGATTTATGTCTAGGTTTCTGAGTGTAAATGGATTTTTTGGAAGTAGACGGTTCTCCATCTTGATCTCAAATGGCAGGTACAATGTTCTGAACGTCTCCAACCAGGGGTTTCTGGGAATTGAACAGCTCTTATAATTTAGACAAACGTTACAAGTTACTCCATGTGGAAATGACTAGTTGGCAGCTTTTGAAATTCATACACACAAGGTAATGCGAGCACACTTTGACCATATGGTGGAAATGGAAGGGAAAAAAATCAATTATAAATTAAAGGTTTTGTGCTTAAAATATTTTTCTTAAAAAAAAAAAAAAACCAAACTTAAGCAAAAGCTGCTGTATGATTAGCTCTTCCAGCTAGGAAAAAATATATATATGAAAACACTGATTTAGAATATTGCTTTTTGTAAAAAAAAATATTTTAATTAAAATTGTATTTGTAAAATGCTCATTTTGGTTCTGTTTATCCCAGAGGCAATAATAATTATTATTTTTTTCCAAAATATTTCTTCCCCAAAGTTCATGCTAAAAATAAGAGAACAACTTACTTTAAAATTCTTTTAAAGCATTTAAAGATGTCTTTGAACAGCATCATTCAAAGTACCTCTTGGAAAAAAGGGTGGGGTGTTTTTTTTTTTCCCTCCCCAGGAAGATCAAAAATAACTTGTCAATACAAATGGATTCGTAATTGGTCACGTACAAAGGGACGTCGTAAGAAATCGTTAGGAGGAGAGAGATTGTGAGTTTTTATAGAAGATTGTCCGAAGTTCAGTAAAAAGGGTAGGATTTGTGTTCGCTTGGCTTACAAAAAGAAAACACACCTTAAGAATCTGTACATCTTTTGAGGTCATTGTTTTAACCGCCTTCACCTCCCTTGCCCCCCTAATTTTCTCCTTGAGGGTGACACCCCAAAGACGTCAGGTGGCAGAATTTGTCAATTTCTTATTTTCGTGCTGGCTCTCGTAACTCATGCATTTTAAAAAAAATGAATTTCCAATTCTTAAATCCACATAAAACACTCACCCCGGAATGTTTCCAAGGGCCCCGTTTTAAAGCTTTTAGTGTGTGCCCCACACCCCTGGCGAACCACCAATTTTGTCTGAACCGCGCAACTCCACCGAAGACTAGGAATCCGGGATGCTGTTGAACCTTGGCTGCCTGGAGTCCAACGACGTGTACTTGTCAATCATCTGTGTCTTCTGCTGGAAGTGGATGACCGGCTTTTTCTGAAAGACCCCCCCAAAGTTTTCTTGGTTCTTTTTGTTGTAAATATTGACGCGGCGCTCCAGTTCAGGGCTGGCTGTGGCCGACCCCGCTGGGCTTGGCAGTTTAAGGTTAACGGGGTCCAGGCCCTTTTGGGTTAAGCAGGAGTCTTCTGATAAGGAGGACAACAGTTCTTGGACGACGGCGTTATGGACCCTGCGATGGGGAGACGAAGAGCTGACCTGAGCGCCTTGGGCCACCTGACAGGGCCGCTTCAAGGGGCAGTACTCGGAGGATTCCTCCCGAGTCGTGCTGCAGTCTGTGGAAGAGCCAAAGGTCTGGCTGCTGTCGCTCTGCGCTCGGGTGACTGAGCTGTCCGTGGACCTCGAGGCGCTGCCTGATGCGGCGCTCGTGGAAATCCCGTTGCTCTCCATCATCTTCATCGGCATTTCCACCATGAAGAGGTCGGAGGAGACATTGGGCTGGTGGATGTCGATGGCCGCTGTTGTAATGACGCAGAAGGCCCCTTCAGGGACACCGCTGTCTGTGGGTGAAGAGGTCAAAGGTTAGAGGACCGCGAGCTCAGATTCAGAGAAGTGCCTTCCTAGCTCTAAGAAGCCCTGAGCTTTGTCTGGAAAAGGGTTTGAAAGACACACACACAGAGAGAAATACAGTTGGAAAATGAGCATTGTTTGAGAACAATTGAGGAGCCGGATTGTTGGGGGCAAGAGGCTGACTCTGTAAACCGCTTAGAAGGGGCTGTAAAAGCACTGTGAAGCGGTATATAAGTCTTAAGTGCTATTGCTATCTTCCTCCTTTGCTCCCTCCCTCGCAGTGGTTACAATGCAGCATTGCAGGCTTACTCTGCCCACTGCCAGCAGTTCGATCCTGACCGGCTCAAGGTTGACTCAGCCTTCCATCCTCCCAAGGTGGGTAAAATGAGGAGCCAGATTGTTGGGGGCAAGAGGCTGACTCTGTAAACCGCTTAGAGAGGGGCTGTAAAGCCCTATAAAGAGGTATAGAAGTCTTAAGCGCTGTTGCTATTGTTCTAACGTTGGGTTTCTTGGGTGTGGAGTTACTTTGTGGAGTCCTTGGGGCTCTCTGAGCTGGGCTGATGGTTTGCAGACCTTTCATAACCTGACTAGGTAACCTCATCAGTACATGAGGATAAGCTCTTTTGCAGAGCGCGGCCCTGTTGAGTGTGTGCGCCACATTTCCGTGCCGAAAAGGTTCGCCATCACTGCCCTAAAGACTCCCTTGAGGTTGCCTCTTAAGTTTCAAAATCCAAGCTTACCACTGCTGGGTTCGTTGTAGTATTGACTGATGTAGTTGTTCATGTCGTCTTTCACCACCGTCTCTAGAAAGGCAAAATGGGAATCATTAATGGGAAACTCCAACCGTAGACAGGCGATCTGAAAGTAAACAGCACAAACTGAGTCCCGGCAAACCTCTTTTATTCAAACGGCTGTGAATTATTGTCATTCCCAGTCCGAAAGGCTTCCCAGTCAGTCTATCAGGGGAGTGTTTGCAAACACCCACCTTATCTCCCTTGGAATGCTGCCACAGAACTAATTGCCACGCGCAGGGCAAGGCCAAACTTAGCACAGAGTCAAACAGAGCTTTTACCGACTGGACCCATTCACTTCTCTTTTATGTCTTATGGGAGGGGCCAATCATCTCCAAGCCTTACTCCCAAGTCGACCCTGTTTCTTTAATTGTTCCTGTCTCCTAGCAGCTCTGCGCAAGCGCACACTGGGAACAGGCTCCTGCTCTTCTTCTGCCTCGCTGATGTCAGACTCCGGAGGCAGCAAATAACTCCCAGATGACCCTGGCCCCTTCTCTGCCTGACTCAGAGCCCTCGTACGAGCCTTCTCCAGACTCCAGGACTGGCCCACATTCCTCCCCAACCTCCTCACTGTCTGACTCTGCTGCCAGCTCTGCTGGCCGCTGGCGGGCCACGACAACTGGATCAAGATTTGCAAGATGAGGGTTCCCTAATTCCAGAGTTCAGAAGCCTCTCAATCAGTATCCTGTTTCATACAAAGTTTGGAAGAGGATGGGGGGGGGGGAGATGTGTTTTCTGAAAGTGTTTGGAGCTATTTTAAGGAGGAAAAAAAAAAAACCAATGTTGTAAAACGCCTATTATAGAAAAAGTTCACAGCTCATGTATCCACCTATGACACTGATGGACACTTGATGGTCTCGAGATCTCCTGCTAACTTTTAACAGGAAAGACATGCACTTAAGAAAAGTTCCTTACTTAAAGCTTCCTTCAAAAATGCAAATAAGTCACACGTTGCAAGTCTCACCGCCTTTTTCATCATACTTGACTGTATTTTGGGGCCAGTAAAGAAGAAATCCATCCCTTCTTAGTTTGGAGTAAGGAATCAACCTTAATAAAGTACTTACAAGGAGGGGCCTTATTAATTGATTAATTAAATTTTTATGCCACCCATCTCCCCTGCAAGGTGACTCTGAGTGGCCTTACCTTCTGATAAACTCTCCCTCACTGTCACCAGATGACCCGATGATGTAATTTGCGAAGAGGGTAAATTCTCAATATTTTTTTCTTCCACGCTTTTAGAAATACCTCCTTCACAAAAGTTCCGGTAAGTTAGCAACTCATGAAATATTGAAGACGAAAATGCCAGCCGCTCGGCAGAACATATTTATTTATTTATTTATTTATTGGTTTGATTTATATGCCGCCCTTCTCTGGAGAATCAGAGCGGTTTACAATGCGTTAAGCAATAGCCTTCATACTTTTGTATATACCTGCTTAGTAGGGCTTTCGGCCGCCCCTAAGTGGTGGTCTATTTTATACAAAGTCAGCTTATTGCCCCCAAAATCCGGGTCCTCATTTTACCTACCTCGGAAGGATGGAAGGCTGAGTCAACCTTGAGCCTGGTGAGATTCGAACTCGCCATAATTGCAGGCAGCTGGCAGCTAAGTGCTATTTAACAGCACTTTAGTCCATTGCTCCACCAAGGCTCCTATGGCAGAGATGAAGCAATTGCCTTCCCAGATTTCAGTTAAAAAACACACACACACACACACCTATTTTGATCTTGAGAAATTGAGAGATCCGCTAAAATGATCAGCAATGGAAATGGCAGAAGTCAATCAATGTCGCGGCCCCACGTGATATGTGGGGGTGGGTGGAAGGGGGAGGTTAGAAGTAGCAAAAATAATTCTGTAAAAAGCCACATGTGGGCAGGAACAGCCAGCAACCTGATCTGCTCGCTTTATGGCGTGCTGAATGCCTTAAAAGCATCTCTTCTTTTATGTGCATGGTTTTTTTTTTAAAAAATACCCATTTCGGGAGGGAGGGGAGAAATCAGGCCTTGCTCGATCCTTTCAGTGGGGATCTCTTTAACCCCCCCGGGTCTCTGTGGCTACAGCCCAGCCTTCTTCACAACCCATTGTGGTTGGTAGGTGAAAGGAACAGATGTTTTCTGGGTACACGTTTCCCTCGCCAGCCTCAAACCACTGAGTGCTCGGTACCTGAACGAATGAAGCTCTTAAGATGGCAATCTAACCTGACATCGGAAAGGGAGGCAGGGCTGCCCTTGCTGGTTTCGCTGCCTTTTTAAAAGCTTTTTTGGCCTCTGCTGATCTTTAAATGCCTTGCAGTCCGAGGGCGTCTCCTCTGCTAATGTCTTGAGTTCAGAAAGAAGCCTCAGTGCAGCTCAAGGCAAGCTCGTGGGTCAGGCTTGTCAGCTACGTGATGTTCGATGCGTTTTGTCTCGTTCATCCATCAGTGGCTCCTACAAAAAAAATCTCCCGCACGGAGATGCGGCTGCATGCACCGTCGGTGACCTGTTGTGACAGGAGTGGCCAAGGATGATCCCAAGCTGGAGGGTATCTCCATGGCAAGCCCACGCTGCAAATGCAATGGATCCAAAATGCTATGAAAGTGAAGAAGGAAAAGCTATCTGCACAAGCTTAGCTCCTCCGCCGTGGTTCTGGCTCATGCAGCAGCCAACCAGATGTGTTTGGGGCTCTTAAAAAAAAACCCCTCTCCCAGTGTCATTCCTGCAACAGCTGGTATTTAAGGGAGGCTGTCTTGAAATTCAGAGGGCGGTACACACCCAACGGGACAGAAAACCTCTCTAGAAATTGTCTAGATCAGTGTTGCCTAGATCGCAACTAGATTGCCTAGATCTCAACTTTGGCAAGTTTGAAGATACGTAGGTGGATTTCAACTCCCAGAATTCCCCCGCTAGCCTAGCTGGTGGGGGAATTCTGGGAATTGAAGACTCTTAAAAAGTTCTCAAGATTGAGAAATTCCAACCTTCAATTCTGAGAGTTGAAGTCCACCCATCTTCAAGCTGCCCCGGTTGAGAAACAATGATCTGGAATTTTTTTGAGAACCATGGTCTTCACCCTTACATCCGAGGGCAGCAAATCCTACAGTTTAATCATCTCCCCTAAAGCCCCTTTCAAGTTCAGCTCAACTCCTGGCGATTATGTAAACCAGTGGTGAAATTCAAATTTTTTTACTACTGGTTCTGTGGGCGTGGCTTGGTGGGCATGGCAAGGAAGCCTCCAAAATGAAGCTTCAGAAAAAAAGCCTCCGAAATAAGAGCTTCAGAAAAAAAAAAAAGCTCTGAAGCTCTGTTTCGGAGGCTTTTAGAGGCAGGAAAAAAAAGTTTTTTTCTGAAATGGAGTTTCAGAAGTTTCAGAGGCAGAAAAACAAGCCAAAAAAAAGAGCAAGGCACAGAGCTCACAACCAACAAACCTGTTGCTAAACTTCACCTCTGGGAACTGCTGATTGGGGATATTCTGGGAGGCCGATCCACCCCCAATCAGCTTTTTTCTTATTTTCCTCCCTAAAAACTAAGGTGTGTCTTATACTCTGAAAAATATGGTACTTGTTCACTACGACGAGAGAAATAAAAGCTCCATGTTCTCAGGTAAGATCGGTTTCAGTGAGTGTAAATAATTCAGGTTCGGATCATGTCTCCCATAAAGGATGAGAAGCGTTCCGAGTACTTTATGTTCTGGCAGGGAAGTTACGAGCCTGAACTTTTCTCTGATGCAAAGAAGATGTAAACTGAAATATTCAGCCGCTCTCCTAAACTACAGGTGACAAGTGTCATCTTTCTGCCGTTGGCCACCTAAAAACACTTCACAGGGGCTCAGAAAATGCTTCCAATGCTCTGTGAATGTCGGTCATTTGTTCAGATCCAAAGCAAACCCCTTAGCTGCGTTTGCAACCCACCTGCCAGCCTCATCATCTGTTTTGCAAAAGATTCAGTTTAGGGGTTAAAAAAAGCATTTGTGTTTCCTGATTCCCATTTTAAAAAAACCAAATCTTTTCCATCATTCCCAGTTGGTTTTCTCTCGCTAGGATTGAATTTGAAAGATAAGGAAGCCGTTCAGAAAAGGCTTTTTACGATAAACCTGAGTTTCTCAGCTATGTAAAACAAATGCTTTGCTTACAGGTATCCGTGGGGGTCAAAAAAGTCAAGAATGGCAATGAAAAATTATGCAACCAGAGCCTTGTTCTTTTTTGATGGTATCATTTTCTGCTACGTTTCGCACATAGAAATAAACGACATCTTCATACCATTCAAAAGACACAATTGAAAAACTAAAAATGAAACAAAAAGACCAAAACATGCCCTCCCGAGCAATCAATAGCCAGATAAGCAGAGATTAACACCAAGAATTAACATCAGAAAAACAATCAAGCAGTAAACGGTACCCCAATCTAGGAACTATCAACTCAATCAAACATTCAAACCAGTCTAATCAAGGAAGCGCCAAGAACATGACAAAAGCAAGCCACTTGTATATAAAAAGAGAGCACTCACTCCCTTCCAACACTGATGAAGTTACCTAGTTGGGTAATGAGATGTCCCCAAGAAAACAACCAAACTCAAGAGAGCACCAAGGACCACACGGCCTTCTAAGGAATAACTAGCTTGATATTTTCTGTATTACCACTTGGAAACTCTTTCCCAGCCCAATTGGGTGAAGCCACAAATCAGAATGTGGAACCCTTTGCAGCCAAACATCTGGTCTATTCTCATTAAAGCTTCCTTTAAGTGGACCTCACAATAATATCAGCTGTGCAAAATGCTGTAGCTACCCTGTTTCCACGAAAATAAGACCTCCCCTGATAATAAGCCCAATCGGGCTTTTGAGCGCATGCGCTAAAATAAGCCTCCCCCCCCGAAAATAAGGCCTCCCTGAAAATATTTAAACGCAGAGCTGGAAATCAGGTAAGACTGCAAGAGGAGCCCCGTTTTGCTCCACGCGCCCCAAAATAATTATCTCTGTGAAAATAAGGCCAAGCACTTATCTCGGGGTTCAAAAAAATATAAGACGGTCTTATTTTCGGGGAAACACGGTATAATTTCCTTTTTCTTAGCACAAGAAGAGAATCTCCTTTTTTCCCCCTCCTAGCCTAACTGGCCACTTGTAATTAAAACTCTGCAAGGTGTAAGAATAAGGTTTGAACTATTAGTTGGTTAGACAAGCCTTCTGATAAATTAGCCAAGTGTTCCAGTTTACTGAACAAGAAGCTTGGTTTTTTTTTAAAAAAAAAATATCCGATTTTTATTACAACGACTTAGGGAATCCCTCCCTGCGACAGACTTGAACTACAGAAGATTAATGAAAATATGGGGCTAGGGCCTCTTAAGAAGATTTTCCCCACATGTGCATTAAATCAATTGATTGCTTGGGTGAGTTCTAAGCAATTAAACATCTCTAATAATCAAAGGTTACCCCCACCCAAATAAAGATGATCACAAGTGCTATTTTGAAATAAATCCGTTTCTTCTCTTGCTTCTTTCCCAGACTAATATTTTTTTTTTATATCATCTGGGATCATCGATCCGGCATTTCAGTAATAGCCTTCTCTTTATCATTGTGGCATTCCTTCATTAACAAAGATATCTGGACCATCCTTTGATATTAAGTAGGACAATTGATTTGTGATTAAACCTGTTTGAAAAGATGCTACTGCATTGACTTCCTGGGGTACCTGTGAAAACAACCCCCCCCCTCCTCCTTAAACTTTATCCGTATAGATTTTGCATTTGTGGAACAAAGAATGGAAAATGGATGAAAAACAGCTTTAATGTCATTAGCGCCTCCCCAATTTGGCTGCCTTATTGGGACTTCATTTAATAAACTAACTCTCGATGTCTCTGGGGACAACTGAATAATCACCTACTCCGAAGTCCCAAAGACTTGTAATTGTCTTAATGGACGGCTAGACAAGCTCTCCCGGCTGCAGGAATTAAGAACGGAAAAGGAGAAAAGAGTTCAGCGCATCTCGAACAATTAGAGGGGGGGTTCACGTGCCCCTTGTCCCCCCTCCCCTTTCTAGAAGAAGAAGAAGAAAAAAAGGAAGTCGTTTTGAAATATTAAACACAATTTCAAGGCTATTCTCTTTGCAAAGATTTTCAAAAAAAAAAAAAAACCCTCTGACTTTGAACAAGTTAGGAGCGCATTTCTGCAAAGTCTTAAAAAAAAGGAAAGAAAAGAAAAAAGAGAGAAGGTTTCACAAGTGATGGAAGAGATGAAAGGATCGTAAAGGAAATTTTAAGAGGTTCGGGAGCCCATTAGTACTCCATAAAGGCAAAAGCTTTTTCCCGAAGATTTAAAGGCAGTTTTACAGCGGCAAAGCTAACGGCTGGCATATTGAATCTGTTAAGAGATGCAATCTGGCAGAGAGAGAGAGAGAGTCAAAGATTGGCAAGGCATTGACTGGGGTGGCGATTGCAGCTTTGGTTGCAGGCTCCATTCTGAGCCTTCCCCCACATAGGCCTCGACTTACGACCACAATTGAGCCCAACGTTTCTGTTGCTAAGTGAGATGTTTGTTAAGTGAAGCTTGCCCTGTTTTACGTCCTTTCTTGCCACAGTCGTTCAGGGAACTGCTGCAGCTGTTAAGTCAGTGACACCATTGTTAAGTGAAAGGGGACCACCGGGACACTGCAACTGTCAAAGATACAAGTCAGTTTCCAAGCGTCTGAATTTTGATCACGTGATCATGGGGATGTTGCAACAGTCGTAAGTGAAAAAAATGGTCTTTAGTCACTTTTTTCAGTGTAAACAAACCACTAAACAAACTGTTGTAAGTGGAAGTCTACCTGAAAATGATCCTGCTTGCAATATATGGAGGAACCTGCTTATACAATTTAGTTATTATATTTATATGCTGTCCATCTCACTATTGAGTGACTCGGGGTGGCTTATAATAACATCATAAAAAGAAGAATTAAAAGAATTAAAATTAACAAGAACTGGGGAAACTAGGCACCAATATCTGAGTGGGATGGAAGTCGGATCTTCTTCTTAAGTCAATTCTTAAGCATTATTTAACAAAAAGGATAAAAAATATACAATTCCTAAATGCTAATTTGCTTGGCATGCTTAATGATCATGGATCGGAAGCCGCCTAGATTGGTGTTTCTCAACCTTAGGAACTTAAAGATGTGTGGATTTCAACTCCCAGAATTCCCCAGCCAGCATAGCTTGGCTGGGGAATTCTGGGAGTTGAAGTCCACACATCTTTAAGTTCTCAAGGTTGAGAAACATTGACCTACATCATTCAAGACATAATTGGCAGACTGGAAACATTTTTTCCCTTTTTTTTTAATGTGCCAAAGGTTCCTCTGCCTTTTTCCCCCGAAAAATGAAACCAGAGAAGACTAGACTATTATCAGAAACTGATGCCATATTTTTTTTTTAATGCAAGTATTTTAAAACTGATACACACCTACCACCTGCCAGAACATCATTTCCTGCGTTTCATAGCTCTTCCGTGTTCTTAACTACCAATTTGGGGAGATGTTCTAAGGGTTTTGCAGGATGTTCGGTGCCTGTGGGGGGCTCTCAAATTTGGCTCCGAAGAGGCCTGATACGGATGACACGGGATGCAGCCAAATTCGTGCCGATCTCGGTGGAGCTTTAACTCACGAGCCTTCCCCGTAAAAATATCGTGCAGGGGAAAGTCTAACCTTTCTCGTGTAGGTTTGCAACTCTTCACGGTCAAATAGTTCACGGTGAATGTTTGCATTGTTCTTTACGAGTCGGGGAAATATAATTGGCTTTGGGTGGGGGAAGGAGGAAGGGGGAAGGAGTATCCCCTTTCTCCGGAATTAGGTAGGGCTCGCTCACTAAAAGGCCATTGTTTGAACTTGGACTGAAAGATCTCCAGGTGAGAAGATTTTGGAGGGACTCAGAAGCAATATTTCCACGGCACAGAGCAACCTAACCTGTTTTATTCCCTCTGCTCTTCAGACGTACTTCAACCCACAGCCATAACGTAATACCAAAGGCTCAAATCCTTTGGATGATTCAATGTCTATGGTGATTCTGTGTTGTGGCCTGCCGGCAGCCAGCAGAGCTGGCAGCAGAGTCAGAGAAAGGAGGTTGGGGAGGAACTTGGGCCAGTCCTGGAGGCTGGGGAAAGCTCAGACAAGGGCTCTGCATCGGAGGCAGAGAGGGGGTCAAGGCCATCTGATAGTTATGTGCTGCCTCCAGAGTCTGACAGCAGCGAGGCAGAAGAACAACAGAAGCCTGTTCCCAGTGTGCACATGCGCAGAGCTGCCAGACGACAAGAACAATTAAGAAAACAGGGTCGACTTGGGAGTAAGGCTTGGAGATGATTCGCCCCTCCCATAAGACATAAAGTAAGAGCGAACGGGATGTGAGCTTTTGCAGGAAGCAATTAGTTCATCTGGTTGGTTCAAGTTTTGAACATTCTGTTTGTGCCTCTGTGCCAAGTTTGGCCTTGCATCTGGAAATTAGCTCTCTGGCAGCGTTCCACGTGAGATAGGTGGGTTAAAGACAGCTGAGAGCAAATCAGCTGAGAGTCGGGAGGCCCAGCCAATCAACTTGTGCTAATTAGGCTGTGCTGAAGCTAAAACGAGCTGTTTCTTCTTGCTGTTTGCTTGCAAGGAGGTAAACTGCTGCGAGGCAGAGGCCAAAGGGTGGGGGCCAGTGGGTAGGCGGGGCTACATTCGTTGTATAAGACGCACCTAAATTTTCACTCCCTTTTAGGGGGGAAAAAGGTGGATCTTATACTCCGAAAAATACAGTAGCTTCCCTTCTCTCCAACATAAACTGCCTTCAAAACAAATTCTAATTGATTTGAGTCCCTCTTGTTTTTCAAGCAGGCTGTGAATTGTAAGTACACTTATGTACCATGTACAGACATTCAGGAATGATTTATTTGCCTGGCGGATCTGTCATGTTTTATGTATGACCCAGCTGAAGCACTCTGTGCTCGTAGCTACCTAGAAACATACCGTAGGAAGCATAAAAGTTTAAGGCTGGCCCTGCAAAGCAGGGGGATTTCAACACTACTTAGAAATTTGCGCCATTCTATTCCACTCCTAATGTAACCCTCAAGGAAGATATGTATAAATTATAAAGTTATGTTCAGGTATTCAGATGTAAAAGAATAAGCAGATTAATGAAACTGGGATGCAAACCCACTTTGGAAAGCCACGCGTCAACGTAACACGATTTGGCAATTATCAGCAAAAGCACTGGACCCGTTGTGGTCTGCCCGCAACCTGCAGAGCTGGCAGCAGAGTCAGACAGCGATGAGGCTGAGGAAGAACGTGGGCCAGTCCTGGAGACTGGGGAAGGTCTGGATGAGGGCTCTGTGTCTGAGGCAGAGATGGAGCCAGGGCCATCGGGGAGTGATGCGCGGACTCCGGAGCCTCCAGAGGCTGACAGTAGAGAGGCAGAGGAACAGGAGGAGCCTGTTCCTAGTGCATGTATGAGAAGAGCTGCCAGAAGGCAAGAGCAGCTACAGCAAAGAGGACGACTCGGGAGTAGGGCCAAGAGCACTGTTACCTTCCCACCAAAGGTGGTCCCTATTTTTCTACTTGCATTTTTTTACATGGTTTCGAACTGCTAGGTTAGCAGAAGCTGGGACAAGTCACGGGAGCTCACCCCGTTATGCAGCACCAGGGATTCGAACCGCTGAACTGCCGACCTTTCGACCGACAAGCTCAGCGTCTTAGCACTGAGCCACTGTGTCCCTACTTAACAAGAATACCACAGCTTAAATGTTCTCCACTAAGGGGAGGAGGGGGGAAAAGGAAAGACGTAACAGGGGACTCTCGGCCACTTACCCCGAGCCGGACGCAACTCTGTGATGTTCTCGGTGGTTTCGTCATCGGAATCGCCTCCGGTGGCTACCACTTTGTATCGGTTGCCCGTCTGTTTCTTCAGCATGTGAGGCACCTGCAAAGCTGCCTCCCTCTCAGCTGCCAGGTCCAGGTCTTGCTGGGCCAGATGTGCCCGCAGCTGTCTAATTTCGAACTGAAGCCAAAGAGAGAGAGAGAGAAAAGTTAGGTTTTCCTTTTAACGTGTGTAGAGGTATATTGCGTGTAAAAACAGATGCCCACACAAGGCGCAATATTCTGGCAGTGCTCCTAAAAGGGCATCTCAGCATCAGAGTTTGAAGGTCTCAGACCTGGGCAACATCTGTAAGAATGACCAGCTTGACCTGTTCAAAACAGTTCTCGTTTGGAAAGGGCTTAGGTTGACGTGACAATGCTTCAAGGGCTGCTAAAAGCTGTCATGGGGTAGACCACACTGCATTAAGTAAGGCAAGGGTGAGTTTATCCACAATTATGGGGTTAAGTGATCCACTCACACAAAACTCAATATGGATGATCCTGGCCTGAAACCAAACTGAAGTGGTGAAAACTGGCATGGATGCACACAACGTAATTGGCACCCATATTATGCTTGCTCCAAAAACTAGACACGCTTTCTCTAGATATATATATATATAGACATATCAGGGGTGAAATCTAAAATTTGTTACTACCGGTTCTGTGGGTGTGGCTTGGTGGTGGTGGTGGGTAATGTGACTGGAGGGGCGTGGCCAACTTTCTTTCTTTTTTACTTTTAAAAGCATTTTTTCTACAACCTTAAGTGGTTGCAGAAAAAAAATGCTTTTAGAAGCCTCTGACGATCAGGCCACTCAGCTGGGATCGTCAGAGGCTTTTAAAGGCATCTTTTTTTTTTCTACAACCTCTTCGGCTGATGAGATTGCAGAAAAAAATGCTTTTAGAAGCCTCTGACAATCCCAGCTGAGCCGTGCGATCATCAGAGCCTTTTTTTTTTTACTTTTGAAAGCATTTTTTCATCGGAAGAGGTTGTAGAAAAAATGCTTTTAAAAGTAAAAAAAACCCAGCCTCTGATGATCGCATGGCTCAGCTGGGCATGGGGGGGGCCGCAGGGATTTTTGCTACTGGTTCTCTGAACCACCCGCCTCCATCGCTACCGGATCGGGCGATTTGGTCCGAACCAGGAGCATTTCACCCCTGAGACATATACAGCTATACATCTACATTTCCTGGTACTTCTAGAGTAGCCACGGTGATATGTACTTGTAATAGAAAGCTGTGGTTTCCAGTTTATAGGGTTTTGCTGCTGCTGTGGTTGTCTTTTTTTAGCGCCTCAAGGTCAAACAAGCCCCAATTTTAGAAGCCACTGTGTGAACTTGGTTCTTTTGAGGTAGTTAAAAGAGTTTCATGCAGCCAAATTTGACTGCACGGGGAATTGTGTCTTGGGTGAATTTCAGGGGCCCCAAAGACCGTCTGTGCTCCAAAAATCAGGCATTCAATTAATGGGCAAGAAACAGAGCTGGATGGTCATTAGGATATAAGAACCTGCTATCTGACCTCTAGAACCAAGGCAGGCATCGTTTCCCCAAGTCTCAACAGTTCCCCAATTTCTCTCAGCAAAAGTCAGTCAAGGTAGAAAGTGGGGTACGTTTAGGTTTAGGTTTTATTAAATTTGTATACCGCCCTACTCCCGAAGGACTCAGGGCGGTGAACAGGCACAGGATAAAATACAGAAATACAAAAGTTAAAAACAATTTAAAACAAAATTAAATAATTTGGCCCACGACAATTAAAATCCCAATAAATTTAAAACAAATTAAAATTTCAATTTAAAATACGTGATCCCCTGAGAGATCCATTAAGTGGTGTTTTGTCTTTCCTGGGAAAATGATCCCGCGACACTTAATACGTGGAGGTGTCTACATGGCCAGGAACATGGAATAAGTGGGTATGTAACAGTACTGCTTTTCTAAATTCAACATTTTGGTACAATCAACTAGAAACGCAATTTTGGGAGGCATGTAAAAAAAAAAAAAAAAAACAACCCATGAGAATTCAAAAGACGGCAAGCAGGATAAAAATGCCGTATTTACATCAAAGGACGACCCTCAATTCATAATAGTTTCCCCCAAAACTCCTAGAAAGAGCCTGGCACTGTCCCAAAATAACTGGACAGCGAAGAAAAGGAGAAAAAAAATGTGTTCAGGTGGTGGGAAAAACATTTAAATCCACCAGATGAACCCTTTCTTCCAGGAAGGCTTAATGTTCGGACAAGATGAGCTCTTTCAGAGGATGCAAGGCGACCCCCCCCCCCCAAATTCACAAATAATTATTTGGAGAGAAAAAGTTAAATAAGCATCCAGAATTACATAAGAAGTCAGATTGACCTAAGAAAATGAAAGAAAATGTCTTTGCTGCCACCCTGTGGCCGGAAGGCATGAGCGCGGCCTGGCAGTCGAGCATGGAGCATGGCGTTAATGTAGAAATGGGCAGAGTTAAAGATCAGGATCCACAGTTTCTGGCACCCAGGAGATTTCATATATAAAAAAAACTTGTTCCCTTTAGGTTAAAGGCATAAATATTGCGATTTTTGAAGATTTAGCCCAAGAGGTTTTCTGCTTTCTAATTTTTCCCCGTCATCAGAGGCACCAGACAAAGCCTTTTTCATTGACTTTGCTTGTCAGAAGGTCACAAAAGGGAATTACATGACCCCGTCAGAAATGTGAGCCGGTTGCCAAGGGTCTGAATTTTGATCAGGTGACCGTGGTGACTTTGAATGGTCACTAAATGGACTGTTGTAAGTCGAGGACTACCTGTATAACCAACATATTTCACGCCTTAAGTTTGTTGTGACGTAGGCTCATTTAGGCATAAGAGGCATACTTAGTCTTAAACAAACCTATTTTATTATAACAGCTGGGAATTACTTCATTCCCAGCTTAGTCCAAATTAATTCCAAAACAAAGCCCTTCAGAAAAAGTCCTTCGGGCTTATCACAAACTTTTGTCTTCTTTGGCACCCTGCCAAAGGCTTTTCTTGGCAAAGCCCCACGAAGTTCAGAAACAAGAGACGCCAACTAAAAACAAATGTAGCAACGTTGCTTTCCTACAAAGATCCCAAGAGCCGTTGCTGCTCTTTTAAGCCTTCTGGGAGGGGCCAATCATCTCCTGGCTTTACTCCAAAGTCATCCCTTTTGCTTTAGCTGCTCTTGCCTTCTGGCAGCTCTTTGCATGCATGCACTAGGAACAGGCTCCTCCTGTTCCTCTGCCTCCCTGCTATCCGACTCTGGAGGTTCCGGAGTCCACGCATCGCTCCCAGATGGCCCTGGCCCCATCTCTGCCTCCGACGCAGAGCCCTCATCCGGGCCTTCCCCTGACTCCAGGACTGGCCCATGGTCCTCCCCAGCCTCCTCACCGTCCGCCTCCACTGCCACCTCCGCAGGCTGCTGGCGGACCACAACAAAGTTGCCATTTTTGAAAGAGGGCAAGAATTCTTCAATAGCTAGGGCAGGTTTGGGAAACCTCATCTACTTTCACCCCAGTGAAAAAATATTAGTTGCGTGTAATATTGCTTAGAGGAGAGCAGGAATTCTACCCGTCCGCCATTAATGATCTATTTTAGGACTTCCGCAGTCAGGAAGAAAGACTGAAAGTGTGTTGGACGTGTGCAGCTTCAAACACCTCTTGGCGGTGCCTGATGGGGCCAACCCAATTTCGGTCCCGTTGGGCAGTAATGTTAATCAGTCAATGTTACACTGGTGGGTTTTTTTTTACGCTCTGAACTCACAGTGATCTGACTGGATATAATTATTTCACGGACATTTGGTTTATTAACAGAAACAGGTATATGCCTGCCTGCCTGATTAATTTTAAGCAAAGCCAAAATTCAAGAACAAAAAACCTTTGACACTGGCATGAAAATATAATGATGGGTCTTACTTACCCCCTGTTCTTGGCAGATGTGGGTCAGTCTTTCCAGCTGTTCGTCCTGAATAACCTTTGCTTTTTCATACTGCTGAATCACCATCTCCATTTCCACTTTAACTGGCAGCACGTAGGCTACGAATCACAACCGTACAAATAGGATATTTTTTTACATCAGGTGGAGGAAGGCTCTTCTCTACAACTCATCAGCTACCACAAGGCTACTGAAAGTGGAAGGGGTCACGGTGCATCCCTCGACAAATTAGATTTAAAGAACTGGGGTGCAATTAGGAGAGAGGACAATTCTGAACAACCATGTTTAAGATAAGATTCTCTCCGCTTGTCAAAATCGCCTATTCCCTTCCGAGTCTTCTCAGATCTTCTCCAAATCTGCTTTACAGGTTTTAAAAGCTGGGGGGAATTACTTAGGAAAATGGAAGCAAGATTTGCTCATTCAAGATCACCTGTTCTACTCTAATTGTCTAAGGTAGTGTTTCTCAACCGTGGCCATTTTAAGATGTGTGGTGGGTTCTTCTTACCTTTACTACAGGTTCGCAATTAGCCTAAAACAGATTTTATCCATTTAACGAAGGAACGGCTTATTTTTATTTGTTAATTTTTCAAATTTATACAGCCACTCCTCTTCACCAAACAAGCAGTGCCCTGGTAGCGCAGCAGACTAAAGCACTGTTATTAATACCAGCTGCCTGCAATTACTGCAAGTTCAACTCTCACCAGGCTCAAGGTTGACTCAGCCTTCCATCCTTTCTAAGGTAGGTAAAATGAGGACCTGGTTTGTGGGGGCAATAAGCTGACTTTGTATAAATATACAAAAGTATGAAGGCTATTGCTTAATGCACTGTAAGCCACCCTGAGTCTCCAGAGAAGGGCGGCATATAAATCAAATTTTTTTAAAAAAAGTGACTCTGGGCAGCGCACAACCAAGTTTAAAAACAAAACAAAACCCAAAACAATCATTCACTGTTGACTTACCATCAATAATTCGTTTGACTCTCCAAATTCTCAGGGTAATAATGAGACTAATAGCATCCCATGGACTGCTTGGTCCATTAGCCACTGTAGAGGCCACCATGGGAGCCAAAGATAAGATGATCACAGCACCATCAAATACCTAAGGTGAAAAGGATTTCACGGGAATCACATAGACTGTCAGCACTTCAAACTACATTCGTTCCAGAGCTGACATAAGGAGGACACTTGACTTTTCACCTACTTATTTTCCCTGAAGATAATATCCCCTAGGAGATGGGGTGGGAGGGGGGACATTCCTGGGAGCTGAAGTAGTAGATATGGGGAGAGTGATTTGGAAGATGGCCAATGAGACGCAGAGAATTGGGGAACGGAAAGGGAAGGTTTGGGGTCAGGAAGTCAGTGTTGGCTTCGACATAATCGGGGACAGATTGTCGTGCTTAATAAATGAAAGATTTCATCAAAGATTATCTGTTTGGAAATGCAATTTATTTGAGACGACATTGAAACCTGACATAGATGTTATTTCTGAACGCGTGTTGTCTGTAGGAGAAGACCAGATTGAGGCCGAGGGCGGGGGTCAAATCAGTGGTGAAATGTAAAGTTTGTTACTACCGGTTCTGTGGGCGTGGCTTGGTGGGGGTGGTGGTAAGATGACTGAGTGGGTGTGGCCAACTTTTTTTTTTTATACTTTTAAAACCATTTTTTCTAAATGCTTTTAAAAGCCTCTGACGATCCCAGCTGAGCCGCGCGATCATCAGAGGCTTTTTTTCTTTACTTTTAAAAGCATTTTTTCGGCTGAAGAGGTTGTAGAAAAAATGCTTTTAAAAGTAAAAAAAAAACCCAGCCTCTGATGATCGCACAGCTTAGCTGGGCATGGGGGTGTGTGGGGGCAGGGATTTTTGCTACCAGTTCTCCGAACCACCTGCCGCCATCGCTACCGGATCGGGTGATCCGGTTCAAAATGGGAGCATTTCACCCCTGGGCAAGATTAACATCTGTCTTGCTTAGCAACACAAACTTTGGGCTCAATTGTAGTCGTAAGTCAAGGATTACCTATAGTTTAACATTTTGACTTTAACCTGGTTGCTACAACGAGTAGCAGGAATGTGAGTAACGCACACCGAGGTTTGGGCAAGAGGGACAGGTCAGGAAGAATTTGGTTACTTTGGACTTACCTCTATTTTGTTTTCAATATAGTCCCATATACCAAGTACGACTATTCTCAAGATAGTCTAGAGTCAGTTCCCACGTTGGTTCAGTTCCCACGTTGGGAAACAAAAAGAGAGGAAGGAGGGAGAAGAGGGGAAATTAGCATTTGTGTTTTTCTCATTCCTTAAAAAAAATGTTGACATCAATTATATATATACATATATAAAGCTTATTCTATGCTTCGAAAGATGCCCTGCTTCTACCTGCTTCTTGAAACTGATACTCAGTACTAGACTCAGAGGTGGGATTCGTGCTTTTGAGCATCACATATAAGGAGCCAGTGAGGTGTGTGTGGGAAGAAAGATTGGGAGGAAATAAGGAGTCCAGAAAATAACAGAGATGGGATTTAGAATCCGTTTCCTTCACCGTAAATCCGAAAAAGTTTCTGATTTTGAATGATTTTAAGGGGCAGGAAATAAAATGGAAAGCAACAAGTCCTAGATACATTCTGGTCGAAGCAACAGGGAGGGGGGGCTTTTGATAGAAGTTAATATGAAGATAGGATTGACCTGATGATAGTAATGTTAAGTCAAAGAGACGAGAGTAAAAGGAACATGACCCAAAGATGTTTCTCTATTTGCCATTATGGATTCCTATTTTTTTTTTTTTTTTTTACAGAGGTGCAATATTTAAATGCTCCAAATTTCTTGGGAGTTCCAATTTTCCTTTGGTTGAAAGGCAGCTCAACACGGAAAATGCTTTTCCCTATTTTTAATTTGTTCCCAGGAATAATGGAAAAGATAGGTAAAATTCCAGAATAATAGGACCGATCTTTTCATGTTTAATAGAAGCCATTCTCCAACTCATGGGTAGCATTGCTTAAAGTCTCCATGGATCCCACTTTCAAGTTCGTGCAATTTTCCCCTCCTTTTTGTAGATTTTAATGGACAGGAGCTGCTAAACATTTTAAACCATTTGCAAATACAAATGTTTTTTTCTCAGGGCAGAAAAGTGGCAATCCGCTTAATGACTGCAATGACTTATGACTAAATTGCAGTCATAAATAGAGGACTAGCTGCAAAACAAGCAGCGAGAGGGGAATTCGTGGGCTAATCCTAATTTTGTGGGTCCGTTCCAAATATTTTATCTTTGGGCTGTTCAGCTGGGAAGGGAGATTAATGCTCTCCATTCCCCATTTGTGTGATATAGTTAATGAGGGATGAGCCTAAAACAATCCCAGGGTTAAACCGATCCGTTTCTAACCCAATTGCTGATGGAGTGGGGGTGTCAGGAGGAAGCACTGGTTTAAGTGGATACAGCTGCTAAGCCAATTTCATGCCTTATTTGAAGTCTGGCAAGAAAATATGTTCCTAATGAAGTATGAATTTGGCCATTTACAAGCAGGCAATGAGAAATTAAATCTCTTAAGGCACTTGCAAGCTTGCAAATAAGTGTTTAACAGAACTTGGACAGTTTAAACCAGGGGTGTCCAACCTTGGCAACTTGAAGACCTGTGGACTTCAACTCCCAGCATTCCCTAGCCAGCTGTGCTGGGAAAAGGAAACATTTTGGGAAAAGTGTATTTTCTAAAACTAGCTAATAATACCACTTTTTTTTCCCGAGTAGTACCATAAAATTACATATCAATGGAAAGATAATTTAATCAAGAATGTAATGCAATCACTTTTAGGAAGGATTTGCTATTAGAATAGCAGTTACAGTATAAAGAAGAAAAGTGAAACACGTAGAAAAAAACGTGATATACAAAAATGATCCCCATGTCAGTTAATCCTTAGTTGGGTAACCTTTAACATGAATTATTATGGTCTTACAATGTCTTCCCATGGAGCGAGCTGAGTCTTTGAGTTCTGCAGCTGTTCTAATGTGAAACCAAGATGGAATGATGGCTTCTATTAACCTGGTTTTATTGCTGGGTCGCTTCTGACTAACCAGTTTCTTTAGTCGGCTCCATAGATTTTCAATTGGGTTAAAGTCTGGGCTATTCCCGGGCCATTCCAGCAGTGGAATAGGATTATTTTGAAACTCCAAAAAAAAAAAAAAAAGTGGTGTTATTAGCCATCAAACCTCAAACCTTTTCCCAAAAGGTTTCCACAATTTTGGCCACGACTGTAATTCTAATCATTAATTGAGATGTCTTTAATTGTAGACAATGCCCCAAATAAGTCCTCTGGAACACTGTAGAGGCCAATTGTTCTCATTTCTATTGATCGTGCCACTCATTTCAACACTTCAAGTGACAATGGAAGAAGCATCTGTCAATAAAAGCTGCTATTTATGGCTCACTCTGGGTCTCAAGAGACTTTCTGGGACATTCTCGGTTCTTAATCGGGAGCTGATCTGTACACTGGTCTCCCCCCCCCGCCCCCAACCATTAGCACATTAAAATGAGTTAGGGAAAGCCTCTTCTGAAACCCGAAAGTCTGTTAAGTCCCAATTAAAAATATGTTTACTGAAGGATAGGGGGAAAAAAACCAATTTCTCCTCTGAGAAAATTCAGCCATATTTCTTTTCCGTACAGTAAAAATTCGTATTTCTCTTACCTCTGAAAAGAAGATAGATAGGATAACCAGGCTGATCCAGTGAATGATGCCAGCAAATTGGGATGCGCTTGAAACTACAACAAAGGACAAAAAGCAAATTAGATATGAGATGTGTAATGCACAGGCCAAAGCAGAACAGTCAGTCTTAAAATGTATTTGAAAATTAAACGCAAGCTATTTTCCTTCTTATTCTCAAATTCATATCACCATTTTGGAAAGCGGGCTCAAAATCCAGAAGTCGCAGAAAACCTTAAGATGGGTAAAGAGAAGGCATCAATAAAAACAAGAGGGCATATATCAATATTCTGATGAAAGTTGTTCAGAAACCCTGAGAGAGAGAGAGAGAGGAATGGGACAACTCGGGTACATATTACCACATGCGGTGGACTTGTGAAAAGGCAAAGAAATACCGGAAAAAAATACATACATGGTAAGAAAAAACGTTAAAGCAACATACAGATTACAAACCAGAAATATTTTTGTTAGGCATAATACCGGAAAAGTACGATAAAGGGAATCTATATTTAATATTACTACATGCTTTGACAACAGCAGGAATTGTATGTGCACAGTGCTGGAAAAATGAAAAAACACCTACAGAAGAAAATGTAATTTTAAAAAATGTTGGGAGTGTGTAGAAATGGGAAAAAATTGACACTAAAATTAAAAGAAAAAGAAGACACAGAATATTTTCGAACATGGGACTTGTTTTACAAATGGTTGGATAGTAGAGGTAGAAATTAGGAGAGGGGAAAAATATTATTATATACAAATAAAATGACAATCCAGACAATACGCTGTGTCGCTAAACACCTATGTATGTGATATGAAAATATATAAACGAACTGTTTTTAAAAAATTGTATTCCCCCTTTGTGGCTGCGTGAGGTTTCATGCCATGGTGTACAGGTAGTCTTTGTAAGTACGAAAAGGGGTCGTAACTCAGTGCCGTCGTAACTTCAAACGGTCACTCAACGAACTGTTGTAAACCGAGGACTATGGTTTGCTCAAACATTTCAGGAAGGGGAAAACAAAAGCAAAAATAACGGTAAAGCCTGCTACTCACACTGGAGAAGCTTTATATCTATTAGGAGCTCCAGAGTCAGAAGGATGACCACCAAAACTACGCAGGCTACCAGGAAACTGTTGAGACTCGCACTGAGCAAAAACACCTGCCAGACAGCCGCTCGCCTCCCACAGCACGGCTTAAGCCAGTTAGATCTGAAGGGAGAAAAACAGAGGGAAGGAGGAAGAAGAGGAAGACAGGCGAGAAAAAGGCAGACAGGTAAAGAAGAGCAAGGCAGAAGCAGCAACAGGGCTCAGTTTCAGCAGGACGCGGTTGGGGGTATTTAAGAGCCCGTTTCTTATTTAGCAGGGGGCTGGATGAGAAGACCCCCCCCCAGGGTCCCTTCCAACTCTGCTATTCTATTCCATTCCATTCTATTCTATTCCCTCTTCATTCTATTCTGTTCTGTTCTGTTCTGTTCTGTTCTGTTCTGTTCTGTTCTGTTCTGTTCTGTTCTACTCTACTCTACTCTACTCCACTCCACTCCCTCTGTATTCTGTTCTGTTCTGTTCCGTTCCGTTCCCTTCCCTTCCCTCTTTATTCTATTCTATTCTATTCTATTCTATTCTATTCTATTCTATTCTATTCTATTCCATTCCCTCTCTATTCTATTCTATTCTATTCTATTCTATTCTATTCTATTCTATTCTATTCTATTCTATTCTATTCCCTCTTCATTCTATTCTGTTCTGTTCCCTTCCCTTCCCTTCCCTCTTTATTCTATTCTATTCTATTCTATTCTATTCTATTCTATTCTATTCTATCTATTCTATTCTATTCTATTCTATTCTATTCTATTCTATTCTATTCTATTCTATTTTCTATTCTTTTAATTCTATTCTATTCTACATTCTATTCTTTTAATTCTATTCTATTCTATATTCTATTCTTTTAATTCTATTCTAATTTTCTAATCTATTCTATTATTCTATTATTCTCTTCTCTTCATTAAATTTATACCCCACCTTTCCTTCTGATGTAGGATGCAAATTTAATCTGGGGTTCTCACCCCCTTAGCATGGATCGTAAATAGTTGGGCTGAAAGGATGTGACCGGACCATCCCTCCACGGAGTTTCCGTACTTGGTCCTGATCCATCCCCGCCTAAATCATCACAACACAATATCCACAACGAAACGTATCTTTATGGGTACCTATGTACTCAACCCGTCTGCTTAGTGAACGTACCGTGCTCACTGCACGCCTGGCGTTAAGTCCAGTTTGCATAATTCTCCTCGTAATAAGTAAGCATGGAGAGAGTCCAGATTCAACCCCAACGGTTCCTTTTTGTACAAAATGCGCAAACAGCAAAGAGAAGCGATGCAGGATCAGATCAAAGGAATAGAATGAATGAGTTGGAAGGGATCTTGGAGGTCTAACTAGAAGACCAGAAGCAAGGTACGAGCTCAAGAACCCACACCTATCAATCTTCACCATTTGTGGGTACTTATTTATTAATTAAATTTATAAATCTCTGCCAAGAGATGATCCTAGGCAGCTTAAAGGCATGTGGCTTTCAAAACTGGAATTATTAAATAACAATCCCAACTGGTATCCATGATCACCTTCATTTTCCTGCCTGACCTTACCCAATTGTCCTTTAGAGCCAGTGACCATCAGTATCTAGGACTCCTTGAGATATGTTTAAAAACTGAAAAGCATTTCTAAATCTAGATTGAGTGACTTTCTTTGATGACTTGCAGTCTGGCTGTTTTATTTCACGTAGTACGTGCGTGGAACCGCAGAAGCGGAATTTCCGATTTTAAATTTTTCAGAGGATCAAGGACTGCGCAGGTAACGAAGCCTACCGAATTCTTCGTACAAGTTCGGCACCAAAACAAAGAAGGAATGAACATAAACATCTTGTAGTTACCTGCTTCGTTGTTCCTACGTTTTGACATTTTATGCGAGTAAAGGAACAACAGTTAAGACAATATAGCGTTGATTCGCCTTATAGGGAATCAAAGCGCTAAATCATTTTATCCAGCAGTGAAGATCAGTTTACTGCAGAGGTCTTCCCCAAGGCTGGCTACCTGAGAATTTTTAATTTCAGACACCAACAACTGATTGAACAGGAACCTTTTCAGTATGCAAAGCGTTTACTCTTCCTTGTAATTTCTGCCAACGCAACCGAACGTGTTCTTTCTCTACAAGACTTAATGTTCTAGAGCAAGTATTATTAAGTCTTTACATAATGCAACAGAACAGAGAGCGCCAAACTCGGACCCAAATTTACGAATAAACTTCTCAAGTCATTCTCTCGGGACTTCAATTGCCATCTATCAAAAAAACTGGGGGCTAATTACAGATACGCAGGAGTAATAGCAATGTTAAATTGCAGTATTTTCTAAAAGAGTAGCTAGAGGATGATCTACTTACATTTAAAAAAATAAATAACTGCTTTTGTCTCCCAACAATATTTCTAGATGCTAAAATTTGGTTCTATTTCATTTCTTTATTGGTCGTTCCTAAATGTTTATTCTAATTCTCTGATTTTTAAAAATTCCCCAGAATGGACAGTAGATGGCAGAGATGCCTATATTTAAAGCGACTGTGGGAATATAAGGCTGTCATTTTAACTGGGGCTCACCTTGTTAAAAAGCAAAAATAAAACAAGCGGGGAGAAATATAGACATTAGAATGGGTCTGAAATTACTACCAACAAAAAGCTACAATTAAAGATCAGGATCGGTTAGAAAAATCCCGTTTTTAAAGTCTTCACTTACAAAATGTTTGTTTATCATTCTTTAGGGATGTAAGTAATTAACTGTGTAGTTTGTAAATTATACCATCATTTAAAAGCAGCATATTATTATAACAACAAACATCTAAAAGGATCACAACCAAATAACCATCAAAACATCCATCGAACGTATTTCCAGTTGCTAGCAAAGCAGTAGAAGAATAGATGCCTGAATTTTACCTGGCAGACAGTTTCCAGAACTGACTAGATATGAGTTGTAAAAAAAACAGATAAATTTCTTTCTAGTTTTAAGTAGGATACATAGATAAAGAGACAGCAATTTGATCAAGCGAATTCGAAAACAAATTGAATCTCTTCAAAGGAAAAGATCAAACCGCTTTCATCAGCAATGGAGCATTTATGGAAATAAATATAATTTTGCGATATTTTTTTTTTAAAAAGCAAGATGCTATGTGAGATCCCTGATATAAATCTATTTATATATTTCTTTTTTAAACGGAAGGGTTTTAAAAATATGCTGAGAGGGGAAGATGCCAATTTACGAAAGACGGAGAAATGTGCATCTCGCAACAGCCTTTCCCTGTGCAAAAAGCCAATTCTATTACCAACTGACAATTTTTGTAATATACCGCTGTTTAAGCGAATGCTCAACCGCGAACGAGAGAGGGAAAAGATTACCATAATACTCTGGTAATGAGCCACTACAAACACTCCAACTCAAGCTGTTAACAGATGTCACAGTTTCCGCTTTCGTGACTTGGAGAAGGGGGAAGGGGACGCGATGCCATCAAATGCAGCACCGTGCCACACGAAAGGACGTGGAGCTTGGCTCAGCTGAATGCTGAGGACTACCTGTATATATATATATATATATATATACCGTGTTTTCCCGAAAATAAGACCCTGTTTTATATTTTTTTGAAATAAGCGCTTGGCCTTATTGCCATGCGCTCAAAAGCCCGATTGGGCTTATTATCAGGGGATGCCTTATTTTGGGGGAAACAGGGTATATAATTTTTAGACACTAGGTCTGGAGGATGGCGACGTGGCGCTCCCATGTGACCCCCCTCCTGCGCGAGCTGCACTGGCTCCTGGTGGTCTTCCGGGTGCGCTTCAAGGTTTTGGTTACCACCTTTAGAGCGCTCCATGGCTTAGGACCGGGGTATCTACGAGACCGCCTTCTGCCACCAGTAGCCTCTCACCGACCAGTATGCTCCCATAGAGAGGGGCTTCTCAGGGTGCCGTCGGTCAAACAGTGTCGACTGGCGGCCCCCAGGGGGAGACCCTTCTCTATGGGGGCACCTGCCATCTGGAACGAGCTCCCCCCGGAGATGGAAATTTAGGATTAAGTAATTTAATGGTATTATTAACATTAATAGTGTGTTAAAAGCACATTGTGAATTTAAAATATTAAGGATTAAAAATTTGTGGGGATTTTGAGATACACTCCCGGGATTGATTAAATATTGTTAATATCTGGCGCTATTAGTAATCCTACACATTTGAAATATTGAAGTTATGGTGGAATAATGAGTAATCCTTGAAATATTAAATAATAGTAATTTAGTAGGGGATAACAAATACACGGCATAAAGAAATGTTATTTATGTTTAAATGAATTAATGGGAAAGATGATAAAGGATTATGAAGAGAGAACAGTATTGTTGAAGTTGGAAGATTAGGATTACACATTATTATTATTAGCATTGTTTTTAAAAAGACTTGGCCCAGTCAATACGCTGTCCACAAAATATGTATGGTGTGAAAAGAAAACTGCAAATAAAACATGTTTTTTTAAAAAAAAAGAAAAGAAAGAAAAGTGTATGTTTCCAAAAAATAATGATAATCTGATTTGTACTGCTGCATCTCATCTTTTTATTCTCATAATCCCCCTTTGTGAAATGGACTATGTCAGCAGTGGGCAGCCCAGGTTTACAAAAACAGAAGAAGACATGGGAAAATACCTTCAATGCATTAATTTATTTTATTCTCTGGGGGTTTTTAGAAAACCAAACACTTTCACAGATCCTCTGATCCTCCATGCAACCAATTGTCTTATTATCTCAATCTGTTCACGGAACTATATTCATCCTTTAATTGTTTTTATCGCTCTTGAAAGAATAACCAAAAAAGAAAAAGAAACTCAAAGATAATTTGCATTAGATCATTAGATACAGTGCGTTAGATAGCAATATACCGCTTCACACGTGCTTTTACAGCCCTCTCTAAGCGGTTTACAGAGTCAGCCTACTGCCCCCAACAATTTGAATCCTCATTTTTCTGATATTGGAAGGAAGGAAGGCTGAGTCAACCTTGAGCCGGTCAGGATCGAACTGCTGGCAGTGGGCAGAATTTGCCTGCAATACTGCACTCTCACCACTGCGCCACCAACGCTCGGAGGAAGGGAAAACAGGAAAGGGAAAAGGAAGGAAGGAAAAGAGAAAGTGAGAGAAAGGAGAGAAGGAAAATATTGCGATAGCAATTATCTATCGCTTCACAGTGCTTTTACAGCCCTCTCTAAGCGGTTTACAGTCAGCATCTTGCCCCCCAAAATCTGGGTCCTCATTTTACCCACCTCGGAAGGATGGAAGGCTGAGTCAACCTTGAATCGATAAGTGGAAAATTGTGATATATCATTAGTTGCTGTAACTGTTTTAATGATATATCACACTTTCCCCCTTTTTTTGGCTACTATTTTTTCACTTTTAAAAAAGCATTCTTTTCTTTTTTTGACAATGGGTGTATTTCTATTGCTACATTCATTAAGCTGAAAACTCTTTAAACCAGAAAAGGGGAAGCTGCTTGGAGAACTCTGCTAAAAATTCATTTTGCCTTCAATTCTGCATTATGTCAAGATCAGCCTGAATCTTATTTCTTCTAAGGCTCTTTTTTAGAAGAATAGTCCTCTGCTGCATTTACCTAGCTCCATTTCCAGCCTAAAAGCATTTTACGAACCCAAAAAGTTACCCGGCCTAAAAGCATTTTATAACCATCCTTTCCCATTACACATAATACGATATAGCAAAGAAAACAGCAAAGCTTGTCAGAACCTCCTGTTTCTAATTAAGACCGTGGAGCTAGAACTTGCTACCCAAGTCAGAAACTAAAGTTTTGGGTTCAACAAAAACAACAATAAACAAACCCTTTTCCCTGGTAAGGGATTAAGATCATAATTTAAAGAGCTCTAAACAAACGAACATGACTGGGTAAGAGCAACAATGCAAAACTGGCTCCAGAGATTAGGAGAATGATTGAATAACAGCATCAAAAGAGAGTTCGTTTTCTGTAAATTAAATTACTGGAATATTTCTTTGTTGTTTTCTCTTTTTTTAAGAAAAAAAGTTTGGGGAGTTAAAAGTAAGTAAATATGTGTGCTTACCCTTCTCGTTGGTATTCCTCATCCAAATTCGACAAGAGCTGGGAGCCTGCGATGGAGAAATCTAGCGCAGCCAGAGGTAAGTCCCGATAGGCGAAATTAACAAGCTGTACAGGTGCGACACTTCTGGTTTCTTCTTCTATTTGTTGTGAAATTATTTCAACTTCGGAAACTCCACCTTCTATAGGAGGCCTAATGAAGGAAAGGCAAAAATAAGAACCAGCTCCCCCCCACCAACTGCAAAATTCCTATTCGGAGCAGTGCTTTACAGGCAGTCCTTGGCTTCCAGCAGTGGCCAAAATTGTGGAAACATTTTTTTTTTTAATTGACAGATGCTTCTTCCATTGTCATTTGAAGTGTTGAAATGAGTGGCACAATCAATAGAAATGAGAACAATTGGCCTCTACGGCGTTCCAGAGGATTCAGTTGTGGCATTTTCTACAATTAAAGACATCTCAATTAATGATTAGAAGTACAGTAGTGGCCAAAATTGTGGAAACCTTTTGGGAAAAGTGTATTTGTGAGGTTTGATGGCTAATAACTCCACTTTTTGGGGGGAGTTTCAATATAATCCTATTCCACTGCTGGAATGGCCTGGGAATAGCCCAGACCTTCACCCAATGGGAAATCAATGGACTCAACTAAAGAAACTTGTTAGTCAGAAGCGGCCCAGCAATAAAACCCAGTTAATAGAAGCCATCCTTCAATCTTGGTTTCACATTAGAACAGCTGCAGAACTCAAAGACTTGGTTTGTTCCATGGGAAGACGTTGTAAGGACGTCATTCATGCTAAAGGTTACCCAACTAAGTATTAACTGACATGGTGATCATTTTTGCATATCTCGTTTTTTCTACGTGTTTCACTTTCCTTCTTTATACTGTAACTGCTATTCTAATAGCAAATCCTTCATAAAAGAATGTTATTGCATTACATTCTTGATTAAATTATCTTTCCATTGATATATAATCTTATGGTACTACTCCCCAAAAAAAGTGGTGTTATTAGCTAGTTTTAGAAAATACACTTTTCCCAAAAGGTTTCCACAATTTTGGCCACTACTGTACAACTGTTCGTTGAGTGACTGACGTTGCAAGAGCGCTGGAAAAAAAGGGGGACTTAAAACCTTTTTTCACAGGATCCCAGTAATCATGTGATTAAAATTCAGACTCCTGGAAGCTGACTCAGATTTATGACCGTCGCTGTGTCCATGTTTTTGCGACCTTCTGTGGGGAAGCCAGGTTCACTTAACAACTGTGTTACTAATGTAACGACTGCAGTGGTTTGGGACCCCTGGCTTAGGAAGCAGCTCTCCCCTCCTCCACCTGCCAAGGCCATTCCCACACCATTACCCTTTCATAAAACATGAAGGCGTAGACGTCTCGGTGGGGAAAGTGTATCAAGAATACAAACAAAGCTACCGACTTAACTAAATATAGGTAGACCAGTACACGATCCAATAATTCTGTATGGGATAACAATGTTTATTTAAGGCGTAAGAGAGAATTTTTTGGTGGTGCAGCGGACTATGTTAAGTAGCACTTAGCTGCCAGCTGCCTGCAATTAGTGCGAGTTCAAATCTCACCAGGCTCAAGGTTGACTCAGCCTTCCATCCTTCCAAGGTAGGTAAATTGAGGACCCGGATTGTGGGGGCAATAAGCTGACTTTGTAGAAACACCGCTTATGGGGGTGGGGGGAGCAAAAGCCCTAATAAGCAGGTATATACAAAAAAAGAATCAAGGCTATTGCTATAAGTGCATTGTAAGCCACCCTAAGCCTTCGGAGAAGGGCAGCATATAAATTGAATTAATAAATAATAATATAATATAATATAATATAATATAATATAATATAATATAATATAATATAATATAATATAATATAATATAATATAATAGTCAGCATCTCAGAACTGACATAGAAAAGGGAGGAGAAGCCTGAACTATATAAGTTCTTGGAGAAATGATGAAGGAAAGCAGGATTAATGATCCCACCTCAATGGCTGCCTTTTAGAAGGCCGAAGGGTCTATGCCAGATCTCCCGCCAAACCCTTTGCTCTCAAGTTGTGTAGGATAACGGGTTAATAAACTTCATGAGACTGGAACAAACAAGGTAAGGTAAGCAGGCGGGCCGGGGGTGGGTGGGGGAAAAGGCTTCACACGTTCAACTTCATTTTGATGAGCTGGCTACAGACCTTGCACTGATTTCTCTCCGGAAAAAAAAAAGAAGTGTTTTAAAATCCTCTAGTGAATTAAATGGCCTGGATAATCAGCCGGATAATTATAGAAGACACTCTATTCCAGGGGGCAAATTATGCAAGAATATTTGCCCCAAACAAAACATCTGTTTTTCGTATGAATATGAGGAACTGAAAAAGGGAACAGCAAACCACATTATATATCCTCTTGTTTCTAGATAACAAAAGGAAGAAGAAGAAAAAAAGGAGTAGCAACCAGGAGTATTTGAGAAGAATGTATTATAATAGAGCTAGACACTCACAGCCAGACTAACTATTTTTGATTACCATCAAACCCAGTTGGAATGACCAACAATTAGGGATTAAGACTCAAGGTTGGCTCAGCCTTCCATCCCTCCGAGGTCGGTAAAAGGAGGACCCAGATTGTTGGGGGCAAGAGGCTGACTCTCTAAACTGTTTAGAGAGGGCTGGAAAGCACTGTGAAGCGGTATATAAATCTAAGTGCTATTGCTATTTATTTTCCTTCCTTCCTTCCTTCCTTCCTTCCTTCCTTCCTTCCTTCCTTCCTTCCTTCCTTCCTTCCTTCCTTCCTTCCTTCCTTCCCTCCCTCCCTCCCTCCCTCCCTCCCTCCCTCCCTTCCTCCCGTCCTTCTTGAGCTGTGGTGGCGCAGTGGTTAGAGTTTGGTACTGCAGGCTAATTCTGCTGACTGCCGTCAGCCTGCAATTTGGCAGATCGAATCTCACCAGGCTCAAGGTTGACTCAGCCTTCCATCCTTCCAAGGTCAGTCAAACGAAGACCCAGATTGTTGGGGGCAAGACAATGACTCTGTAAACTGTTTAGAGGGCTGTAAAGCACTGTGAAGCGGTCTATAAATCTATTGCTATATGGAACGTAGTTCAAACATCTGAAGGGCATCGGTTTATGGAGCCCTCAAGCAGTCGCATTCACGACAAACCATTTTATACCAAATTTATATTTCGCTGATAAAGAAATAAAGGGAAACTAGTATAGATCTATTTCAAGCTATTTAGCTCTCATCAGCTAGCCATACCCTTACTCGGATTCAAACTTGGGCTGCCTGCATGTTAGGCAGCTGTCTTAACCTCTGACTCAACCTGGCTGAAGCTGATGAAGGGAGGAGAACTTGTGGCTCAGAGGTTAAGACAACTGCCTAACATGCAGGCAGCCCAAGTTTGAATCCGAGTAAGGGTATGGCTAGCTGATGAGAGCTAAATAGCTTGAAATAGATCTATGCTAGTCTCCCTTTATTTCTTTATCAGCGAAATATAAATTTTATATATATATATATATATATATATATATATATATATATACACATACATACATACATACATACATACATATATATATATATGAAAGCTCCATGTGAAATTAAAGGTTGGAAGGAAATGGGGAGGTTTTACAGGTTATCCGTAACACTGAAAGTTTTGTACTACCGCAATCTCCAACTTCCCTGACCATTTATTGCTGGGTGCCTTTTTTGATATCAAACAGAACAACACCGTATAGAAAAAGCAAATCAAGAGATTCTTATTCAAGCATCCGTACTCACTGGGGGTTGGTCATGTTGAAGGATGAAACCAAAGCAGGACTTGTCTGGCTGTTTCCAGCTCCTCAGTCATGAATAGGTGGCATCAGGAGGAGAAAATCCTTTGGAAAGGAAGGAGAAAACACGGAATAAAACGTCATGACTTAGTGGCAAAACCTCTTTACGCACCGAAGGCATAAAAGTAAACCCGGGCATGGAGGCCGCTAACAACAATCCTTCGGAATTCTTTTAAGACGTAAGCAGGTTAGATAGGTTTTAAAATAAGGCGAAACCCAGCCGTTGGCTCGCCAAATTCCAGGCAGGACTCAATTGGTGGGTGCAGAATATTTTTTTAAAAAGTCATCCTTTCTTTTCGGTGTCTGGGAGGTTGACATTTAGGATGAAGAGGCTTGTGTGTCGATAAGGGAGCTGCAGAGAAGCAAAGCGGTGACCTGGCATTTACTCCTAATCTGCCTACATCAGCAAAGGCTGAATTAATCTTTCTTCCTGTTCAGGATATAGTGTGGGACACCGAAGGTCTTCGGAGCTCATCATTTTCTCATCTTTTTTCCTCCCGAGGGATTGTTTCAAAGAAAAGAAAAGTCTTTTTTTCCTTTTCCAGAAAACCTTGCCAAAAATCACGGCTTTACTAAAGTTTCTAAGGCTGCTTTCCAAATTCTTGAACCGTTTATTGCTCATCAAGCAGAATACTTGAACAATTCAAGCAGAACGCGTCGAAAACATCGGACGACAACCCGTCCAGGAATCAGGCACAACAGGTCCCCGAAACCGATGCCTCAAGACTCTTCTTATACAGGCAGTCCTCGACTTATGACAGCTTGTTTAGTGACAACGTTACAACGGCCCTGAAAAAGCGGACTAAGTGTTTTTCACACTTAGGACCGTTGTAACATCCCCATGGTCACGCGATTCTACATTCGGCTGCTTGTCATCTGACTCCCATTTATGACAGTCGCAGTGTCCCGGAGTCACACGATACCCCTTTTGTGGTCTTCCGATGAGCAAAGTCAACGGGGAAAACCAGATTCACTTAACAACCGTGTTACTAATTGGAGAACTGCAGCAGTTCCCGTAACAATCAAGGCAAGAACATTTATAAAATGGGTCAAAACTCGCTTTAACGCATTTCTCATTTAGCAACGTATGTTTGGAGCTCAATTCTGGTCGTAAGTTGAGCAGTTCCTGTATTAATTGTCAGTGTTCCAGAAAACCTCCCAACTCCAAGTAAAACTCTGAAGCATTTTTCAAAGTTCTCTTTACTAGAATAGGTAAACTGGCATATCTGGGAAAAACCAAATCCGAGAGGTCCAGGTTTTCTCTCAGTAAATCAAAACCCCCAAAACCATCCCCTCACTCCTCAGTCGATCACATGCTCCAATCACCGTCCGTCCCATCTCGAGACCTCACTCCAACCACTCCTTCTCCAGATGCAGGATCGGCCTGACCTTGACCGACAGGAAGAATGCTATTATGTCTACAGACAACCCCTCTACTAAATCCCCCTCCCTCCTACTTTCCCACACAGGAGAAGGTGGCGGCATGGAAGCTTCCGGCCTAATATGGCTCCCAAAGCTGACATTAATGCCAAAGACTGGTCACATCAATCACTACACAGACAAACCCAAGAAATCGTTTACTCGGTAAATGTGTTTTGATGAAGACAACAGGTTGGGCGCAGAACTCAAACCGAACAAAGAACCGAGGCCAACTCTATTCTATACAGCCCACAGCTGCTCTTACATGTCAAAAGTCTTGCACTGTCATTTTAGAGAGAGACCCATCATCCGCCAGACGGAATGAGAGTGGATCAATAGTAAAGATTCCTTAACAAATCAAATCCACTCCGTGATGGAAGGAAGAAACACGCAGCCCAAGTGCCCTTCGATGAAAAGGGCACAGATTAGTTGCAAATGAAAAGAAAATCAGAAAATTACAGGGGGAGGTGGGGAAAGAACAGGAAGGAATGACAAGGGAGTAAAGATTTTCAGGATTTTATTTTTTTTTTAAAAAAAGAACTTAAGGTAAAAGGTAAAGGTTCCCCTTGCACATGTGTGCTAGTCGTTCCCGACTCAAGGGGGCGGTGCTCATCTCCGTTTCAAAGCCGAAGAGCCAGCGCTGTCCGAAGACGTCTCCATGGTCATGTGGCCAGCATGACTCAACGCCAAAGGCGCACTGAAAAAAGGGACTTTTCCACACTTACAACCTTGTAGTATCCCCACGCTCATGGGAGCAAAATTCAGACGCTTGGCAACTGGTTCACACTTACGACTGTGTTGCTGTGTCCCAAGGTCATGTGATCCCCTGTGGCCACCTTCCAGAAAAGCAAAGTCAACAGGGAAGCCAAATTCGCTTAACAACCGGGTTACTAACTTATCAACCACAGTGATTTAACGGCGGCGGCGAGGAAGAGCGCAAAATGGGAGCAAATCTCACTTAACGAATGTCAACAGCAGAAAGGTTGGGCTGAGACCAGTGGCCGTACGTGAATCGGGAGAAGGGAAGGACCGTTCAGAATGGAAGCTGATGGGAGATCTGGCCATCCAAAGCCAGTGGGTTGGATTGTAAATGTCATGCACAAAATTGTCTGCTACAACATCCTATCTGTCAATGACTACTTCAGCTTCAACCACAATAATACACGGGCAAACAATAGATACAAACTCAAAAGTAAACCGCTCCAAACTCGATTGCAGAAAATATGACTTCAGCAACAGAGTGGTCAATGCCTGGAATGCACAACCTGACTCAGTTGTTACATCCTCAAACCCCCACAACTTTAACCTTAAACTGTCTACCGTGGACCTCACCCCATTCCTAAGGGGTCTGTAAGGGGGCGTGCATAAGTGCACCAGCATGTCTTCCGTCCCTGTCCTACTGTCCCCATTTATTCGTACTCATTTCCTGTGTTCATCATGTCCATGTTTCTACTTGTACCTGTTTTCTGTTACACGTTTGACAAACTAAATAACTAAAAATAAATAAATAAAATTGTGCTCTCCTTATCTTTTGTTTGCACTCCAAAAGAGGATTGCATACAGGCAAGGCTGGGAAATACACCTCCCTCCCGGCCAGTGGAAATGGGAGGGCCCTAAAAGAGGAGCCACCATGAGACACGGCCTAAAAAAAGAATCTGAGCAGTTAATATTCTGTTCCGTCAAGTTTTTTGATCACCGAAGGCCCCGGTCGCTACTTCAGACGGACAAGAATTTCTGACTTCCATCAAGCATTCATCAACCTCTGCTTTGGAAAGGACCCAAGAAGAGGCTTGACAAACTTCCGAAGTGTGAGTACGAAACGACTTCTGAGTTACTACAAGCTTAACTGCGGTGGAAATTCCGTGCTGGATGACACCCGTCGTTCTTCCTTGAAAGAAAGCAGGGAGTTACAACAGGAGGGGAAACCTTTAGAAGCATTTTTTCTTTGTGTGTCTTAAAAGTTTTGTGGCCAAACTTCACCCAGGGGAATATCCCTGGAAATCCTGCGGTTTTGATTTGCATCGGACGCAAGCTTTCTCTGAAGTCATACCTGGGCTGGGTAGAGGAGTTTTATTTGTTCTGTGACACAATCCTAATGGTCACTGTGCACAGTCCAGCCAAAATGTAAACATTATCCACTTTTTGGGGGGGGGGGGTTTAAGAACTTTGGAACATTATATTAGCCCATATGTGATTGCTCAGTTCGTAAGTGCAATTTCAAAATACAACCTTGGTAGTAACCGAAGGCAAGAAGAAATGTGGATGGTACAGTTTTCTGGATGTTTTGTTAACATCCGTGAAATAATGGATAGTTTGTGGTGTGTCTAAAAGCTCGTATTTTAATTTAATCAGCGGAGTAAAAAAATTGATTCAGTTCATAGAGCCTAGCCATGCTTTAGAGAGAGGGCAGAAAAAACTTAGAAGAAACTTTATTCGATAAAATTTCATCTTATTCAAAAAGTTCCCTATCACCTCCTTTTTTTTCACCACAAGAAACAAATAGAATAATTTACAAGAAGAACAAGTCTACTTTGTGTTCCACTGATCTTGGCTGGAAAACTATGATTTGTAGAGGCTTCAGGAATGTTGTTTATTTGTTAAATAATGTTGTAATAGGCTTTTAAGTGGGAGAGCCACTGAATAGGATTTGCAAACTTTAATGGGGGAAATTTTGACTTTTCAAAATGTCACTGAGCTGTGATTCCCGACATTATTTGGCACTGAGCATTTCCCTTAGACAGCTGGAAATTGCAAGCCACCGACATGTAAAGGAAGGCAATTTCCTTCTCCTTGTTCTTTGTGCTCACCTGTTGTGTTCGTGTGTATACCGTATGTTCAATTGGCAAGACAGAGCAATAGGACACTCGTTTGTTTCAACAGGATTTCTTTGTCCTTTTTCTTACTGAGTTTTTCTTGCATAATTTTTCTCTGGTTTCATTTGATTAGCCTTTTAATTATTTTTCTTTAGTTCTAGGTTATGATTGCCTTATTATACACTCAAGTTAGTGTGATTTCCCGTGTTATTTTTTTTATACATTATATGCAAACGTGAGCATCTTACTAAACAAAATGCAGGGACAGTATATGTGTACCTCGCTCAATAGCAGTAACTGTGAGAGGGATCTTGGAGTCCTAGTGGACGATCATTTAAATAGGAGCCAGCCGTGTGCAGCAGCTGCCAAAAAAGCCAACACAACCTAGGCTGCATCAACAGGAGAGAATCAAGATCACACAAAGTGTTAATACCACTTTATAATGCCTTGGTAAGGCCACACTTGGAATATTGCATCCAGTTTGGTCACCACGAAGTAAAAAAGATGTGGAGACTCTAGAAAGAGTGCAGAGAAGAGCAACGAAGAGGATTAGGGGACCAGAGGCTAAAATATTTGAAGAACGGTTGCAGGAACTGGGTATGTCTAGTTTAATGAAGAGAAGGATCAGGGGTGACATGATAGCAGACTTCCAATATCTCAGGGGCTGCCATAAAGAAGAGAGAGTCAAATTATTTTTCAAAGCACCTGAGGGCAGGAGAAGAAGCAATGGGTGGAAACTCATCAAGGAGAGAAGCAACTTAGAACTAAGGAGAAATTTCCTGACAGTTAGAACAATGAATCAGTGGAACAACTTGCCTCCAGAAGTTGTGAATGCTCCAACACTGGAAGTTTTTAAGAAGATATTGGATAACCATTTGTCTGAAGTGGTGTAGGGTTTCCTGCCTAAGCAGGGGGTTGGACTAGAAGACCTCCAAGGTCCCTTCCAACTCTGTTATTCTATTCCAAAGGGGAGGGGAATCCTATAAATAATGAATTTCATTACAACCTTTGTACATGAAATACGGTACTTGTGTATCGTCATGGGCTGTGTAGGAGATGCTTGTGATTCAACTGTTCTATTCAAAGCATCCCAACACAATAGGATTTCTAGCTAATGTGATTGTGTAGCTCGGGGACATTTGAAACCTTAATATAAACATGGGCCCTGCGTTTCTGCCAGGGGTTATTGAAAATTACACAAGTATTACAGTTTGGGGGCAGAAAAAACAATATGACAAGAATGTCATATTCTTGAGCTGCAATTATCTCTAGGAAATGTATGAACTTCTGGCTTTGGGCATCTCATCTCAACTTATGGACACATAGAAAGTTTCCATTAGTCATAGGATCGCATTTATGGAGATTCTCAGTCCTCCAGGTCCTGGTTGTCCCAAAGGTGCTTTTTTCAAGAGGCAACTGGACTTTCTGTTTTTTTTTCTTTGAAGACATTTCACCTCTCATAGAAAGGAGCTTCTTCTGAACTGAAGAACTGAAGTCTGATGGTTCAAAAATAGCCTTTCTTCTCCAATAGTGGGATGACTTGCCTGCTAGAGTTGTGGTGCTCCATTGCTGCGTTGTGCTCACTTACTCATTACAAGACACAATTAGTCCCAGGCAAACCTATTTTATTATTAACAGCTGAGTATTACTTCATTCCCAGCTTAGTCCAAATTAATTGCAAAACCAAGTCCTTCAGAAGAAGTCCATCGGGCTTATCACAAACCTTTATCTTCTTTGGCACCCTGCCAAAGGCCTTTCTTGGCAAAGCCCCACGAAGTTAAGAAACAAGAGGTGCCAACTGGAAACAGAGTTAGCAACATTGCTTTCCTGCAAAGAGCCCTCGTGCCTTTGCTCCTCTTTTAAGCCTTATGGGAGGGGCCAATCATCTCCAGGCCTTACTCCCGAGTCGTTCCTTTAGTTTTAACTGTTCTTGCCTTCTGGCAGCTCTGCGCATGCGTGCACTAGGAACAGGCTCCTCCTGTTCCTCTGCCTCTCTGATGTCCAACTCTGGAGGCACAGGAGTCCGGGCATAACTCCCAGATGGCCCTGGCCCCATCTCTGCCTCTGATGTAGAGCCCTCGTACAGGCCTTCCCCAGACTCCAGGACTGGCTCATTGTCCTCCCCAGCCTCCTCACTGTCCGACTCCACTGCCAGCTCCGCAGGCTGCTGGTGGACCACAACATGCTGGAGGTTTTTCAAGAAAAGATTGAACAATGTCTGGGATGCCATAAGGTGAGCAGGGGGTTGGACTAGAAGACCTCTAAGGTCCTTTCCAGCCCTAGAACTCTCACCTTCTATGATTCACAAGAAAGTCCAGCTGCCTCTTGAAAAAGCACCTTTGGGATAGTCATTGGATACCTCTACCATATATGTCAGGGGGTGAACAAATATGGCAACTTTATGACCTGTGGACTTCAACTCCCAGAATTCCTAGAGCCAGCCACGCCAGGAATTCTGGAAGTTGAAGTCCACAGGTTGTAAAACTGTCATAGTTGCTCACTCCTGATCTATGAATTTACAGTGGAATATTTTTTTAAGGTCCATTTTGCTTGGGTCAAGTACTACAAGTAGTCCTCGACTTACAACAGTTCCCTTAGTGACCGTTTGAAGTTACAACAGCACTGAAAACAGTGACTTATGATCATTTTTCACACTTATGACCGTTACGACATCCCCATGGTCACATGGTTTACATTCAGATGTTTGACAACTGACTCCCATTTATGACGGTGTCCCGGGGTCACAGGATCCCCTTTTGCGACCTTCTGACGAGCCAAATCGATGGGGGAGCCAGATTCACTTAACAACCAGGTTACCAATTTAACAACTGCAGGGATTATGGTGGCAAGAAAAGTCATAAAATGGGGCAAAACCTGCTTAACAAATGTCTCCCTTAGCAACAGAAATTTCGAGCTCAAATGTGGCCGTAAGAAGAGGACTACCTTTTATTCTGTTCTTAATTTACTAGGCGACTATAGCTTTCTAGTATTATACAACGTTTGGCTTATACCTAGAAGCTTATTTGGCTTATACCTAGAAGGGAAATGCTATTAGAACAGAAAATATCATACGTGTTTTGAAAAAGACATTCGTAGAAATTATGGTTCCCTTTAATGAAACATTCTCTGGCTATGAAAAATACATGCCTTCGGCTAAAATTGACCTAGAAACGTTCTCTCATTTATCTTTTTTGATTTTATGCTCTGGAGCAGTGTTTCTCAACCTTGGTAACTTGAGGACTTCCAACTCCCAGAATTCCCCGCTCAGCCAAATCGATTCCATCATTAACTATGACCTGATCTGGGGGTTACAGGCAGTCCTCACTTAATGACCAGTTGCTTAGCAGGCCTCCCCAGAGCTATGTAGTTCTGACGGCCGCACGAGCCTTTTCCCCCACCCGCAGTCACTTGACTGCATTTTTGGGTGTCTGGCAATTGGCTGGCATGTATGATCATTTGTAGCATCACAGGACTACAATTTCTGGCGGTTTTCTTTGCCATTTCCTGCCAAAAACACCCAATGAAGAAAGCAGGTTCGCTCAACAACCGCCACAAAAAAGGTCCTAAAATCAGAAGGGCTACCTGGTGATCTGCTTAATGACCAACTGCTCAATTATGATTGTTCAGCCAAGGACGACTTACCTAAGCAAGTTTACAACTAGCCAAACATTATTATTATTATTATTATTATCAAGAGCCTTAGTACTACAGGGGTTTAAGGCACCCTGTTATTAAGCTGGTTATTAAGACCAGCTGCCTGCAATTACTGCAGGTTCGAATCTCGCCAAGGCTCAAGGTTGACTCAGCCTTCCATCCTTTCTAAGGTAGGTAAATTGAGGACCCAGTTTGTGGGGGCAATAAGCTGACTTTGTATAAATATACAAAAGGATGAAGGCTATTGCTTAGCGCATTGTAAGCCGCCCTGAGTCTCCGGAGAAGGGCGACATATAAATCAAATTTTAAAATTATTATTATTATTATTATTATTATTATTA